ATAAACACCCCGGGGCTAACTAGTTTTTATTATTAAAGGGCGAAACCCACAAATGGTAGCTTATCTTTAAATTGTTTTCTAAAGGGGATCAATGAAAAGTCAAATTGGCCAACCTGAAATTGTCCAAAATTAAAGATGAACCCTAGTCTTTATTATTTGGGTGGGTTAGTAATAGGGGGACGGGATTATATTATATTGGACTAGTTAATTGGGTTTAAAGACCAACTTTTTACTCGGGACACCAGCTTGCTCACGGCTACATAATCTAGCTATCATGGCAATACGTCCAACCGCCAGAACTGCCCAGGGGTCTACCGGTATACCCCCAAATTGCGAGTATTTAATGGATAAACTGATCGAACATCAATAAGCATGGGATTTGGGATCTTTTCAGCTAAACAGACTGACAGACCAACGATAATTCTTCTTGATCGTTTCTACCAGCACTTAGATCAAGTAGGGTCATCATCGAAATTAGGTCGAAAACAAAACACGGAGAAAGAAAGCCGAACAGAAACCAACAAAAAAAGTAATATAGAGTAATTTATTAACCTAAGATAATCAGGGACCCAGCGAAGATGATCAAATTATGGAAAATGGGAAAGGGGAGCTAATGGAGCTTAAGAGTAGAATTATCACACCTCCTACAATCAACAGATCACAATTTCTAGATTACGTCCCACATGTTACATTCTCAAAACCCTAAACATATGATTGTTGAATCCATTAAAATTCACATTCACAGAAATGGTCAACTAAGGTTTTCTTACACCCTGCTTGAAGGACACATCACTTGGGGGGCCCTGCTCACGCAAGCGTCGCATTTCGCAGGCATAAAGCTGAGACCTGGAGGCCGAGTTGGGTATAAACCCCATAAGTATAGTATTATAGAAACTTAGTTCACTGGAACTGAACCCGAGAAGGGTTAGCTGAAATCTCACATTCGGATGGTTTCAACCCATGGTGTCTGTGTGCCAAAATCGCCAGGATTTATGGATGTTCACAGGTTTCATAGATCATGGCATCAATAGGTCATAAGTCATAAGCGAAGACCAAAATATCTGGGATTTAGTGGTGTTCATACCCCCAAACTATGGCATCATAGGTCTTTATAACAAGACAAAACATGGATACTCCTATCCCATTCCATAAAACATTGGTTGATGAAACAGCAATCTCAACCATATCTGCAAGTAATACCGTAAATATGTGTAAATATATATATATATGTATATATATATGTACACAGCACTATCACAACTAATCAGCAGAGGTATTTTCAATAGCTTGCCTGGGAGGATCGTCATATTATCCCGCAGAACGGTGTCCAAAATTCAATCCTGGGGATTCCACATTGGTTTTCCGGAAAGTTCAATCCTTGCTCCAAAAGTTGTATTTTTTCCAGAATTGGAGGTCGCCGACTGTTGCTTAAATCATGTCTTAGATTACCATGTGTTCCTGGAAGAATGTTACCGTTTTCAGTGTATTTCATGGTAAATCCCCCAGGTTTTCTCATCCCATGAAATTCCAGTAATCACCCATAAATCCAATCCCATGAGATCAAGTGTTATTATTCAATTCTTCACATATCCCATGATATTCCTATGAAATCACCATGAAATGGAAGTTTCCTAAAGTGGTGGTACTCCCAGTTATCATTCATTTATAGATTGGATTTTCTATGAAATTAAACATCCATCCATTTGCGAGTAGCTTCATGTATGGAACCCCCCATGATATTCCCAGGATATTCCGATATTCCCATGAATTTCCCATGAATTTCCCATGAATTTCCCATGGTTTTCCTCCAAGGCGCTCCTCCAACTCACCGCGCTTCAGCATCTCCTCCACCGCACTGCAGCGCTGCTGCAGGTCGCGCCAGGCTTCCGGCATGGTGCTGTGGGCCAGGCCTGGCACGAAGCATGGGGAAATTTCTATGGTTCTACCATATATATATATATATATACATATGGACAAAACTATTTGTTCACCGTAATTGCTACGGGCAAAACTGGGTCGTTCCCTATCGGTTGTGAAGATTTTCGCTCTTTGATAACATCTAGTAGCAAGTGCTGCTCGTAGTACTAAAACAAGTAGAAGAAAAGTGGTAGCACTAGTTCTAGCAGTAGCAGTAGCAGTAGTAGTCGTCGTCGTGGTGGTGGTGGTGGTGATGGTGGTCGTGTTCGTCGTAGTGGTAGTAGTAACAGTAATAATATTATTATTATTAGTAGTAGTAGTAGTAGAAGTAGTAGTAGTAGTAGTAGCAGTAGTAGCAGTAGTAGTAGTAGTAGTATTGGGAGAAGCGGTAGTAGTAGAATCGGTAGCAGCAAGAGTAGTACGTGGGGCATGGTGTCGGCAAGTGAGAATAATTGCAAAAATGGGTATCGGTTGGTATAGGTTGGGGTATCGGTGAGAATGGTGCATGAATTGCCGCAAACAATATGCTTGGTGCTCTGCAAGAGAAAGCTAGCTGAGGTAGCTGTTTACAGCTTTGCTTGTAGCAACTGCTGTAGAAATAAACACCTTACTCCAGATTATTGTGGGAACGTGTTGGAATCTAAGGGTATCGGTGCTGGGTCGTTCCCTATCGGTTGTGAAGGTTTCGTGAAGGCAAGCAACGTTCAAGGCAGCTCCCTACTACTTTCAAATGCTAATAATTGTCGGATACTCATATATATATATATATGTATATGTATGTATGTGTAAATACATATATATATATATACTATTCTATTGGATATGATTCTGTATATATATATATAAATCATATTCTATGGGATGTTCTATGGATCTATTGGATATCCTATGGGATATGCATGAAACTCGAATTTTGCTGTGGAAACTTGAAGGTTGAGAAAAACAACTAACACAACTGTAAACAGACAAATAGACAGTTATGGGGGGCACGGAGGTTTAAAACATGTTAACACCAACCAGTTCATGTTGATATAGTGTGGATATTAATGGGGATCGGCCACCAAAGTGACCAAAACGGCAAGGATAATTGATGGTGATTATGATATACCAGGTACCCTCTTTTCGACAAACTGCTCGTTAGTTATGATCATTCATAATTCATTTTACATGATGGACAAAGAAAACGCAGAAAAAATATATCGGCAATTTTTGTTTCTTGCTTGAAACTGGGGAACTGAGGGCTACAATAACTGGGCACATTCCCATAATTTCCAAATTAAACATTAGCTAGTCTGGGGAACCATTCGCTGGCCGCTCTGGGTTTAGGTTCGCTTCCTGCAGCTACTCTTGGAACTGAACACCGGCTGGGGCCGGTGCTGCCTCGCCGCACCAAGCTTCCACCGCAGCTCACAAAGGCCTGTTCCGTGACCCCTTTCTCCTGCTCTAAAGCCACGCCTGTGGTGCGGCTAAGCTTGAGGAGCCACCGAACAACCGGTACCCGGTGTCGGCAGTTCCTTGTTAGCAAAGTCGTCCCAATTGAAAAAGGTGGCAAATATCTGATTCCTACTTATCACTGGATCTGCTGGGGAGTAGCACTTGGGACTTCAGGTAGTACCAGTATGGTGTCGCCAATGCTGAAGCTCTGCGCGGAGTTGTCTGGCAGCAGCTCGTAGGCGGTTGAGTTTGCTAGCAGCAGCACTTCCCGCCAGGCGTGGTTAGCTAGGTCGGTTATAGAGAAGCAGTCTTAGAGGTGCTGGCAGCTTATAGGCCCCATCTACAATGCAGGGTTTCGGCTAAAACCGCTACCAGCAGTACCGCACAAAGCGGTGGCGGAAGTTTCAAAGTTAGGAAATTATAGGATAGGTGAGTTGTTGTGATGTATGGATGGCAGAGTGAATCCACTTATGGACCGAAATGTGGTTGTGATTTTTTGGAATGGTTGCGGTGGTCACCTCACCCACAACTGCAGGATGTAGTGTGGTGTAGCGAAGTGCAATGTAATTGTAGTTGTAGCTGTGTTGTAGCTGATGTTGTTGAAGTTGTAATGTTGTAGTTGTAGTTGCAGTTGTGGCTGTAGTTTTAGTTGTAGTTGTAGTATAGTTGAAATTTAATTGAAGTTGTAGTTGTAGTAATTGTAGACATTTCAGTAGTTGTAGGAGTTGTAGCTGTAGCTGATGCAATGTAGTTGTAGGTGTAGCTGTAGCTGTAGATGTAGTTGTAATTGTAGTGTTGTGTAACGTTACTTGTAGTTGTAGTTGAAGTGGTAGTTGTAGTTATTGTAGTTGAAGCGTAGCTGACGTTGTACTTGCACTTGTGTTGTAGTTTTAGTGTGATGTAGTTGCAGTTGTCTACCTATCTGTTTGTCTGCATATTTGTTAATCTATTTGTTTATCTATTTGTCTATCTATCTGTCTATCTATTTGTTTATCTATTTGTTCTAGCCATCTTTCTATCTATTTGTCTATTTGTTCATCTGCAAAATTGAAAACGAAGCTATTCTGCGTGACTTCCTCAATCTTTGAACTTGGCAACACCAAAAATGCAGCAATTCTGCGAGACTTCCTAATTTTTTGACCTTGACAACGTGAGAAACGCCGCAATTCTGCGAGACTTCATCAATTTTCGAAGTTGGCAGCATCAAAAACGAAGCAATTCTGCGAGCCTTCCTTTAAAAATGGAAAGTTGAGTGCAGAGCTGACGGCCTCGTGCCAATCCGTTTTGCGATTTGCAAACAACATCTATCTGGAGTACTGCGCCTACCACGAAAAAGTGAGGCCAGGCCATATGAAGTGCTGCGCTTGTCACGCAAAATCATCTTAGAAAACCTCAAGGTCTGATGCTCGAACATACAACCCGTCTCAGAAATCAGCGCCGGACCTCCCAACATCTCTGAAGAAGATGTCTCTTGTATTGGGCCTGCCACGCGAAATGCATCTTTGCAGATCCTCTTCAAATGTCCCACGCCTGCCAACGTTTTTGAAAATGCTACAAAACCCTCACGTTTTGCTCACTTTTGGCAAGGTGCCGAATCCATCGCGCATGCCACGCAAAACCACATCCTAACTTCCAAAAGTGGCCCGAGAACGCCACTGTTTCACACTTTTGCCTTCGAAATGTGCTTCCCGCCACAATGGCGTGCATTTTTTGCACATCTCAAGTTCCAAGTGCTCCGGGCATGGTGCGTTTTGTACATTTTTAGCTTGAGGCACTTAAAAAGTATTTCGCAGATATTTGAACTTACCAGAAATTATGTTAAAACTTATTTGAACTTGTTTGAGCTTATTTTTACGTATCTTTGAGTTCACAAAACTGCAAGGTTCTTCCGATATTGGCTGGTGTATCTTAAGAATAATCCAAATTTTCTGACTTTAATTTCTTGTAATTTAAACAAAAAACCATTTTTTTCTGAATTCCCCACCTGCCAGGTGAGGGTTGTTAGATTTTGTCAGAGCTGTTCTCTTCCTCCTCGACTAGCTCTCATCTTCCTCCTTCTCCTCCTCCTCCGCCTCCTCCGCCAGTTTCTCCTCGACCATGTCTGCATCAACTTCCACCTCCACTTCCGCCTTGCCAACTCTTCGCCAAGCTCTTCGCCAACTTCCGAGCTCAGTGTGCACCGCTGGACCTCAACCTGGGACCTTCCCAGCTGAGTGTGCACCGCTGGACCTCAACCTGGGACCTTCCCAGCTCAGTGTGCACCGCTGGACCTCAACCTGGGACCTTCCCAGCTCAGTGTGCACCGCTGGACCTCAACCTTGGACCTTCCCAGCTCAGTGTGCACCGCTGGACCTCAACCTGGGACCTTCCCAGCTCAGTGTGCACCGCTGGACCTCAGCGGCCAGATAGAATGCCAGAAGATATGCCAGATAGAAAGCTATAAGAGATGCCAGATAGAATCCCAGAAGATATGCCAGATAGAATGCCAGAAGATATGCCAGATAGAATACCAGAAGGTATGCCAGATAGAATGCCAGATAAAATGTCAGATAGAATGCCAGAAGATATGCCAGATAAAGTGCCAGAATGTTTGCCAGATAGAATGCCAGAAGATTTGCCAGATAATATGCCAGATAGAATGCCAGATAGAATGCCGGAAGATATGCCAGAACATATGCCAGAAGATATGCCAGGTAGAATGCCAGAAGATATGCCAGATAGAATGCCAGAAGGTATGCCAGATAAAATGCCAGAATGTTTGCCAGATAGAATGCCAGAAAATTTGCCAGATAATATGCCAGATAGAATGCCAGAAAATATGCCAGGTAGAATGCCAGAAGATATGCCAGATAGAATGCCAGATAGAATGCCAGAAGGTATGCCAGATAGAATGCCAGATAAAATGTCAGATAGAATGCCAGAAGATTTGCCAGCAACAAAATGTATAAATGTCATGGTGTGGATCACACGAAGTAAAGCATTTTGTTTTTGATTGATTTTCTGAATTTTCTGAACTAATCTGTTTCTAATTTCAATAAATTTTCTGACTGTTTGGTTTTCGAGTGTTTTTCTGAATTTTCTGTTTTTTGGTTTTCGATAAATTTTCTGTATTGTTTGGTGCTTTTTTCTCTGAATTTTCTGTTTTTTTTGTTTTCGGGTGCTTTTCTGAATTTTCTGTTTTTTTGGTTTTTGTTTGATTTTCTATCTAAATTAAAGTTTGAATTTGATTGCAGACCCCCCCCAAAATCAAGAAAATCTGTTTAAACATGTATTTAACTTATATTTGCAGATATTTACAGATAATTGCAGATATTTTTCGGCAATGCTCATGTATATCTGACTTTATCTACAATATCCTGTGACAAATTACACTTAAAAAACTCGTCGAAATTCACGCAGAATAAGCTTGGATAATCAATTTTAGAAAGATATTAATAAGGTAATAGTAGCTTAAACTCTACTTACGACCTTTGGTAAGTGCCTGAAGTTTATATATATCTAACTTTAGTGGTCTCAGGGCATGGTGTGCTTTGTACATTTTGACTTGGACATGTGCTTCGCGCCACAACGGCGTGCACTTTTTCGACATCTCAACTTCCAAAAGTGCTCCGAGAATAGTGTCTTTTGTACATTTTGACTTGGACATGTGCTTCGCGCCACAACGGCGTGCACTTTTTCGACATCTCAACTTCCAAAAGTGGTCCGAGAATAGTGTCTTTTGTACATTTTGACTTGGACATGTGCTTCGCACCACAACGGCGTGACGGCGTGCACTTTTTCGACATCTCAACTTCCAAAAGTAGTCCGAACATGGTGTGTTTTGTGCATTTTGACTTCAACATGTGCTTCGCGCCACAACGGCGTGCAATTATTCATCTCTCATCTCCCCAGACGGCTTCGCACCCGCCGCTTTAGCGAGCCTACTTTTCGACCCTCTGCAGCCTCAAATCATTGGAAAAAACACAGTGTTTCCCAACTCTTCTACCTTTTCGTGCACCTGCATCTTCTGTCTTCCGACTCTTTCTCTTCTCTGATCTTCTTTCTTCTTTTCTTCTCTTCTCTGACTCTTCCCACCTCTGCTTTTCATCTGTCCATATTGTCGGAAGTTTTGACTTCTAAACTTCCTTGGATTAGTAGCAAAGGCAAAGATTGAAATTAAAATACTTTACGCACCTATCCAGTTCTTGTTCCTCAAACATCTCCCTTCACATCCAGTTTTAACCGTCCCTTGGCATCCTGTTTCCTTGCCTCCACCCTGCCAGAGGCAGAATGGATAGGGCAACGGCAGGGCTTCTCGCTGCACCCCTCGGTCGTCTGGATACTCCAGGGCCGCCTGTGGATCCGCTGCTCGGAAGGGATAGCGCGAGGGGGTTTCCAAAAATGAGCTACCCTCTGGTTATTTAACATAGCCATGGTATAGATGGCCCATAGAAATAGATGGTTTACCTATTAAAAATTGGAATTTTCCATGGCTATGTTAAATAACCAGATGGTAGTCACAACCCCAAATGGCAATTTAAAAATTTGAACACGGGAAGTGCTGGTGAACTATATCCATGGATATCCTATCAACCAAACCACAGCCTCGGACACCCAAGCGCATACATGTGCGGATAGGGATGGGTTACGTGGAACCAGAGACAGCGATTTTGGTTACTTTTGGTCACGCCTGACTGGAAATAACAACCAAAAGGCACACACACACATTTATCCATCTCCAAGTCTCCAACTGCACAGTTTCAAACAAGTCCACCCATGGATAGCCTTTTGTTTTTGTGTTTTTCGCAACGTATTTGTAAGACATCAACCAGCAATGGTTTAGCCTGCCCCACCGCTTTCGACTTTTTTGCAGTCCTCCATAGTCCTCCATGAAACTTGCCAAACAACTACCGTTAAAAAAAACAAACTTGTCGTAAACCATGTAAATTAAGTTTTTTTTTTATAAGTCATGGTCATTACGGTTGCATGAGTAACATTATGGGCCATTACATGTAATTACCTCCATTGGCATCATTCCCTCAGTAATTTAAGGCCCCCAAATGGGATGGTTTCACCGTTTCCCCAGAGACTGCGGCTGTCGGCGTCAATGTTTGCCCCATACCGAAATAAAATGAGTTAAGTAAGGATTGGTTCCCCAAATATATAGGGTTTGTTATATATATATATATATTAATATAACCCAATATGAAAAAGACATATAAACAATACTGATATTTACATCATCCATCCCTATAAAATATCAGCATAACATGTCATCATTAAAACTGCATATATCTACATTATCTATACCAGTTCAAACATGGCTTCATATCTCTATTAAAAACACACAGGACCTACGCCCTGTACCGCGGCCTTATGTTCACTGAGCTCCTTTGGGCCCAACGACTTCAAGCATTTCCTGGGCGGAACTTAGCGCCTGGGGATTGGGGTGGTTTTACGAATTTCATGGAGCATGTAATAACTCCCCGAAGAGTCCATAAGTTCGGTAATTTTGCTTGGGATTGTGAACGGATATGTCCATGGTAGTTTAACATGTAATAGCCCGCTTCAGTGCATGAGTTGGGTAGCTTGGGGTACAGGGGAATGGATATTGGCATGGCAGTTTACATATATATATATAATTATATATATATACACATTACATAATATGTAACAACTACCCATACCCATCGATAACTTGAGATATAAGCCCTGTGCTCAAGAACAAGGAAATGAGATATATCAAACCAATCAATGTGGGATATTCACTGGCAAGATTGAGGTGAAAATCTACAGGACACCAGTGAGATCAGTTGATGACCTACAAATAACGGGTTGTAGAAACTATATACCAAACTTCATGAAGTGGATGGCAAACATTGCAAAATATATGTATATAGTATTCTATAGTTCTAAACGGAGTATACCCCCAATATGTATATATATAAATACAGTTCTCAACGTGATCATAACCCCGTACTATGAACTTGTGGTGTTCAACCAACCAAAAATAGGCATGCATACAATCTCCAAACATAGTTTACTTTATTTTGTTTTAATAAACCACACAATATACCTATGGACATCTAATATCCCACTGCCTAATAATAAACTGCGGCTTTCCACTAGTGATCACCAGGGTTTTTGGGGCAGGTGCATGCGATTATAACGAGGTATACCCACTTCATCCCACACTTCTATCATCAAATTTGTGTGCTAATTTCGTATGTGGAAAGTTGATCGCATTTACAGGATCTGTTGGCCACATGTGATCTAGGAGTCCAAGTAAATGGATGTATTATCAGTGACAGTCCTACTGCCTTTTAATTCTTCATTATTTCGCATTTTATTTCGCATCTTCCAACACCTGAACTGTAGAACCTGTGGGCAAGTCATCTGCACGTGAAAAAGGAGTAAACTAGCCCTGATTAGGCTACCTCCCTTTTAACAGGGTTATCCCATTGACTACTGGAGTATTTACCAACACTTTTTGTAAAATCATGGTTCCGCTGCAAATCTTAAACTCTGCGCAAGAATTCAATTTTTCACTGTCAGTCAGTTCCAGGTTATGAGTTTCTTCAATCCGAAGGCTTCGGCGAATCGCAGAAGATCTCCAAGATTTTACTAGGAAATACTCTCAACATCTCTCAACCCCAAATCAAAGAACACCAAACAAACAAAGAATCGGTTTCCGTACACTTTCTGCTTGGTTTTCGCCGAAAACAAAACTGTTGGGGAGATGTGGAGAGCAACAAAGACATGTCGACCATGTGCCGCCCTGGCTGTCCTGGATTACAGCTATTCGAAACCACGAACCAGACTAAGCAAATCATCATTGGCTATACATAATTATACCGAATTATACCCATTATACATGATGATCATAGGGTATAATTATTATATCATTGGTAAATATTGGCTAATTATTTCTATTCATTATATATCATTATCTGGTTGGTGCTTTCAACCCCTCTGAAAAATACGAAAGTCAGTGGGGATGATTATTCCCAACTGAATGGGGAAATAAAATTCATGTTCCAGACATTTTTCCAAACCACCAGATTTTCCAGATTTTCTGACCAGCTGCTTGCTCGGGAGGGAGAGCGAAGCAGTCCCAACTTTGTGGCCCCACAACGCCCTCACCTCATGGCAGTGCGTGTGCCACCTTTCGCTACTGCCAAGGGGAGCCTATTCAGTGCGGCCGCGTTTCGGCTGCACGGCCCCTTCAAATGTGAAGCCAGCCAAGCGTCCACCTTGTCGATCTGCACCTGAGGCCAAGGTACTGAGGCAGCGGGCAAGTAGGCCTGGACCATGTGTCCTGCCGGACGAGTCTGAGCCAGCGCTGCATCAATACCAACTTCCTTCCAGACTGATTTGACAAGTTGCTTGAACCAGCGAACACGCTGTTTGAACTGGAACCGTTCGGCAGCCACATACGTTCTCTGATCTGTGTCGATCCACTGCCCATGAATACGAAGAGGTCCAGGATGATTCCACGCCAATTGATAGTCGATGTACAATTGGCTAAACGTCATCCAAACCACTTTGTGGGAAGCAGGTTGCAAACGCTCCCACAACCATTGGGACACCCTTCCCACATGGGTCGGGCCAAAGAGCCTTGCTGCCTTCGGTGGGGGTTCACCGCTCCAGCCACCGAGGGAAAAATTCTGCACGAACTCCCTTGTCTCTTTCGGCACAATCTCCTGGTGATCATCTGAAGCCACCTCTGCACATACATGGCGTCTCCCAACTGCAATGTGTAGGGCTCGAACCTGCCCTGCCAGCACATCCACTGCAAAAACTTCCCGCACATGTTGCTCCCACTGTAGCCAAAAAGCTGCAGGTCTCGCTTGATTTGCCAAACGGGCTGCTCGGTCTGCAACTGTATTGTGAAAGAAGGTCCAAGCGTCGTGCAAAGTTTTGGCACTCTGCAACGTCCGGTGTGCTTGGACCTTTCTCACCTGCACATGCTCGCGGCCCAATGTCTCCACTGAATCTGCAATCCACAACCACAAATCACTGTTCGGCCTGTTGCAATTGATTCGACCTGCACCCCAAACCAGCAAGTGGAACTTGTTGACAACCCCAAGGCAGTCACACCACACACGGATAGGGGCCCACGCACGCGCCGCACAAGACAGGCTGTAAGCCAACGCCGTAAGTTCAGCCCGGTAGGCAGACTGACAAAGTCCAGACAGGGCAGAGGCACCAATGACAGAGGCAGCAGCAGGAGTCCAGGTGTCATGGAAAGGACGCGCCAGAACGGCAGACCAAGCCGCAACACGCACGGAGGGTTGGTTTTGCCAGAGGCAAGAGCCATCAGTAAAGACATCGTTCCAGATCCCTGGCTTGAAATCCACAGCCGGCTCAGGCATTTCGGTGGGCAGGGCGGCAAGAAGTGACATCCAGGAATTCCAAGTCGAGGGGAGCAGTGACCACCCACGCAAGGACAAAGCAGTCGGAAGCAAGTCCACAAGACGCGTCGCATCTGGGGCAAGCTGGCTTCTCAAATCAGCATGTTGGGGGCATTCCCAGTACCTGTGGCGCAGGGAGTCGGAAGCTCCACAAAACTTGCAAGCATCGGTTTGCTGTGTCCACTTAGCCTTGTACCGCTCAGTGAAAAGTCCACCAGCCAGGCTGAACCGCAGGAGAGCCTGATCATCAGCAGCGAGCCCTCTCAAAGCTTTGCGTGTGGCCACCAAATCAACTGCGTCCAGCCCTTGAAAGTCCAAACGGTGTGACACTTGGGCAGCGACAACACAGCACCAGGCACGTTGCATCCGCAATTCCACTTCATTGAAATTGGACGTCTGAAGGCAAAAAGACCCAAATCGGTCAACCAGACGACCTGAAGGAAGAACCGAGAAACCCGCATGTTGGAGGCGATCGACCAGGATGGCCGTCAAAGAGTTGGGAGGCAAGTCCAAAAGTCCATGTGCGAAAGGAGCAACACTGTGAAGCCAGAACTCCGAGGGACAGTGGGCACGCACTTCACGACAAGTCCAAAGCAAACCAAGGAACTGGGGATCGACAGCAGCTTCAACCAAACCCAACAAGACATGTCCATTGACACCGGGACGGTGGAAAGAAAGGGCGCCAGTAGCTCTCCTGCGGAGTTCATGCCATTTTGAGTTACCCACAGGAGCACTAGCTACGGCATGCAAGCCACGCGGCCAGGCCACAGCACGCAGCATGTACACCTTGGCATGGTGTCGAGCCTTGCTGGCCCGCAGTTTTGGCCAGAAGTCGTCAAGGTCTTGGAAACGGTTGACCAAGGTGCGGTTGGTGTACTGTTTGGAGATACCCATGTGCCCACCCAATTCTCTGGCATGGTGAAGGACAGTGATACCAGAATCCCGGAGGTGCTGGCGAACAACCGGGTCGGTTGACCACCCAAAAGTCTTCCGCCGATCAATGGTCAAGTCCAGGTGACCGGCAAACTGCTCAACCAACTGCAACTGACGCACCGCGTAGGAAGAGTCCCAAGCATAGGTCTGCCAGTCGTCAACATATGACAAAGTCCGAATAGCTGGGGATTGGGCTCGCATCCAGCAGGCAAACAGATGATCGACCAAAAGCATGCCATAGACACTGAGGCCACACCCCTCAGCAAGACCAGTGGAGGTCAAGAAGCCATCGGAGTAAGACTCCCGAACCTTGAAGTGCCTTTTCATGGAGGCCAACGCACCAGCCCACGCCGTGGTAACACTGTCAGGTGTCCCAACCAGCACCGCAAGGCAAAGTGCAGGAAAACGTGGAATACAGTTGAAGCATTTTTCAATGTCCGCTGACAGCCCGCAAAGAGGGACTTGGGCACTGTAGGCTGCCTCAATCTGCGAAAGCAGGTGGAACCACAAATCAGAAGCTTGACGCCCCGGTCTGTTACCAAAAACACCATCGTCAACCCAGCTGTCAGCATGGGCCAGCAAATGCCTTGCTTGCAGGCTGGACCAGAGGCGATAGGGCAGTCCAAAGACAGTTATTGGCCTGTAGTCGCCAACACTGGAAGCTGAGTCGGACTTGGCCAATGAGATGACCTTTCCGGCGAGCAATTGAGCAGGCCACTCGCCGTCAGTCTGGGCACGTTCGTACGCTCGGGTGAGCGATTGGAAAACGGCATCATCAGCAGCAATCAAGTCCGCTCGGCTAACTCCATCAAGTCCAGTAGCTGAGCGCTTCTTCTTCCTATGGACTTCGGCACGGAGGAGAGACACATCAAGACGCAGAGACGGGATGGACTGCGGGGTCAGAACACGACGGGCAAATCCAAGCAACTGCTCCCAATGGTTAAACTCCAAGTGATCATGACGACACCAGCGGGCTTTCCATTGCTCATGAAACGCTTCAAACAGGTCCTGTAAGCGTCCAATGTGCGTAGACTGTTTGACCTTGTCAGAGGGCTGAACTCCTTCAAGGTCAGAAATCCAAATCTTGTCTGACTCGGCGTGGATAACTTGTTTCTGTTGTCCACCGATCCAAACAGGTTGGTTGGCATCGAGGTTGACAGGCTCAACCAGTTCAACGGCACACTGAGTTGGGTCAAGCTGCGCAACAACAGAAGACACAGAGTGGACAAGGGATTCAACAGGTGCTGCCGGCTGGCGGGCCACTTCACGGAAGATCAGGAGCCGATCCTTTTCATGTTGAGCAGCTCTGTGAGCCTGATGGGCAAAGGCCAGATTGCGCTCGAGGGCACGGACTTCAGCAAGCACAGCTTCAAAAACCTGGTGGGCGATCTGAGAGTTGGGGGCATGTAAAGGCAAGTCCACAGGGTCAAGTTGACTGACATACAGACGCCCAGACCACCAACACCGAAAGTTAGGCACAAACCCAGGTGCTCGGAGGATGGAATTCCAAAGGTCAATTCCATGAGTCCCATCGCCAGTGCCATCAGCTTCAAAGGAGGAAATCCATCGGCAATAGTTTTGCAAGCGGCGCAGCTGTCTGAATTGTTTCACGTGGACAGCGGAGAACCCGTGGAACCCAGGCTGAACATCAGACTTCCGACCTTGCTTAATGGGTGCAGGAATTCCACGCTTTCTGGCCGGCTTGAGTTGTTGGCCTCTACCACCCATTGCAGGAATCCACTCAGGCAAGGTAGCTGCTGCAGCCTGCTCTTTCATCTGCCACATTCGGGCATACTGGGCAGTGGGGTCAACAGGTGAAGCAAAGGACAGAGGCTCCTGAAGGGCATGCTCCTTACCCCAAGACACAGGTTTCGGACACGGCCAAACAAAACTGTCAAGGTGATGTGAACCCCCTCGGAACTGGGCAATGATCACAGCATGATCTGCAAAAGTCTCCTGACAAACGCGCACACCAGACAAAACCATAGCCAACTCGGGTGAAATCCAGAGGAAATCCTTGCGGGTTGCCCCGCGGCAAGTGTTTTGAACAGGGGCGCCAGTCATAGAATGCCACAAGTCCTGGACCTCAACCCAACCTCTAGCACGCAAAACGGGAACAATGGCAAGGTCGGGAAGCTGAAAATTCCAGTCGCCACCAATGAACTTCGGACCTGGGAAGGACGAAAGGTGGGAGACAGCGAAGTCCAGCAAGGCTTCGGTCTGAGGGTGGGCATTAGGGTGATTGCGGCCTTCAGGGTAGCCGTACAGCACTGCTCCTGTCACCCAGGCTGAGGGGGTGAAAAACGAACCAAATTGCAACCGTCCAGTTTCATAGACATCCTGCGGCCAGGGTGTTGACAACGTCCTGCACGGAAAGGCAGAAGTAAATGCCACACCAGCCCACTCCCCAGCATCGCTGGCCGCAGTGCGTTGAGCCATGGGGGCTCCTGTCAGGACATGCTTGTACCTGGAGTGCATAGACTTCAAACTGCAAGCCAGGCCTCGCTTGGAACTGCTGGTCAGATGTGTCTCTGAAAGTGCCATCACGTCAGCTGGAACACTGCTCAAAACATGATACTTACCCTGTAGCCCCGAAGGGTTACCAATCCCCAGGCACCATGGAGCTTCTTCTGGACCAGGTTTACGTGCTTCCCCAAGTCGGCACAGCATAGTGAACAGCAAAAGGGAAAAGATTGCCCGCACAGGTCTGAAAGACCAACGGGACACTCTAGAGCTGGGCACCGCTCTAGAGCTCCCAACCCCTCATTCGGTCCGGGGTTTCTTCGCCAAAATCTGCTCCAGCCGGGACATTTGATCTGACAACATGCCCTGCATCTGCTTTGACTGCATCTCGAGTTGCATCATCATCTGTTGTTGCAACCCCTGTACCTGCGCGGTGTTTTGGGCATGGTGGTCAGTAACCGTGGACTCCAGCACCGTCTGGCGACTTGTAAGTTGGTGCATCTGCTGCTCCAAAAGGGAAATGCGAGAGTCCTGATCGTCCACTTCCATGCGTTCTGCCTGGATCGGCATCTTGGCCAGGACCTTGGACTCGATTCTCTGTTCCAGCTCCTGAAGAGCACAGGCAGAAGGGGCACTCGCAGGTTGGCAGCCTGCTTCCAGGGATCATTGTGCAGCCATGGGTCGGTGCTGGCACCATCTGTGACAGAGCAGAGCTGGACCGTGTTGGCCTGGCCGATGACTCTCATGTCAGGTTCCGGCAGGGTGGCACGTGCATCATGTCGAGTGATGACAACCTGGCCGTGGTGCATGCTCATCACATTGGCTGGTGGCTCCACATTGGCCTGGACAGACCACATGAGTCCTCCTGGAGCGCTCTGCAGGGGCTGAAGCGGCCTGCACTCCCAACCGCTGGCCTTGAGTGTGCGTGCCAGCCCTTTGCGATCACTGCCATATGGCCATGGGCCGCAATGGAAAACCATCCGGGAGCCTGGTGCCAGGAAAACTGCGTCTGGCTTGACGCTGGCAAACACTTGCTGGAAGTGAGTTGTGTGCACCCTGAGTCCATATCGGCGACCAGTTCTTGCAATGCCAACACAGTGAGCCTCGCATTTGGCCATGTGGGCCACAGATGCATAGTCATGCTGTGGGAGCCAGATCACCTGAAAGTCGCCGCTCGGCTGGGCTGCGTCTTCCGTCTTCGGCTCAACATACACACCTTTTTGGCCACTGACTGCGACAACCTGGGGTTCCAGCGACTTGATATATCTGACCATGACAGCAAAGGATGCGGCCTGGTCCCATTTGACAGGCCGACCTGCCTCATTGAGGAATTGGCGTCTGAACACATCCAAAAGGGCATCATGGGGTCCATCTGGAGGCGGATGCCAAGCAGGGCAAGAGCATGATTCCATCTTGCAAACCTGGAGTGCAGGGATGGCAGCAAGGATATGCTTGATCGGCTTGGCTGCAAAGTCCTCCCATTTACCATCCCACTGGTCAGCAAAAACGGTGACCCTGGCGCAAGCAACGTCAACAGACATGATCGCAGGGGTATTCTGGGCCTTGTACTGATAGATAACTGCTCCTCCCAGTTGGACGAGGGCACCTGTGAGCAGCATGGGCTCTTGGTTCAGGGCACATCTGGCAGCGAATCTGACAGTGGCATACTGCAGATTGGTCGGCAGGTCTTTGGGTGGATTCAGGATCAGCAATGCAAGTCCACGGCTGGTCAGCAGCTTGTCTGCTTGCAGAAAGGGAGTGGCATCAGCAAAGTTGGTCAAGGCAACTCCTGTCACTAACGGTCCAATCTGAGCAAAGTCCACTTGGCAAACTGGCTCATCATGTCCTGTGCAAAAGGCTCCAGGGTCAAGCTGAATTTTGGCTGGGTCAAGTTCACGAGGGCGGGCAGGCATGGCAGGGCGCTGACTCGTTTGCTTCTTGGGTTTGGGGTTCTTCTGAAGTACCCTCTGCTGTTGTTCATCGGGAAGGACAAGTTGCACAGGCGGCGTTTGCAGGTTGGCCAAAGCTTTGAGGGACTTCCAAGGCGTGCCCCCCGTGACGGCATTGGTGACTGCACTACGGCCTAAACCCTGTACCACAAGTTTGGCTCTCTGTGCCGATTGTTCAAGCGGGACTCCATGCAATTGCAGCAAGTTAGCTACAAGACCCAGGGTGTCTGGAACTCCAAGACCCCAACACCAAGGACGCGGGACAACAGACAAGTCCATGATGGCGGCTGCAAAACTTTCCTGAAGATCCCCATGAAGGGCAACAATGGCGTCAAAATCCAAAGGCAGAGGCTTATCCAACAGGACATGGGCCAAGTACGCAAAGGCAGCAGCTCCGCAGTGTGTCAAGCCAAAGGTGCGGCGAGTGCAAGTGACAGCAAATCCAGGCGAAGTCCAAGCTTGGCAGATAAGTCCATGCAGCGGGTTAAGTCCATCAACATCAACGCCGTCAACCTCCCAGATTGAAACAGACACACCACGTTGACCACGAGTCCAGACAACAGGAATCCAGTGATCAGAGCAAGGGACAACGGTGACCGCACAGCAGCAAGAGTCCACAGACATGAGCCAAGCACGCACCTGCTCAACAGTGCCCACACGGAGCCAACTGGCCGCAAGGACAGGGTCGATCATGTGGACATCGGTTCGCCCAGACAACTTGATGCACGCACGGACATGGAGGAGCAGTTCATCATCTGCCATGGCGGGGCCCTGATTGTGCAGGATCAACAAACGATTATCAACACCAGCATGCTCTTGACGCATGATTTGGATGTGATGCAAGTCAGGCAGCAAAGGAGGGACCAACGCAGCCAAAGACGGACCTGACAGATGAGTAAGTCCACTGAGAGGATCTGGCCGAACTGAGCATGGAACCATGTCAACATCGACTGACTGAGGCACAGAAGCACGACTGGCGGATGTACTTTCGGATGCTGGTTCAGGCAAAGGCTCTGGAACTTCATTGCCGGTGGCAGGGCGTGCAGGGAGGCCCTGACTGTGCAAGGCATCGGCAAAATTGGCACGGATGCATAACCCTCGGATGCAGTCATCATCACCTAAGGGACGGCCGGTGGCATCATCAGTCCATCCATACTGGCAGGCACCTTGGTTCAAAGCAGCTTCGGCAGTCCTGAGGTCACGAAGGGTGGCTGCAGTGGGTACCGGGAATGCCAGTTTCGTGGAATCAGGAAAAACAACCTGAACCATAGATCCAATGGGAGGGCTGGGAACTCCATCATTGAACAACCGCCTCACATTACTAAAGAGAATGGCTTTGATACTCTGAAGTACTGCAGGAGGGTCCACAGTGGGCAATCCCAAGGCGTGTTGGATCTGCCATGCAACACTAGCACCTACCCACCCAGCTTGGAGCGGCGAGGCCAGCTGGCCAATGGCACAGATTCCAAGTCGCAAGTCAACCGTGTTCTGATACAGACCTGGCACAAGTGGCATGGCATTCAGGAGGCTCAGTTCAGCAGGGTGAAAGTGCCGATACTTTGGTGGCCCTTGTGAAACAGGTACTGGAAGCACTTGACCAAAAATACCCCTCTGCAAAATCAGTTGGTCACTGAAGCCGGTCGACCTGCAAAGGCATGGGCATGCTCTACTCTGACTGCCCCAGCTGTGCAAACATGTTGGCAGTTTTCCGGAAGTCTGGACCAAGTACTTTCGCATATGGGAGCCATCCAAGGTAAATTGTCTGAGCTCTTCATCATCAAGGAGCAACTCACGCATCACTTCATCTGGCCATTGCTTAACATATGGCATGAGATCACGGATGCAAAGGTGTGGATGATGGGGCCATTCTGGGACACAAATGGGAGCAAAACAAGGGTGAACTGCAATGACCCACCAACGTGCCCGACGGGCAACCCAATTGTCCTCTAGTCGAAGAGTCAAGTCCGAGACACGATACCCCAACTGGTCTTCCAAAGCCCTCAAATGAGCTTGGACAAACTTGTTGCTCTGGGCAGGGCAAACGCATTCAATGATGATGAGCGGGCACTGACACAAATGACCAAGCCTGAGTGTCGCAGGGAGAGTCGACGACCTGGCATCACTGGATCCACCTTGGCTGCCTGCGGTGGAGTATGGTTGACAACTGATACCTGCCATCAATGAGAACGGTGGGTCAACGGAAGTCAAAAGGGACTGAGCACAGGCAGGACTGGTCAAATCCAAATTCAACACCGGGACATCTGGATGGCACAAGGAGTGAAGGCGTGCGAGTGGTTGACTCCACTCAACACTGGCAACATGCTTGAAACCGGCAAAACCAAGTCCAACAGAGGAACAGGCAACACCAGAACAAACCTCAACCAGACGGAACAAATCAGGCCCAGGACAAAGACCATGAGCAACGATAGTACTGGCATCGGTCAGAAGCAAGTCCACAAAAGGAGAACGCCAGTCCACCAAGGCATTCAAGACAGTCATCCTCTTGCATCCACGCACCTGGTCAGAGACTTCGCCATAGATCCTCACCTTCTGATCCCCGGGGTGCACAACACCTATGACCAGCTCATCTGTGAACAAAACCCCATCCACAACCAAGGAAATTGGGCGGCCTTTTTCCAGTTGGGACCATTCCGGGGTAAAAAGATCGTGCAAAGCGACATGTCTGTCCCAGTCGTTGCTATGATCCATGGGGCAATGTAGGCAAAACGCTCAAACTTTGGTATGAACCAGCCCCCCGCTGTACTGGTAGGGATTTGAGCCGAGGCTTTTTTCCAAACCACCAACCAGTTATATTCCCCTTTTGTGTCCATCGCCGTGCCGATGTCCCGCCCATTTCCAGATATCCAGCGTCAGAACAGAGCCTTGCTTCATGGCATCGCAAAGCCTGGGGTGGACTCGCCGAACTGGATGACTTCGAGGCTTTCAGTGGGTGCAATTGAGGTTATCACCGTGTGAGCATAGCCTGATGATAACCATGGTGATGAATTCCTTTTTATAGGCCCTAACATCTAATAACTATGGGTATATTCATCCGCTTCGAACTGGAAGTGCACTTCTAAGCAAAAGAGTAGCCAAGTTGATTGCTCACTAGTTTCTAGGTTTTAGGGTGATTATAATATATTTTATAAGTGTAGTTAGATGGGATTCTAAACTAAGTTATATCTGGGGGGGCAACACCTTGTAGGTTTGTAAGTGATTTATGGTCTGTGGTTGCTGGTAAACCATGATAAAACTGATATAGCAGATAACCATTCACATCCAATAGTAGGATTTGTTAGGGGTATATAAACCAATCATCATGGGGACATGGTGGGGATAAAACCAACAACATGGCGTTGTCTGAAAATAGGTTAACCCAAAAACCCAGTGGCTTATTTTCATTGTCAACTTTAAATAGCCATCAAACCGGATCCATTTTTAAAACCCATTTGTCTTTTCTTGCGGGGGCTTTTCTTCGTGAGGTGATATCCATTCTACCCTCGAGGGCCGAATGGACTGCCGGAAACCAAAACCTGAGAGATGCTGAATGCTGAAAAACCGTCTGGATAAGTACAGAAGGCAACATCTTGAGAACCCAGCTTCACATAACCATTCTTCTATGCTCAAGCTGCAGTTTACTTTTGCAATGCCTCCAAAATAAAATCAGGGGTAACAATACATACTCAGTGGCAATCAAAGATGGCAATGGAAAATGCCCCATTGGTAGATGATTTTCCCATTAAAAAAAAAACATCCATTGAGTGCGGGGATTTCCCAGCCATTTTTGATTACCGCAGAGTACATCAATTATGCCGAAGTCTCATGATTCTACTTCACCTAATCCGAGTCACCTCATCCAAGTAGAATTATATATATATAACATGTGTTGAAAACCCAGCTGCTGATTGCTGCAACTCTGGATTTCTGCATGCGGATCCTTCGTGTTTATTGGAAACACAATGATTGTTGGATCATTCCCATGCACTCCGTCCCTTCCAGATCAGATAACAGGGGACAAGCTTTGCAAGTACATGATCTAACCACCCCACAGCCTCACCTTGGACAGAGGATTTGACCTTGGTGAATGCATCCAGACCCCGCTTCAGCTCATGGTTGTTTGCCAGCAAGTCCATGGCAGCTCCTCGGACGAACTCCACGACTGGCGAAGCGTTCCTCTTCGTTGGTCGCCTGTAGCTTGAGGGCCTTCGACCTCCTCTGCGTTTAAACTGTGTTTCCACATGCGGGCATACATAAACCGCAAGTTGCTGGCATGAAGTAGCGGAGCACTGACTTGGGAAACTTCGTCCCCAGCAACGCAAGCAACATGCTGTAAAGCAGATTCTAATCTTTTCTTTTTGTCCCCAGTCAATAGAAGAGCAGGTGTGTGCAAAGCGGCTTTGGCTCCGAGGCCGCAAGCTGCATGAAAGGTTCGGCCGAAAATCCACCGTGCTCCAGCATTTGTGGCGCAAAGAAGGTAATAAGAATTGATGCCGTGAAAAAAATGCGTATAAGAGGCCTGATCATATGGTTTAGCATCTGTATCGCTTGCGCAATGCGGTTGGCCTGGTGGAGGAACCCAAATACTACGTGGTCAAGCAGCATTGACATGCAAGAAACATGCTAGAACACAAACCTGGAGATTCATCTTCGCTGCAAAAATATTTCCGTTCAATTTTATGGCAGTCTTGGCGCACGGGCAAATCGACAAATGAAGGTGTATAGTTATCATCTGTCAAAATTACGGGCCCGCGATCAACTTGAATCATTGTCAGCTGCTCTTGGTGCCCAGGTCTTAACCCTAGGTCCACACATACCTATGCGATGGTCCAACGCGACGCGTGAAGTGTACGTGGTCCATGGACATGAAACACTATAAGAAGGGGAAAGCAGTTGTTTGCCTGAAAGCGAAGATGTGGAGTTTGTTCAATATTAAGCATGTGTGCGGAAGAACAAAGGTATTGATCCATAACCGATAACCCAAAATGACAATGCTCGTCAAAATCAGATGTATTTATGTATGATACCTTCAGTGAATCAATAGCAAACTAGCACAGTCATATGTATCATATGACATTCATATGACATTCATTTGAGCTGTGTCCAAAAGGTATTGTTCTTCTGAAGGCGCTAAGGGAATGCTTACGTAAGCAGCTTACGCGCTGCTTACGCGCCGGCAGTTTTGGCCTACGCGCGGGAATAGCTTACGCTGATGCTTATACGCGGGCTCATGCACACCAGGGTTTTGCTTACGCGAGGTCCATATTGCCACCCTCTTACTAAAAATGAATAAGGGGGTTTTGGACGTATTGACATTCATATAACATTAAAATGACCATAATGCATCATACTATCTGGTATCCATGATGTGTCATGCCATGCCAAACCTTAGGTTCAACAATGATACCCAATCATCCAAGTAACCAACCAGGAAGCGCTTCCTCCGGAGCCAAACCCACCCTGAATGGAGCAAAAAAACGATGCTAAGGAATGGGTGGGAATTGTGCAGCACGGTTTGCGTCAAGGTGTTTTTTGATGAAAGAACAATTCAATTTTTAAGCATCGGTGAAATTGCTTAATTTCTTTTCAACAAGATAAAATCAGGTAAAAAAAACATCTAGTTGGTGGTGTCAAGCATCCTGAAACATATTTTCAGGTCATTGATGGGTCATCATTTTGAAGGGTTCGATGTTGAACATAACACATCTAGCAACCAGTTTAAGTATCAACGTTTTGTAGCTAAAAAGTTCTCTGCCATACTGGCCGTGGCTATGAAGTGGTTACAGAACCACGTGCAACAACTCCAACTAGGATATTGTTTTCTGATGGGGATGAAAACACAATGCGCTATATAACCACCAATCACCAAGGGGGCAACTTTGTTTTTCCGTCAGTGTGACAAGCTCTGAAAGACTTTCCAAAACGGAAAACTGATGAAAACTGCACCACAAACACTGTCGAATTGTACACTACATGTATATGTGTGGATGTTCTGAGCAATCAATCGACCATGCCAGGTACAAGCAACAAAGAATTTAGGGGGTAGTGATGAACATCCTGCAACCAACAAAGGTTGACACTGAAAATGGAGGATTCAAGGCACAACATGATCAACATGCTGCACAGTGGCTCACTAAAGTGGGGTTTTGCAAAACTGCGATGGCTCTCGCCGCACAAACTCATGGGGACCAAAATTAGCGTGGGCACCAAGGACTTAGGTTTTGGCACATGGAGCGTCCACAAAGTTCGCAATGTCAAAATATGTCAAGAAACCATTGGTTGTGCCAAAACATAATAATTTGCCCAAATCAAAAACCATTGGTTTGATCCAAAACAACCAAAATAGGTCAAGTTGGGGTGAACATCTGTGAACAACATTGAACCTATTCCATGTCTTGAGCCTATTCCATGTCTTGAAGGGACTCCCAGCGCCTGCGAAGGCCATCTGGAAAGATGACCACGTCCTTGCGGCTGCGGAATCCGCTGAAGGCCAGACAAAATTTGGAGCGTCCCGGTGAAAATGGCAAAAAAAATCCAAACAACATGTATATAATATGGGAAACCCAACATCATAGACCATCCCCAAGTCATCACCATGCTTAATCATTTTTATGGCTGGTTTTTAACCATCCCCAAATGGTATATATGATTATGATTGGGTTTCCGACAATAGTAATCACTGTAACTAAAGAAAATTTAAGTACAACGTTGGCAATAAGTTTAAACAACCCAACGGCTATTCTAAATACAATAGTGTTGGGTATATATATATACACGTATCCTTATTATATTCCCATTCTATCCCTATTACTGTTGATCCAAGACCCAGAAAAGAGTTGATTTGATGCCTCAATGATCGCTCTAGAATTGTTTCTGTAAAATAGCTACCCTTTGGTAAACCAACATAACTATGGAAAATCACCATTTTTAATGCGAACACTCACTATACATGGCCATTTTCAATAGCTATTTTGACATAACCAGAGGGTAAATTCCATGTCACCTGGATGTAAGATGATCTAAATATGACTACAATCCATCCACTTGCAAAGTGGGTGAGTATTGTTGGTGAAATATTCCCATGAACCGTGGATAATCACAGCATATATAGATATAGCTCAACGATCTTTAACCATTGTTATTTTTTACAAACGAACAACACAAGTATTCTTGAACATAAGATCTATAATATTCACCAGTTTCATACTAACATATATCAACCATAGGACCATGAACCACTAAAAAAAAAAACGGGGCAATGACAGCCCCATGGACGGAAACGTTTCCTCCAGGTGGTCATCCAACAGCATGGCTTCCGCGAAGAGCTGACAGCTCGATACAACACGCGGAGCCCTCCTCGCTGTGAGTCGACTTAGTGCCCGTTGGTTTCACAGTGAGTCCAGGGGTTTTAAAGAAATACTTCCAGTGAGTATTATTGAACATAATTACATATATTATATCTATCCATTTATAAGGTTTTGCAATTGATCTGGGGTCTCTCGAAATGGATTCTTGGGTCTTTCCAAATATTTTATATATGGTGGAAATGAATTGTATTGTAGGTACCTGATTATTTCCCCTATGAGGTAACCGATTGGTTGTTTAAATGGGTATCATCTTACCATTGGTCATTTAATGTATCTATTTGTTTTCTACCATGCTCATGGATAATCATATGTACATTATTATTTTGACTCTTAGGCAACCAATTGGTTGGACTGGTATCATCCCAGTATCGATTACGATTATTTTTTCTATCATATTCTTTGGATAAACAGGGGTCCACTACCATTTCCCTTAAAGGGTACCCGACCAATTGCTGGATTAAAATGGAATAGGTATCATCCCTTTATAGGGTATGTACTATATCTATTTGTTGCAACCACACTCATGTTTCTTCTAGGATGGTGCCCACATATACCTTTGGTATAAAACCACCAATATTATCCCTGATGATCACTCTTTTATTCAAGTACTAAATTTCCCCATTATTTCTACGTCTACATCATATCTCCTTTAAATGCAACGTCCAATTATGAATTTTGCCGAACTCAGGGTGCAGAAATCTGCACCTTGACTTAGGCAAAAAAAACGATATCCTAGGTGCTTGGTGGGGTATTGCCTAAGTCAAGGTGCAGATTTCTGCACCTAGACTTCGGCAATACAGAGGTTGTACTCTGGGATTTAAGAAAAAATTGCATGTGGACTTACGAACCAGCCTTACTATTATATTCTACCATGACTTTTGCCACAATGGATTCGGGGTCCTTCATTTTGAGATTTAGGCAAAACAAATGCCAATCTTTTGGCTCGGGGGACCCCAAATCCATCGCAACCGCAAATCCGTCGCATAACAATATTTCATTTGATATTTTATCTAAGTACTCAACCTAAAAAACATATCTGAACTACGATCGAATTTGTGATCGTCTGTTCTGACTGGTACTTCCACGAGTAGAAGGGTAAATGGATGGAGGCTAATTATCAACTCCCTTCTTGGCATGACTACCGAACGACGGATAAGAATTAATAATATTGAAACACCCAAGGGACACTAACCCAAAACGATTTTTCCTTTGGGAAAAAATCGCTAGTATACACCAAGGCCACCTACCTTGATAGATAAGATAGATAAAGAATTAAATGTTGGAACACATATATCACACAATCAGAGATAGAATTAAACTTAAACCACCAAGGACCCTAGAATCAAATTCCAAAGGCCCCTTACCGGCTGCAAAACCTTTTATTTCATTTTGTAATATTCAAGCTTCAAGTTCAAGTTTTCATTTTTACACATACCCTCCAGTAAAGCGACAGTCTGACACTGAAAGTGACTTAAACAGTGGAAAATAGTGGAAATTCACCTTCCATCCCCCTCAAATTGGGCCTAATGTGGTGGATCCTCCAAGTTGGCACCTTGTCAGGCTTTGTTGCTTGGGGCCCCATTGAAACTATACACATACATAATTATATTATTGTAAATATATGTATATATGGATTATTCCCGTCGTGGAAAACCATAGTTATATATATATATATATTTATATATATATATTTATATACATATTTAGAAAGAATATATAGACACATAATCACTATGGTTATTACCCATAGTTATAAATATATAATATATACATATAATCACTATGGCTATGACCATATTATTACCATCGTTATTCCCATCGTTATTACCATAGGTATACCACTCTTATACCTATGACTAGTTCTCCTTCTGCCATCCGCTCCTCGCGTCCTCCAGCAGCTCCTGAGGTCCCGAAAAAATGGGGGAGGTTCAGCCCGAAGAATGCGGGATGAATGGGGATTGAAACAAGAAACTAATAGAAACTACATGGGATTCATGAGGGTTGTCAATTTAGATGAACTCGGATCCGACAAATATTGGGATGGGGATTGAAACAACACACAGTTGGGATGAATTGGGATAAAATCATATAAAGCCGACAAAAAACTGGGATTCATGATTGAAGCAACAGCCACCAAAGTTGGGAGTAGAAATCACCCCCCTACGGCCCTTGCGAATTGGGGCAGCCCGTTTTAGCTGCCCGTTTTAGCTACCCGTTGTAGTTGGTTTTGTCATGTTTTGTCCCAATTGTCCCATAAAAATCATATCACCGGGGCGCCGGGGCGTCCACTTGTGTGGATTTGAGTGGTATATGCCATTTTGGTGGTTTATTTTCTGTTCTCCCTCAACTCACTATACCATTGAAATCTCGATGTCGATTGGTGAAATCCGTTGGTGAAATCCCTTGCTGTTGGTTGGTTCAAACACTAAGTCACTATTAATGTGATCAAAAGTTGAAACAATTATGAAAACCATTCCCCCAGTCATCACCATAAATATATAGTTGGTATGTTTACCATTCCCAGTCATGGGTGGCTTGTGACATTGTTTTACCCACATTATATTAACATAGCAATGGAAAATGTCCATTTACAGATGATTTTCCCAGCTATAAATCTTCATTAAACTTAATGGATTTTCCATAGCTATGTTAAATAACCAATCCAATATTTGGTTGTTTTGCTTTAATCCCGGTGAATCCCCAATGTTTTGTTGCTGAAAAATCCCCATGGGGCCAAAGGGCTCTCGAGGAGTCCCTTGTTGCGCTTGAAACGCAACGAATCTATGACCTGTTGAAAAGGAAAGGTGATCAACGAATGGATTTTAGATGTTGTCACTATTTTGTCACTATTGTTTTAAAGGCAAAACCATACAACATCAGATCACGTTTCTGTACCTGTGCCCATACATGATTGAATTGGTTTTGTAAACCCATGAAATACTTACTCATAAATAGGTTGGATGCTCTTGGTTAAGCCACCTTTTTACCAGCCATAGACATCCATAGGTCAGGACCAAGCCTGTCGTTCCTCCTCCGTGAGAGCTGCCATTTCGGGCGCCATCTGTGGCCCCGGCCCTGAGGAGGGGTTGATGCTGAGCATAGCTCTTGGTTACGGCCGGTTACGTCCGGTTACGTCGCAAGGTGCTTAAAAAAGGTTATGCAACTGTTGAATTTCCATGTCAAACTCATTGAGCTGACCAACAAAAACAAACGCTAGAAATGGGCCAAACGGGTGACTGTTTCCCATAGTCTGACGTCAGCATATTTCAACCCTGGATATTCGTCACCCCCTCTGCTGTTTCACTGGGGTCCATTTTAGTAGCAACCTTGGCTCCAGCTTTGAGCCAAGATGTCCCGAAAAACGATGACTTTTTGCCTGCTTAGCACCTTGTGGCCAATCCCAACATGTTGTGTACATCCATTGCATACCTATAAACTATATGTATATGAAATGTATCATCTGTAAAGACCTGCAAAAAACACATATGTGTATATGCAATTATATATATATAGTGAATTATAGTGATTATTTATTTATGGGGTTCCTGTACATATATGTCTATACATATGTGTATATATATATATATACGTTGATATTGTATATACAGTATATACATATAAATATATCACGTAATATTACGTATTATATCTCTTGTGCATATGGAATAACCCCGCTTAGAACTGGAAAAATCCTGCCTACCCTACGTCATACGACATGATACGACATGATACTCTGGTTGGTGGTTGACCTACCCCTCTGAAAAATATGAGTTCGTCAGTTGGGATTATTATTCCCAACTGAATGGACAGTCATAAAAATTCATGTTCCAGCCAGGACTACATAATACTACATAATACTACATGTTGGGTTACAACCCACATCCCAGCCGCCCCTTTTCTGACCAAGTCTGGGAGCCAATGGCTGCTCCTTTTCCGTGGCACGTTTGGTTTGATGGGTCTAAACTCTATTTCGTTCCCGACATCGCGGTCCCGAAAGATGTCTGGCGAAGGTGACTCTAGGTGACTCATGTTTTAATAACGGCCAACTGAATTGTTACATGCAGTATATATGTAAATGATCTTATCATGCAGAGTATTGTATGTGCATATGAAGATCATCAACCAGGTGACTTGTGGAGATTTTTGCGTCTGTAAGATACAGCAAAAAAAACACAGACCTAATAGAAATGAGTTAGACATATCATCACTTATATATCTTTCCACTTGGGATTGCTGAAAAAACACGGCTGGTTGGAAAACTGTGAGCGAGAAGGTGGTTGGAAAATCCCGTGTCTTCGCTAAGTCGATTTACGAGTAGAAGACACGGTGGTAGTTCTTCTTAACAAGGTGGTTGGAAAACAAGTAGTTTGATATATTAACCCTGTAAGTAAACTTGAGGCCGGGGGTGGATGACGAAAGCTAGCGGGGTAGGAGAAAGAAGGAAGGGAAGAGGTGAGTTGCGGAAGGACTGTCATCATCGTGTCGCGGCATTATTCGTCCCAACGAGGATGCAACAATGATATATTGATATATGATATATAACAATGATATATATGGGGGAGGGGGCAGGGGGGGGCCCTTTCGCGGGAAAAATCACGTGATGTCCTTGGGGAGCCCCGGAATACGTGCTAAAGCAAGAAGACTCTAGCGAGCTGACGCTAGCTTTCGTGATAATGACAATAATTGCCAATAATGATAAAATGTAATTGAATAACGATGATGATGATGATGATGATGATGATGATGATGATGATGATGACGACGAGATGATGATGATGATGATGATGACGATGACGATGACGATGACGAGGACGATGAGGAGGACGACGATGATGATGATGATGAGGACGAGGACGAGGACGAGGACGATGGAGAGGACGATGACGATGATGATGACGATGATGATGACGATGATGATGACGATGATGATGACGATGATGATGATGATGATGGTGGTGATGGTGGTGGTGGTGGGGGAGGGGGGGGGCCCCCTTTCGCGTGAAAAATCACGTGATGTCCTTGAGCAGCCCCCCCAATACTTGCTAAAGCAAGAAGACTCCAGCTAGCTGACGCTAGCTTTCGTGACTGTTGGTCTCAAGGTAAGGTAAATATATCAAGCTACTTTGAGTAGAATACAGTCCATGGATGTGGATGGATTAACATACTGTAACAAGGGCAGCAACACCTTACTAGGGACTGGTCGCAGCTATACCAAGCTTACTCATTTACAAACCATGAGCCAGTCGGTTCATCCCCAATAGTTCCTAATAGGGCCATCTTTCCGACTTAGAGATGGCCAATCATACCATGCAACGCATACTTTGTTTGGCTGGTTAAGTAGTCTCCTAAGTCATGGGGGTACCCCTGGTCATCATCCATTTAAATATGATTTTCCAAATAATAAACCAATTATTCCGGCAAATCCACCACTTATGGAAACCAACTTATGTGGGCTATGAATTAATGTACTCATCCGAGGTTTAGCCAATATAAAGACCAACATTTTGGCCGAGCCGGTATCCAACAGAAATCGCAGCAATGGCTTACTCAGATTCACAAATAGTAGACTCACTTGTTTTCACCATTTAATGAATCTGAAACAAATGAGTCTTAGTGAACTGTGTTCCCACTGTTTGTGAAATGGTGCTTAATGCACATTTCACATTTATTCACCCACCATTTCACAAACAGTACTATTTCCGAGTGATTACTTACGCAGGGCAAATATGTAACAAAGTTGTCATGATCCACCATTCTTCCCCGCTGAAGTTCCATATTTGCTACTTCAACAAATTTTCCCTTCATCAATTTACATACCAGAGGGGAAGGGACATCCACTATGATGCATTGACGGTTGGTGTAGTATTGACATCCAAATTATGGGCAGTGTTTTACCACATGAGATCACATATCGATTATTTATAAACACTATCAAATGCGCTATCGCCATGCTTTTTTTATCCACTGACTCCGGTTCAACCTTGCGTTTGTCACTTAAAATGCTTACACTCTGGTATAAACGTTTACATTACTATGGAAAATCACCATGTTGAATGGGTAAATCCACTATTTCAATGGCAATTTTCAATAGCTACTTTGAATTATTTTGAGATAACCAGAGGGTAACAGGCACAAAACCACCATTTTTGATGGCAACAAAAATGTCACGATCACCCAGTCAGTGACAGTATGACCGAGTATGAAAAGTCATCTCATTGTCTCATTGCTTCTACCCCAGTAATATCCCGATTTTAAACATGCTTGAGCCAGACACTCATGCTAAATCGTGCCATGGACTAAACTTTGATTATCATGATTTATCATACCATTGGATATAATATATATATATAATATATACACAATTGTAGTCACTCTAATAGAACACATACTTTTTTGATCCATCCATCCTCCGATGCTTCAGCACATGTTTTATCACCCATCGGAAAACAACAAAACAAAATATCATACACACCTATTGTTATCCATCTTTCTCCGTTTTTTTCCACATGTTTCAGAGTATCTTCGCCCAGACATCCGTTCATATATATATATCTCCATGGTTCGCCCATCGCTCCCTGCTGTTCCTCACGCATCGCTCGCATCGCTCAGCCGCCGGACATCATGAGCTCCTCCGCCATCTCCGCGGCCGTCTCACCGGCGCCGTGGCACACGTCGAAGACGCAGTCCTCGAACATGGCTTCCTCCTCGCTGTTGCCTCGCCACGTCGATGTTGGTGAAGCCGAGAAATATCCCACAGACGCGAACTTTTTAGATGAATTGAAGCAAGATTCGTTGTTTTTGGGGGATTGATTCAGGGATTTCAGCGATTCAAGAATATATTGAGGATTTGGAGGAGCTTGATGGAGAAAAATGAGGAAGAAACATCAGCAAGAATGAAGTATCCATAAAGTATCTGATGTTTTTTTGGATATTCAACAAAAGTCGGGAGATTCGCGCAGAAAATGACGACTGAAACTTTCACCCCCGAAAAAGAAGATTCACCAATCAGAACACTCATCCAACTGATGTACCGCAAAACTGGGGTTCATGTACCCACTTTTACTCTCCAGTAAGCAAACATGACAATGTAAATTCCCATCTTTGCAGGCAATTCTATGATATATAATACCTGTACGAGTTGGGTTGGTCCAGTTGGAAAATGTGATTTTTTAGTACAACATGGTCCTGTGGCATAAATTAGGGACCCAAGAAAATCTAGCAACAGACATCAAACCAATTTGAGGTATCCTAGAAAAATGGCCACGTATGAAACCTGTATTATGGAAGATATGGTTATCTTTCTTCTTAGAAAAACACCTCCGTACTTGAATTGCATATTCTGGAAAATTCGATACCAAATATGTTGTAAACCACTTCAAGTTACTGTTAACCATTTTCTAGAGCCCAACATCCAACCCAGTGTGCGGTTTCGGATTTTTCTCGGAACTTCGAAAGCATCATTTAAGCACATTCATGCTTTTCGAAGTGTAGAAAATCCATACTCTATGGGTGGGTTGACCCCATCAATTTCCTAATATATATATATAATATCCTCATAACTGACATAATCTGGCAGTGAACTCTCCGTGGTCAGATCCAAGTGACGGTTCTTCTTGGAGCCCAAATGTTTGGAGCAGGTCCTCGGGCGGCGTTTTTTAGCCATGGCTGGAACATCTGAGACATAGCAAGATATTGGAAACCTGTTTTGCAAGCCATGTTGGAAGATCTGGAATTTCACCATGTTTTCACCATGGTTCCTGAAAAGCAACCGTTGCATGGAGGTGTCCTGCACATGTTTAGTTTAGTCTCTGATCATCCTCATGTCTGGCGATCAAAGGGCGGATCTTAACCAACCAACGTTCCAACGTTCATGACCGGGCGAACCAAAAAGCCATCTGGATAGTGGGAAAATCGCCCATCTTCGGCAAATCCAGGAATTTCTCTCTGATAAACCAGGTGATATTTCGCACCCTAGAATGACTCATCAACAGGGGAGTTTTTCATAGCGGGTGATAGCTTTGAGGATAACATTTGTTTGGCCCCGCAGGGCTGCTGTCACCCTTCGTTTTACAATCAGCTCCTGAGAATTTGCCCAGACACAGACATATTCTCTGATATTTTGGGATCGGTTCATTCCCGGGGACACACACACACATATATATATATATATATTATATTTAAATAAACACATCCACTTTTAAACCTTCTTCGAGTCTTAGTCTTGATCCTTTTCTCCTCAGTCTGGTCAGGTTTCCGACATTTCCATCGTGGGAGTGGACAGAACATTCCATAAAAGTGGTCAACTGCTGCCTTTCTCCCCATGAAAGGGCGGTGATTCGCTCCCCATCGATCCTCCCGCTGCCACAACCAATTCAACCAAGCCCCGGGGATTACTAACCCACCAACATCCAACAACCACACGAAAAAAGGGCTTAGTAACCAGCGATCCTTCGGGGGCCACCCCTTCAGGAGATATCAGCAACTGTCCAAGCCCTGTTGGGCATTGAATGGCGCTCTAGGCGGCGCATGGATCCTGATGGATCTGAACCTCCCAAAAGGTTCCTTCCTTTTTTTCGCAACCTCCAACTATCAGATAGACAAGTCAAATCCTAGCATTTTCTAACCGTCAATGACTCTTCCACCTTTTGGGGAGTTTCCATATGTAAAGTGGGGGCAACCTAAACTGAATACCTCCACGACCGATCGCATCAAGTAGAGTCATCCCTTGGCTGACGAAAACACGTTTTTTTGGCCATGGGGATGATTCCCCCAACCCCATCATCTACCCGGCCTGGTAAACATTCACAGTCTGCGACATAGAAAATGGCCTAGTCGAAATAGTTGATTTATGTTGATTTACCTATTGAAAATAGTGATTTTCAACAGTCATGTTAGTTTACCAGAGGATATTAGGGACGCCAAGCGTCTTTCTGGCTTCTTCTTGTTCCTCCTCGCTACAACTGGTAGCGGCCTTGGTGCGGGTCATCCTCTGCTAAAAACTGGTGAAGTTTCAGTGAATCAACGGCAAATCACGGCAACTCCATCGAGTGTCTCCCTTTACCACCAGAAATGTGGATCATCTTCGAACAGGTTTACTGGAAGGTATCCCCCCTTCCAACGCCAGAAGGCTAGCCAGCTTGCATCGAGCGGCAAAGGACGTAGCCAGCTGCTTGCTGTCAGAGTGGTTGACATCCCACCCGCTTGAGCTCTGCAGCAAGGAGATTTTCTGGGCCTCTTCCATCTGGAAATATGCTGCCGCCTGGCGCTGCGGGAAATAGATATCTGTGGTTTGGGCTTGAAAAGGAAAAAATAAGGATTCAACCAATACAACTGTTGATCTGTTGATTTTTCATGGAATATCGTAAGTTGGTTTATAAGTTTCACTAGTCTAATTAGGCCTTATGGAGGATGTATCTATAGTTAGTTGGTTGCCATGTCTATAAACTAAGTGTTCCCTTCCAGTAGATGACATCGCTGTGGAAAACCCATGGTGAAACCCATCAAATCTTGGTGTAGAACCTGCTTGAGAGTGCTATCCCAATTTATGCGGCTTAACATACAAAGGCCAAACCCATTTGTATAGGAACCTCAGCTGCATCCACAAGTCACACTTACATCTGCATTTACCCAATATCTGATGCTGGTGGAGAAACAACATCCACTCTTGACCGCCAGGCATTGTCTGATTCCATTCCTGTTGGACAAGTGGGTTTATCCAAATATCTGCTGGTAATTGACTGGGTGGTGGACAAGGCCTGCGCAACCTCTAAAACTGGATTTTTGGGATTTATCACGTGGGATTCTTTACCCATAACATTAAGCTTGACGCTTGAGGATGTAACAACAAACCTGAAAAGAAGAGCATTTCAAATTGTGACCTTGAATGAAGTGATGTATTCGTAATACTTTGTATATCTTTGTATGTATGCATATATATATATTTATGCAGACATATGCTTCTAGAGTCCGGTGTGTGGATGCAACACATATAATGTGGAGTCTGCTCAAGGATTTTCAAAGCAATCGGATTTGGGGAGCACCATGTTGTCTCAAACAAATCCATATCATAGTGTTGCTCATACCTTCTAGGTGTAGGTCAAAATTGTGTACCCCAACAATTGGATGCTTGATGCTATGCTAAACTATACTTATATCTGTGGCACGCCTGAAGGGGAAACATTGGTCTTTCACACCTATGCTAGTTTGAGCTAGGGTAAACTCACCACAAAAATGCATGGTCTTCCCATTAAATGATACATGTTTAGAATATTATAGAATTTATCCAATTGATATCTTATCCATATCTAATCATTCCCCATCTATGTGAGTTTGACCTAGGTAACTGGGTTTGTCTAAAATGGTACTCCAAGCAATTTTCACAGAAACCAAAGTATCAAAGTGCTGTATCATTCCCATGAAAATCTCTCCGTTTCCCCAACATATCCCAATTAGACTACCAACGTTGTTGGTTCGATAGCCATATCCATCATTGGTTCATCGCATGACACATATCCAACTGGTTTGTCGGTTGGGAACATCATCTCATTTATAGGGTTGGAGAAACACAAAGCTAACAAAACATGTTATATAAAATAAGCAAGTAGATTTCATGGTGTGCATCGCGTTGGTTGTATATCCCATGTCCTCCTATCCCCATCGATTTCTGTGGGCATTTTTCGCCCAAAATCCCAGATGAACTATCCAACATCGTGAAAAAGATGCCCATTACTATCCATGAATATCCATTAAGATCAATTCCTACGAGTATCTCAATTTCCTTAATATAGCCCCATTCAACTGCACTTGCGTTATATCATGTTATATCATATCATCCTCTTCCCCTAATATTAAACACAAGCTAAATCGTCCCAAATATCTCCAATACAGGTTGTAATGCCAACACAATACCGATCAATCAGGATATGAATTTGATTAAATTTGCGTAAATTTGTCTGCAACTGTGTCAATTCCCCACTGATGATTAATCAATGGGTCTTGAGTATACCGCATTTTGAGACATACATCTGGATTGAAACTGGCTTGCCTCAGTCAAAGAAAATGCTACATGGATGGTAGTTTCAACCCATCCAATTCCAAAAATAGAGGAAATGAAGTCAATCCAGATTGCTGGGGTACCAATCACTCAGTTAATCTAGAACGGATTATCCAGTACCCTGGCTGGTCATCAAACATCGCTGTGAATTTCCAAAAAAGGGAACTCAATGGAAACAATGGGTTCATGCGGATGATCATCCTGGATTTCTGTGGGGAAAATCAACACCGGAAACCATGGGTGCCATGGATGTTCACATAAAAAATACTTCGTTTTTCGGAGGTTTCCTGGCCATTTTTCCAACAAAAAAACCATTGAGATTAGCTGAAACCAGATGGAAACCTCTTGCAATTTAGGAAACCGATGGCAAAATTCGATGGGATTTGACCTGGGGGTTTCAGCCCCAACGATGTGGAAAACATGGCCATGACATCCTGGGGCCCATTAAGCCATGGCGGTTTTGGGGGTCCAGGATAGCCGCTATTTGTGAAGAGATACCCGGCCTGGTAATGACTAACAGCTTGCGAACTTGAACATGGCCATAGAAATAGTTGATTTTCCCATTAAAAGTGGTTATTTTCCATATTAATGTAAACGTTTACCAGAGGGTAAAGCCCTATGAAACATCTCATGACCTTTGGCTCACCACAAGATTCAAGGTGATTACGCTGATTACTTGGGCTCAAATTCTTGGTGAAATCCCAGCTCAAACCATATCATCATTAAACATCGAATCCATCACATCCATTCCTATCCCATATGTAAATCACCTGATCATCCATTTATCATAAAATTATCATTCATTTGTCATCAAAAACATCATCCTTTTTCATCCAAATATCATCCATATCCCATTTTTTACCACCATCAAAACCCACACAATCTGACAACATCACCGGTGATTTTTGCATCAACCGCCATTGCCATCCCAAAAAACCACACCTGGGCGCTGCCTCCCAGCTCTTCCCAGTGGCTCTTCACTTCGACAGCGTCGTCGCTGTCGATGGAGCTCGCCACAAAGGACGGCTCGACGAAGGACGCGGAGGCCTCGATGAAGGACATCCGTGGCGCCAACGCGCCCTGCATAAGGTCGCTGCCGTGCCTGGCGAAGCTGCCGACGTTTAGAGATGGCGAAAAAGGATGGGTTGCGAAAAAGGATGGATTGCGACCGTCGTGGTTTTGAGAGAAATGACAGGCCGACATGTGAAATTCACATGCTTCAAATATGGCTAAATATGGCAAAATTAACATTTGAGCTCATGGATTTTCAGGGGTTTTAAATGTTCAATGGGTTTTCAAACCCCAACAAAAAGAGACTCACTGCGACCCTGAGAACCATCTAGCCTTCGGTTCATGGGCTTTTTTTTCACATGACATGACTGCAATCAATGTTTCATTGAACACTCCATTGTAGTGTAAAATCAATCGGCTACAAATTGACTCCATTGTTTTGCGCACTATTCTGGTCATGTTTGAGGTCAGCAATCACCAGATGGATGGCCATCCCTTTTTCACAGAAGCTGATGTTCATTCCTATGGGGAATCCGGGTCCCATGGCTATATGAAAATCTATGGCCACTATGGATATGACTGATATTAAGATGATGATCCACTGTTAATTGGTTATAAAATATAAATATATCAATATAGAATAATATAGATATATCATGATTATATCATGATACATCCATAAAAGCAAATGACCATCCTCCAATATGGATTAATATACAATCCAAGTTTTTTGACCATGGCACATATGTGAAATACTCCTCTATGAAATCGCTGAAGTTATTCGACAAAATATGCCAACCATGCAACTGCATGCATTCCCAAATCATTTGTTTAAACTATTCCAACTGTTGAGCGTCTCCCCTGGCATATTTGGGGCCCAACATGAACTCAGTGTACCCTCTGCCAATTTGTTACATCGCTATGGTATAGGATAGATGGCCATTGACAAATGATTTGCTGATTTCTTAAATGTTTATTTTCCAAGGCGGTGTAACAAATTGCCAGAGGGTGATCGATTGATTAATATCCCATTCTTATCCCATTGTATTAATTATTCTTCATGATGTTCAAAGAATATTTCATTCTTATCCAATTACTGTTCTAATGCCAAAGATTGATCCACCCCTTTTTTCCCTTTGCCTTTGCTGCATGGCCATCTGGAAATTGATGTGTTGCTTGGGTCGACAAGCGAGGCTCAGCAGGGCCGCGTCTTGGGCAAAGTCTTTCATCTGCATGTTCAAGCGAACATTGCTTTGACCTGCGCACATTGCTGGTCCATGCTGGTCCCAAGTAGATTGCGACTTAGTTGAAACATGTCGGAAACAATAAAAAAGATAGGCTGGGCGGCCGGGGATCAGCTTCCCAAGATGTTTTGCTGTTTTGGGAATGGTATGAATGGTCAACTCTTGTAGATCACCCCAGTTTTCGGCAAATTTGAGGTCGAGATCATGGGTAGAAACAAAGGATCTTTGAAACCACTGTCAAGTCACCCTTCAGCCGCCCATCTTTCTTTGTCATGATGAAGCCGGTCACATAGTCGTTCCCGTCAGGAACTGACAGGCTTTCTCCATCTTTCACCAAAGTCCATTCTTGGTCTCCTTTCTGTGCTCTCCACTGACAGTCCTGCGCAGTGATTTCCAACGCCTGACGCTTTTTTCCCCCGGAGTTGTCCACCAGAAGCAAGCCTTTCGTGAAGGCTGGGTGCCCCGAGTAGCGCGTGTAGATCTGCCAATCCACCGGAACTTTGTTCCTTTGTGAAGCGGGAATCGCATCCACTCCAGAGTAGCGCCAAATGGAGAAGGTGCCCTGGCTTTCTCCGATATCTCCTCAGGATTCGGATGATGCCCAGGTAAAAATCTGGAGAGTGGCAGGCTGTGGGAGTGTCATAAGTTTAAGATCATCATACACATATTGAAAGATGATTGAATGCATTGAAAAAAAGGGAAGGAGGAGGTGTTGTGACTGCCATTTTTTGCATTTTTGACATGTCATTTCTGCAAAAGATACCAAACTCTGTTCTTTCCAAAACCAAACATTGTTGCTTCTGTAACAAAAGCAACCACTGTGCACTGTCAACAGCTCTCCCAATGTCCTACATAGATGCATAGTTTCAGCCAAAACAAACATGAACACTAAATAAAAACAACAAAACAAACAAGTGCAAATGCCTTTTCAAAGAGTGCAGCATTGCTTTAAAAATGTATAGACTCTATATCTCTACAAGAGTTTCCCTGCAATATTTTTTTTGGACATGTGCATTTTAAACAGGCACCAATTTATGCAATATGTTATCTATTGAACAATGAAGGAAAATAAACATGCAACCATCACTTGTAAAATGACTTTGCATAAAGAACACCATTCCTCCATTATGGCAATGTAAACAAGTGCTACATGCCTATGCAAAGAGTGCAGCAGCACAATTACCTACAATATCTCTTTCAAACTAGTGCAGCATTTGCCCGAAAAAAATGTCATACTACTGCAAACTGTGCAAAATCTGTGTCAATCAAGGAAAGTCTTCCTTAGAAAATGCGCATATGTATGTGTATTGTATGTTATGTAGTTTTAAAAGTGAATAGTTTCCTGGCAAATCTGTGTAGCATCCCTCCAAGAAAGTGTAACATGAGTCTACAGCAGATTCCATCGATGATGCAATAATGCTAACAAGATGGTCGCATTTTCTTCAGCAAAGTGTGCCACCAATTTATGCAACATATTTTTTTAAAAGGTACAGCATGAAACTAAGGTTATTGTCTAGGACATGGTCGAACATTTCAAAATTGGAACGCGCAGTCTTGATCCTCAGGCCCAGTATGTTCATAGTTGCAGTGGTTAAACGAGTGGTTCCTGCAAGTTTGACTGCATGAAAACACAAAACGGCCAGTGTACAAAAAACTGCAAATGGCTGAAAGTGACAAAAACAAAAAACCTTGGACAAATAAAACAAACAAAAAAACAATTTTCAGAGAGTCTTGGCTGCGAACCCCCCCTTCCAAAGAGACTAGAAATATTATTTTTTGGTGGTTTTCAAAGGCTTTTACCAAGTGTGGGGTACTTCAAGGAAACTGGCATGAATCACAGGCGAAACTGTCAAAGTGCCTTTGGGAGTGCAGTGAAACATCTCAAACTATCATCTTAAATCATGGGAAAACTGCACTCCCAGGGGCTGCCGTTCTGAAAACACACGTAGATTGCTAAAAAATATCTGAAAATGGATAAACCTCAGATTTTTAGAGAAGGTGCAAATTCTTTTGACCCACCACATTCCAAGTGTTTGTTCAAGTATCACAAAGTAGCATATCACTCAGCCATAGACGGGCCATGGGAAAACCCTATGATTCAGTAATTGGGCTATAACCCACACAACACATATTTTTTTTACATATCATAAATTTATATGATTTCGCAACCAGTCAAGTAACTTCATGGCTGATCTATAAAAGTATCCAAACATATGCCAAACCTGTGGATCAACCAATCTCCAAGACTCCACTAAGGTCACTAGTGATGGCAGAAGGCGGAGCCCTCTGCAGCAAACACGACTTGTCACCGGGAAGCGCTGCGTCCGCAGTGGCGAAGAACAGTGCGAACCAGGAAACCATGGACGATGCCAAGTTGGCCATGGCCAATCGAAAATTTCAACAGATCAAGGTGTTGAGCATCGAAGTGCTGAAATGGTGAACGCAAAAAGTCAAACCACGAAAAAAAAAATCAAACACTGACTCCAGGATACTCCAGGCAACTTTAGAAGGATCAATTGTAAATATGGTTTGTCTGAAAATTGTGGGTCAAACCGGACAATTTTTAAAAATCCACAACATGGTGCCGCCTAATTTTAGGTTGGTTTATAACCCCACTTAACTGATGATATTTTTTGTTTTCTTAACCATTTTCAGACAAACCCAGGAATCACCTGATGCCGTTTGCTGATGGTTCGTTCAGGAGATGATACCAATACCCTCCGATGATCATGGATTTCTCCAGCAACCCACGTTTGATCTCCGCAGGATATATATATATATATATTTATAAATATATTATATATGTAAATATTTTTATTAGTCCACTACGGTTACTCAAGTTAGATACACCAACATATGTCACCAGTTATACTGTTTGAATTACCTTTAGTCCCTGTTGTTTGTTGGTTTCATCCAAATGTGCGCTGATTCAGTCCTGATTTTGTTGGTCGAATTTTCATGTTTTCTGTTGAATACAAATGTTTGTTTACTTTACAGAACAGCGGTTTGTAAGCTAAATCCTCCTTTTCGTTGGTCAAAACCAGATTTTTGTTGATTAAATCTGCCTTATTGTAGGTCACATCCTCATGTTTGTTGGTATTGTGATCCTTTTTCTTGGTTAAATACACGTGTTTCTTGGTGAAATCCCCGTGTTTCGTGCTGAAAAATCAATGTTTTTCTTGGTTAAATCCACATTTTTCCTGCTTTCCACATGTTTCTTGGTTTCTTCTACCCCAATCTTCGCGCCGCGCTGGCGTCTTTTTACGCCTTTGGCGTCCATCGAATCATGTTGTTTTTCGTGGCGCGCACGGCGCCATCAGCCAGGTGACTCATGACCTGGTCAGGGGGGAACGACATGGGGGAGATGGGGGTCTGGTGATATACACATATCTATATGTAATGTATTTGTATATATCATATGTATTAAAATATCAATATATCTGTAGTTATATAATGTGTATTTATATATATATATATGTTAAACGTTTTTATATAAATATATTTTCTTTATCTAAATAATTAAATATATATATATATATATATATTTGTCAATTTCCGGAGATGATGTATGAATTAGACATACTTCTATATACTTATTTGATACTACCACATACTATATATGTAATCCCCCTACCAGTAGTACCCGCACGAGGCGAGACGGAAGCTGCCTTAGGGATATGCTGAAAGACTTTTATCATCTATAGAACTTGCATGCGCCGTGCTCCAGCCAGGCCCGTGCGTGCGTGCTTTGTGCGAAGCTGTTGCAGTGTTGTTGTCCAAGAACATTACCTGCGCGCGACCCCGGTGCAATGCAACGCCAAGCGACGACTTTCTTCACACTTCACACTGTACTCTTCACGCCCCGCACTTCACACTTCACACTTGCACTTCACACTCCACACTTCATCTCATCTCAAACCATTGAGCTCTTCTCACCTCATCTCAGCTCTTCTCATCTCATCCCATCTGTTCTCACATGTCATAAAAGTAAGTTCTTCTCAACTGTTTTCATCTCATCCGAGCATTGATCAACCTTTCTCATCTCCTCGATGTTCGTCTCAACTCATCTCAGCTGTTCTGCACGCCAGAGATCTCTTACTGTCAGAGAGAAGTCTCTTGCGCAAAAAAAAACGATTGGGCGCAGAAACTTTTGCACACAGACGCTTGAGGCACATATGCATTTACACAGAAAAGCCTTTAACAAATACTTTGTACTACAAAGCTTGCACAAAGCACTTTCCACAAAATACTTTGTACTACAAAGCTTGCACAAAGCACTTCCCAGTACTACTTTGTACTACGAAGCTTGCACCAAGCACTTCCCAGTACTACTTTGTACTACAAAGCTTGCACAAAGCACTTCCCAGTACTACTTTGTGCTATAAAGCTTGCACAAAGCCCTTCCCAGTACTACTTTGTACTACGAAGCTTGCACAAAGCACTTCCCAGTACTACTTTGTACTACGAAGCTTGCACAAAGCACTTTCCAGTACTACTTTGTACTGCAATGTACAAAGCTTGCACAAAGCACGTTCCAGTACTACATTGTACTACAAACCTTGCACAAAGTACGTCCCAGTACTTCATTGTACTACAAAGCTTGCGCAAAGCAATTCCCAGTACTACTTTGTACTGCAAAGCTTGCGCAAACTACTTCCCGAACTACTTTGTACTACACAGCTTGCACAAAGCACTTCCCAGTACTACTTTGTACTACTTTGTACTACTTTTTGCTACAAACATTGCACAAAGTAAGTCCCAGTACTACTTTGTACTACAAAGCTTGCACAAAGAAATCTTTTACACACAGCAAGTTCTTTCGCAGAGAAGCTTTTACACACAGCAAGCTTTTTAAACAGAAGTTTTTACATAGAGATGCTTTTACACACAACAAGCTTTTACACAGAGAATCTTTTACACACAGAAAGCTTTTACACAACGCAAGCTTTACTCACAGCAAGCGTTTACACACAGAACACTTTTACATCTTTTACACAGAGTGCTTTAGACATGGCAAGCGTTTACACACTCAGAAGCTTTTACACACACACAGAAGCTTTTACGCACAGCGAGCTTTTACACACAAAATCTTTTACACACAGCAAGCTTTTACATAAAAAAGTTTGCACAGAGAAGCTTTCTTGTATATAATGAAAGCGCAAATTGCAGCTCCAAAACCGGATGGATCTCGGCGCCAAAGCAAAAAAAACACGATTTTGAAGCACTGTTTAAAAGGAATTTTTACGAGGAAAATCACCAGCGCCAAAATTGAAAAATCTTCTGACAAATCACTGTCGCAGCCTTGGTGCAGCCACTCCAATACAATTCACGACATGCAGCTGCAAAAGACAATGGTATTACGCAAACAGCCGCAGCAGCGAGGAACGTTGATGCAGCCATTACATTGCGATCTGCAGCGGCTGAGTTGCTAAACACAATAGAACTACGCACAACGGCGCCAGAAATTGCAGCACCAAAACTGGGCCTCGGTGCCAAAGCGAAAAAGCACGATTTTGAAGCACTAAAAAAAATAAAAGGAAAATCACCAACGCCAAATGACGCCAAAACTTAGAAAACCCGCTGACAGATCACTAGCACAACCTTGAATCAGCCACTCCAATACGATTCACGACTTTCAGCTGCAAAACACCAAAGTATACGGAAAACGCCGCGGTCAGGAGGTACTCTTCATCGCCGGCTGCAGCCACTTTACACGGCAAAGCACAAGGTTTCGTGCTCCGGCTTCCTCCCCAACACAAGCCCCATGCAACGTTCATGCAGCCATCACAATGCATTTTGCAGCATGACGTGGCTAACCCGCATGTATCTACGCACATGGCAACAAAGCATGACAACAATCATGCAGCGACCCCAATGCGATCTGCAACCAGAGATTCAAGAAACACATAGAACTACGCACACAGGAACAACCACTGGTTGAAGAACACAGAGGAGGAACCAATTTCGTGGCAAACCCGCATGTCTCTACACACATGGCAACAAAACGTGGCAACAATCATGTAACCATTCCATTGCGATCTGCAACCACAGATTCCAAAACACCCAATAACTACGTACGCACAAGCACACCCAAAGCAGCTTGAAGCCACCGTTACAGTGCGGCAAAAAAAAAGCAAACCGACCGCAGCCGCAACCGCCGCAGACAGGAGGTACCTTTCATTACCGGCTGCAACCACTCCACACGGAAAAACAATGAACAACACAAGGTTTCGTGCTCCGGCTTCCTCCCCAACACAAGCTCCATGCAACGTTCATGCAGCCATCACAATGCATTCAGCAGCGTTCCCTTTATCACCACTTCCATTCGTCACCTTCCCTTCCTCACCACTTCCCTTAATCACCACTTCCCTTCGTCACCACTTCCCTTCGTCACCGCTCCCCAAATTCACCACTTTCCAAAGTCACCACACTCCCTTCGTCACCACTTCCCAAAGTCATCACACTCCCTTCGTCATCACTTCCCAAAGTCACCACACTCCCTTCGTCACCACTTCCCAAAGTCACCACACTCCCTTCGTCACCATTTCTCTTAGTCACCACTTCCCAAAGTCCAAGGAGTAGGTCCGAACTCTCCAAAAGCCAGTCCAGGCAGGTTCTGCTCACTATGAGTAGTTGATGGACGGCAGAAAGCTGTCAGTCAGACCAAGTCCAAACAAACGCAACACTGCAAGATCAACCATCTGAGCCAAAGCAGTTGTCGCGAAACGATCTTCATGCCACAAGTGCCTGTAGATCGACCGTGGGTCCATACTCCCTGGTCTCCACACACCATTTGCTGTGAGCACTTCTGGGTGAAGGCCCATGTAGCGCAAAGCTTGAGATAACCCAGCGCTCATCATCATGTTGAGGACCATGATCACACCGTTGCCCAAAGCATGCCTTTCTTTCACTGCACTCAGCAGTGTTTCCAGTGTAGCTGCTGCTTCTCGTTTCTGGGTGCCCAAAGACCAAGTGCGCCCCCGGTTTGTTGTTTATGCCATATATATTTAATTACAACACTTTACAACCCCAAAAGGTCCACATCGCTCTGTCTGAAATGTGTAATACAAAGAGACATACAACAATTTATAGCATTTTTTGCGAAAACCGAGGTTCTAAGCAAAACCAAATATTAGATGCCCTCCATTTTTTTTAAAGGTGGGTAGTATATCATCCCCATTTGTAGCACTACTGTAGAGTACTAAACTACCATCCAGTCTGCCAGTTGGTTTCCCCAGATTTCGAAAATTACATCACGCATGTTCTTTGGTAAAAGCATGTAAAAAACCGATCACAGTCACATTTTTTTGTTGGTTAAACCATATTAAACCATGTTAAACCCCACTTTTGATTGTTAACTCCTTAAATCGGATCCCCATCTGTCCAGTCACTTCGTCCAGTAGGCAGTGAATCGCCGCCTCGTCTCGGAGACATTGAACGTCCTGCACGCGCGTCCGAGAGGAGCGTCCGACAGGAGCAACCACAGGTTCATGACCAAAAGCAGTGGTTGGATAGTGTTAAACCTGTATTGTGTGTATATGCACCTGCAGCTGCATAGTAATATATCATATCCTGTATATCCATGTATCATATGTATGTGTATAATTGTAAATACACATGTATATATATATAAATATATATATATATATATATATAATGAATGTATATGATACGCAGATACGCATTGATACACACATAATATGTTAATGTACGCTGTACATATATTTAACGGGTCTTTGTCCCTGTTTCTTGATATTTTAAACGATCATGCTCTACCAGCCAACCTCACAGCCTTGCTTACCTCAGATGGTGAACCATGAGGTTTTGGGGGAAGATTCGATGGCTTACGCATGTCTATCATTTTCAGACTCACCCTTAAGGCAGCATAATGATCATCCATTTAGTCTCCAATCGGTTTACCTGGTCAGGCAGTGGTGGCTATAAACACAGCTTTCCAAAATCCACTGCTTTGTCATTGGTTTCTAGCTAAAGTGGCAATTTTGGCGTATACCTGCCCAAACAAAGCAATTGGGTTTATCTTAGTACATATGGTGTTTATCATTCTTGTCCAAAAGAAACACATGCCATTTTGGAGTCTCCCCCAGAAACAAAGTGGTTCAGTAGCTGGGATCTAATGAGACTTTTTGATGTGAAAATCATAGGATATATATATGTATGTGTATATATATAATTATATATATACAAACAATATTGTACAGTACTGTACTGTACAGTACTGTATTGTACAGTACTGTATTGTACTGTATCGTACTGTATACTGTACTACTGTACTGTATACTGTACTGTACTGTATTGTACTGTATTCAAATAACGTATCTTGCTGCACTAGTTGTCACAACATCATAGCAAGACAAGTAACTCCAAGCTCTGGCAATTGATCACGGCGCTGAAAAAGCATTCCATTTGGAAGTAGCTTTGTGGCTCCACCATGGCCTTGTTCGTCAAAGACTTTCGTTGCAAGTTGCTAACTGTTGCAGCGAGGTGCACCTCCCAATCATGCCTGCAGTGTGTGGCAATGCAGCCCTACTGTACTGGACTGTAGTACTGTATGTACTGTATTGTAGTGTATTGTCGTGTATGTACTGTACTATATTGTAAAAAATCACTTATCGCTCAAAGCAACAAATGAATTATATACATACATACCATTCACCTGGTAATTTCGAAACTCAATAGGGTCTGGTTGGTGGTTGACCTACCCCCTCTGAAAAATATGAGTTCGTCAGTTTGGGTGATTCTTCCCAACTGAATGGAAAAAAAAATCCTCCAAACCACCAACCAGTATGTGTATATATATATATATACACAGTGCCATTCACCATGGCATCTTTTATTTTGATGAACAGTGGAGGGGATTCTCCAGATTCTACCAACCGGCGCCGGCTCTCAATGCTGACACAATGATATCAGAAGGCCAAATGCAAGGTCTTTCTGACCAATGATCAACCCAACAAACCGAACAACCAACCAATCAGTATCAACGAAGCAATAGTGAACCAATCATCACGCATCAACCAACCAATAACCAAACAATTCCCGGTAAACCATCCCCAGTCCGCCCGTTTTTGGGGTCCATGATTTTGTGAAAAAACAAAAAGGGGTTGGTATATTGCATGACACCCTTACATGTTACAGGGATGATTATTCGCACATCAGGTTGACCACAAAATAGCCATGGAACATATTTCTTGGGATTTGTTGAAGGTATACCCTCTGGATCATCATTTTGTAGTGGTTAATAGTGGTTAACAACTGTTAATAATGGTTAATAATAATGGTTACCCTCTGGTTATGACTAACATAGCCATGGTATAAATGGCCCATAGAAATAGATGGTTTACCTATTAAAAAAGGTGATTTTCCATGGCAAACTGTTAAATAACCAGATGGTATATCCCACCTCATCACCATAAAGTGCTTGGTTCTAACTTCAAACCCCATCGCTGTCCAGCTCTCCTGGTGAGCCACCCCGGCGTCTCCTGGGAAACTTGAATCGGGGTTTCCTATGAAGGTACCCCAATAGCTGGGATGGTTTATTTCATGGAAAAATCGTATTAAAAAAATGGATGATTTGGGGGTACCTCCATAGGACACCCCAATTTGACAGGGGAATGACTGTATATAAACCAGGGGAAATATGTGAAATGACTTTCGAAACCCAGTTCACAATATATGGGATTTTGGTTGTTCAAAACAGTCAAGCATTTGCCCATATGTTTTTTCTTAATGGGATCCCTTCGCCGGATCACAATTAAAAACTCTGAGTGTTCTTTTTTAAACATTTGAAATGTAGAATAAAGATGAATATAGTAGAATATATCTATTTGGTTGCTGGTTTTAGCCATCTTGAAAAATATGAAAGTCAATGGGAAGGATTATCCCATATATTATGGAAAATAAAAATGTATAACAAATGTTTGAAACCACCAACAAGATATCATTTGTTTAGGAAAACCATTGGTTTTCCCATACCTCTTTGATCCTCTTTGCATCTTTACCAGAGATAAGGCTGCTACAGCATCCCAAATCGATTTGTGATCATCCGGATATAACCCTATGGATTAGTTACTGTGGATATATCCTATATTTTTCATATGCCCCAAACCTCCTACAATTCATTGTGGATTCCCTGTTTCACATCCGGCTGGTCCATCCATCACCATCGCCGCCTGGGGCTCTTGGGGCTTCCACTTCGCGCATTTCGCTCTGCGATTGCCTGCGGGGACAGTCCCCGATGTTGTGGAACATGTATTTTGGCCGTGCAAGGGCATGAAAACAGGTCAAAACAGGGACAAATTTACTGCACCGCATTCATGCCAAAACCACCAAGAATGGATGAGTTGTCATTGACCATATCCATTTGATGGACTTAATTCCTTCTACTAGTTCTGCTCATTTATGGATGACATAAACTAAAATCATCTAAATAACCAGCCCGGTTCCCTGAGGCTTCAAGTTTGACCCATCCCCATATCGGAATGGCCTCCCCTCCCCCGAATTCCCACCTGAATTTCAGCCAATCTCCTCAGTAGGCAGAAACTCAAAGCCAGGATGACGAGACAACCCAGTTTCATTTAAAACTATCATCCCGTAGATAGAAAATAGGGATAAATAGGAAACATTCCACCAATGGTTTTCTGAATGTCCATATCTACTAAAGGATTGCGATAATTTCGAAACAGGACCCTTTTTCGGGTCACCTTTGGGAATGGTAACCCCCACGTGGCACCAATCCATCAGGATTTCCAATCTCCCCCTGGTGCCTGGTGTTCCTTATAAAATGGCAATTCCGAAATGCATTTTTTATAAAATTGCAATTGTTTTTTGCTGTGCGTTGCCCATTGTTCTGGCACTTTTTGCCAAAATGTTGTTTAAATTTGCACAAACACAAATTTTATGAAACAACGCCATATTTGACATTTACAAACGCCTGACCAGAATAATGGCATTTTGTGTTTGTTTTACTGATGTCGTAGATGTGAGCGACAGGCACATGTTTTACCGTCGCCAGAGGGTACTTCCCAAATCAATGATGCAACACTTAGCTGGGGATGACCCTGGAAAAGGCATGGTTAGGAAACTCTAAGTAGCTTCTTTAGCTCCTTTGCTCCTCATTTAATAGGGAATACATAGGGAATATATATATATATGATATGATATGATATGATATGATATGATATGATATGATTATATATTAATATGTAGGGACTATGGATACCCATAGCTCCTTAGCTCCTTAGCTCCTTCCCACACATTTGGGACATCTGGGTGCCCCCAACTGCTGCCGCTTCTTCCGCGACTCCTCACGTCGTTGCTGATTCTCCACCATCCGATCCTGCACGCCCTGCGACACAAAGGGCAGGCTGGGGATGATGTTTTTTGTCCAATGCATATGAGGACCATTGAGGGTCTAGGTATACTTATAATTCAATGATATGGGTGGATATTATCCAAATCAATAGATGATTATAGACTAATAATAGATGCTAAGTCTGCATCTATAATGGCAGCTAGAAACAACGGAAAACACACATGTAGATATCTTGGGTTTGAGAGGATTCAGAACCACTGTCACCACTGTTCTTGGGGATAGACCATATTTTGAAGTTTGGATGCGGCATTGTTTTGCATCAACCCAATGAGCATGGAAAAGAGACATCTTAAACAAAACACCTAAACAAAACAAAAAATCCACCAGTCGTGCATGATTTTATTCCCCTTGCATTTCCAGATTCTCTCGATGAGGTTTTCTTAGTACCCGTCAGGTTAAGCATATGTCTGGTGCCGTTGGTCCCGTTGATTGAGGCCACCCCCGGAAATGTTGGGCTCCTTATGCCCTAGTTGCAAGGTAGGAATGAGCTTCTTGGGACGGAATGGGTATTGAGGGCAAACAATGTGCCATGGTCACATGAGGCACGGTCATCCCACCATCATGGGAACCTTCAAAAAGAACTCATGGCAGACATGGGTTGGTCTGAAAATAGGGTACCTCTAAATGAAGTGACTGGTAATCATCTGCCCCATTTATCATGCGATAAATTCGGGTATACGGTATACGCAATTTTTTGACAGACAAAGCCACATATTACATCAAATTATATAGTTGCAGTATGTCCCCATTCTATTCCCACCCTATGCCATAAAGTGGTGGATTTTGTCCCCCAAGCACATCTACTATTGGTAGCCCCGGATTAATGAGTTGATATAATCTCTTGATTGCAGTTGGTTATATCACTACATTGCCACGAGCAGAGCCCACTAAATTCCAATTGTTTCAGAACAGAATCCTTATATCATATCACAATATGTTCGCATAACAAAGATGCGGTCAAATCAATATTGTCCTTTTCGAAAACAAAATAATGCGGGGCCGGGTTGGTAGAAACCATGTTTTAAATTTCTGGAGTCTACTGGGTATATCATGGCAGATCATCCAATTTCTGATTATAGTTGGTGATTTATATATATATATGTATCATATTATATTATCTTATCTATCTTATATTATATACTATATTAAATTATATATTATATTATATTATATTATGTATTTATATAATATGTATATCCCATCGATTCCCATAGTATTTCCATAGTATGTCCATGCATCTCCCATCAAATCCAACAAACTTGACCCATGGCACACATCTTTTCCCCGCCTTGGGCGGCTCAGGCCTCGAAGCTGATATCACCAAGTGATGCTGGGAAAATCAATGGGATATGGATCAATGACATAAAAAAACGAACGATTTCTGAAGGATTTCATGTCGATTTCATGGTGATAAAACTTGTTCTATAACCAATATAACCAATCATGGGGGCGATTTGTTCCTTTCGGGTCAGCCGAGCCGCGTCGGCTCCGCGAAGGGGATGTGCAGCCAAATGGTCCTGGGATCCCACCCGTAATGATCCCACCGCTGGTGTCAGCTGGCTTAGGTGCTTGGGTCAGCTTGGTGCCATGGAGAATGACTCCCAGCGGAAATTGTTGATAACCATCAATTATATACTGTTGAAGAAGCTATAATTCATTTCCTGTCAGCCGCCTGAGGATGATTCGTGGTCCGATACTCGTCACTTGGATGTGCAACCCCCTTAGTAATTGGGTAATGAGCATATGAACCTACCCAGCTATGTATGGGATATATATATATATATATAGCCATAGATGATCAAACAGTTACTAAGCGGGATGCACCCCCAAGTAATTATAGTAATTCATAGAGTAGCACAGTTGGCTGCCGGTCAATGCCCTGGTCAATCGGGAAGAAGATACCAGGATGTGAAGTGGTGGCCTCTTTTCTTGGTGTCTAGATGTGCCTAGTTTCGACCCATACCATGTACCCTCTGGTTATTTAACATAGCCATGGAAAATCACCGTTTTTAATAAGTAAACCATCCATAAACGGGCAATTTTCAATGGCTATGTTAAATAACCAGAGGGTATATATATATGTATATGGAGGTTTCCTAAAATGGGGGTACCCCCAGTCCTCATCCATTTTATTTTCGGATTTTCCCTGAAATAAACCAACCATCTACTGGGGTACCACCATTTATGGAAACCCATATATATATATACACACGTATATATATATATATATTAATATATATATATATATATATATATCATATGTAATTATATAATACAAATGTATCCCATTTCTCCAGATAAACCTTGGGAAAGCCCTGGATTGTCTGAACAGAAATGGATGGTTTCGGCCATCGTCAGCCAAAAATAGGCTGATATCATAGGAGATTAGGATACTCATGGGATGTAATGGTCAGTTGAAAAAAGCCCACCAAATGTAATTGTGGGTTTATCTGGAAGCGAGTTAAATCCACAAATTACAACTTTGAAAAGAACATGACAGTGATTTTCTGTTTTTTTGGCACCCTTTTGTCCAGACAAATCCATATCACGCTGAAAATACCCAGCAAGCACCAAGAAAACAAGTACAGTATGGCATAGAGGAACATAGACGAAACAATTGAAACAGTTGGAGGTTAAATGGTGGTTCTTGAAATGGGGGACAGCAAATTCAACCATGAATCTTTGGAGGTCCCCAATTTCAAGTCTCACCATCCATCTAACGTAACGATGGTTCAACGGTTCAACCTTGATCTTCCTGGTCTTCCAGCCTGTTCATGTCGCGTAGTCTCTTCTTTTCCGCCTGGACATCTCCCAACTCAGATGGGGTAAACCCCGATACGCTTGATGGTGGGGGAACGTTCCTTTGCCTGTGGGAGGTTTATTGTAGCACATTGATGTGCATCGCAGGAATCTATCATAGCTTAGCTATGTAATTTTATATGTATGTATATATAAATATATATACATATATATATACATACAGTATATTGCAGATATGCTTTAGGGGTTACTTAAAATGGGAGAACTCCCAAACCTTGGTGTTTTTCCGTTTTCAAAAACCTCCACCAGACTAATGCTTTTTTCCCATTGAAAACTACCAATTTTAATGGGTGTGTCACTGGCTACTCACATTATGTATCTTCATTAACTTTCAATTTTGAGACAAACCCAAATACTTATCACTTTGTGTCATGTTGTTACATTCATCTCCATCATATCGGCATGATATTCCCACATCATCACTATTCCTGGTTGCTGAAATTAATTTACGCAGCCCACTGCTGCCTCCATCTGCCGTAGCAACTCCTCCCTGTCTCGTTGCAGCTTCAGTTTGAGTTCTTCGTTCATCTTGGCCAGCTCCTTGAACCCACCAGTGGGTGAAAGGTGAAAACGTCACCATTTCAAGATCCTGTTCCTGAAAACTTCTCAGACAAGTTATTACTATTTTTTACCAGTGTGTGGTGCTTTTTTTGAACTACAATATCCTTCAAATCTACCATTTGTTTTCTTATCCTATCTGAACATAAACATACATAAACATCTCCCTAGTTGGATCTAGTTGGGAACTCAAGTCAGAGTTCAACAATTCACATTTATCTTATGAGTTCGTTGTGGATTTTTGTACCCAGATGCACCAAGAACCAATCCATAGGGGGAGCAAGGCAATGTAGCGAAGAAATTCACAATCTTGCACCTCAAATGAATAGAATTGGTCAAAATCACAATCCACCATCAATAGCTATATAGGCCTTGGTACCATCCCATGCTCTCATCTCAGGTGTTTCCCCCACTTTCATACCACTCTTTTGGGGGTCGAAAAAGCCCCAGAAGGGACAGCTTGACACTCTGCATGTCCACCATTGTACGTTCGGATTCCAACGTGTCTGTGTCACTGAAGACTATGGCCACGACTCACACGTTGTGATGTTGCCAACGCGCCACAAAGTTGACATCGTCCATATCTGCAACTCCATATGCGCAATCTGACCTGTTCTCTCTCAAGTTGATGTCACACGAGTCCATTGCGAAGCGTAGTATCTTCATATGTTGTGCTTCGATGTGCGAACCGTTGTGATCTGAAAATTCCAAGCTCTCAACAAAAAGCAACTGATGGGATGTCCAGCATTCCACCTGGCAAGTGCACTTTGTAAACATAGCATGTATCTTCGTATGGCTGTTTAAAGAAATTGCTGAGAGGCGGCTATACAGTCCATATGTTCAATATTGTTCAATATTGACCATCGAATTATTGAGGTACCTTGAGGTACCCAATTTTGACCTATACCCATTGATTCTCATCATCCTCATTCTGGCGCAAAGGGCACCTATAAACTCATCCCTTCGTGTGGCGAGTGGACCCGAGCCGTTAGCTCGCAACCATCCAGGATCATCATGCCAATGAAGAATCAACAGCTGTTCTAAACAGCAACAGTTCCTGTAAATCTGCAACATTAGGGGGATAAGGACGATATATATCATAATCATGTTGATTATCATCCAATCCTGTTGATTATTACAATCATTATGATAATCATCATCACCATCCGAGGTTCCAAGATAATCATAATCATGAGCGGTACCGTAATGTCATACTGAAATTAGAGTCAACCTGGTTGAATAAATCGGGAGGTTAACTCCTAACCGTTGTGAACATCTTCGACCATGTTCGGCAAACTTCTCTGATAAAACTCGCAGCCCAGACAGGTTTAGCACTCTAGGATTTTAATATTATATAACTAGAGGTTTCCAAAAATAGGGGTATCCACTTGGGGTATCTCCAAATCATCCATTTTCATAGGATTTTCCATTACAAACCAACCATTTTGGGGTACCCCCATTTCAGGAAACTCCCAATTATATACCATTATACTCCCACAGAAATATCCCATGAAGTACCACAATTTGTGGTGGTTCTTTGCATTCATCTCCATGAAAACACACATCTCCTCCTTGTCTTTGAGCAACTTCAATCTTTTCAGCTCCTAGGCCATCTGCACAACAGGAGTTAGGAAGACTACTGAAGGATGACCCCTGAAAAGCAAAACATGTAGATGTGGATGAAAAACCCTTCATGATTGGGATATGATGCGTTCTAGAATTGCACTTTCCTTTTTAGATACTTTCAATGCTTTGCAGGATGTCAAGTAGAGGGGTGTATGCACTCATAATATCTCAAAATTATCAAAAACGATGGGTGCACAAACTATTCAACAAAACAAACTGGGGTCCAGGCAAAAACCACGGAATATGCAACCAACAGCAAGGATAGTTTTGTGGCAGGCGTTGCTGGCCTTGAATGTCTGCCGGCAAAGTTTTCAAAATCCCCATGTGTTATACCCATTTTTGCTGCTAATATGCAACAAATCCCACATAATCTTCCCATGTTTCTACCAAAAATCATCAACAATCCATGAACAAATCCTGGTTGTGGTTTCAACCCCTCTGAAAAATATGAGTTCGTCAGTTGGGATGATTATTCCATATACTATAGAAAATTAAAAATTATGTTCCAAAACACCAATCTGATATCCTATGTCTAGTATTGTCTAGTCACAATCATGGCTAATCTTGGCTGTGCCCCAGGACGGAAGAAGGTTTCTTGTAATGAACAAATCCCATGACGATCTGCCCATCTTTTTCCCATCTTTCCACGGTGGCGCCGCCATTTTCGCCAGCGCGCCTTGCGCGCCTTGCGGCAGCGGAACGCGCCCTGCAGCATCTCCGCTGCGCGGCGGCGTTGCGCCAGCTCCACTTCGATCAAACGCTGGGAGATCTGCTCCACCTCGCGGCGGAAGAGGGGAATATCATGGAAAAACACGGGATATTTTCCCTATTTACCATGGGAATTTTAGCATGGGAATTTTAGCATGGGAATTTTACCATGGGAATTTGGGAATTTTAGCATGGGAATTTTTAGAATGGGAATTTTACCATGGGAATTTGAGCATGGGAATTTGGGAATTTTAGCATGGGAATTTTAGCATGGGAATTTTAGAATGGGAATTTTAGAATGGGAATTTTACCACGGGAATTTTACCATGGGAATTTGGGAATTTTAGCATGGGAATTTTAGAATGGGAATTTTAGAATGGGAATTTTACCACGGGAATTTTACCATGGGAATTTTAGAATGGGAATTTTAGAATGGGCATTTTACCACGGGAATTTTACCACGGGAATTTGGGAATTTTAGCATGGGAATTTTACCACGGGAATTTGGGAATTTTAACATGGGAATTTTAGCATGGGAATTTTACCATGGGAATTTGACCATGGGAATTTGACCATGGGAATTTGACCATGGGAATTTTACCATGGGAAATTGGGAATTTTAGGTGAATTTGGGAATTTTAGCCTGGGAATTTGGGAATTTTAGCATGGGAATTTTACCATGAAAATTTGGGAATTTTAGCATGGGAATTTTGCCATGGGAACTTGGGAATTTTAGCATGGGAATTTTACCATGGGAATTTGGGAATTTTAGCATGGGAATTTTAGAATGGGAATTTTACCATGGGAATTTTACCATGGGAATTTGGGAATTTTAGCATGGGAATTTTAGAATGGAAATTTTACCATGAGAATTTGGGAATTTTAGCATGGGAATTTTAGAATGGGAATTTTACCATGGGAATTTTACCATGGGAATTTGGGAATTTTACCATGGGAATTTGGGAGTTTTAGCATGGGAATTTTGCCATGGGAATTTGGGAATTTTAGCATGGGAATTTTAGCATGGGAATTTTACCATGGGAATTTTACTATGGGAGTACCATTTTGTTGGAACATATTTTGTTGGAAAATTGGAAAATATCTTGGAAAGCGTATTAATTGGAATAGAATTGGAATAACGAAATTTGGAATATATGGAACATATCCCATTGCAGTCCCATTACATGCTGAAATAGTTTGGAATATTCTATGGGAAAATCGCGGGGACATATATTGGAACATCTACATTGGAATATAGTTGGAAATGTAAAAAAAGGAACATAACTGAAACAATTCCATTGTCATGAGAATATAATGGAAAAACATATAGTTGGAATACTATGGAAATATATGGGAATACATAATGGGAATATCATGGGAACATATACCAAAAACACATCCCATGAGATATAAGAGTTGGAGTATTTTCTGGGTCATGACTTATGATTCTACCAACCATCATGACAATTGGGGTATACTGGGTATACGGTTAAAAATTAAATTTGGTAAGAGCGCGATGATTTTGAGCAGCCCAACCGATCATATGAATCCGTATGATACTTCTGTTAGTGCCTGAAAAAGGGGTAAGCAAAACTGGTTGGTGGTTTGAACCCCTCTCAAAAATATGAGTTCGTCAGTTGGGATGATTATTCCCAACTGAATGGAAACATAAATCTATGGAAAGTCATAAAATTCATGTTCCAAACCACCAACCAGCCTATAATCGATGGCCATTGCAAAAGGAAACACCGACTACCACTGGATCTAGGGCGCGTGTTGACCCATGGAATCTGCTGTTCACCCCCGTAGCTGGTGTTCCTATAGGCCTACGGCAATGTTTAACTCATTCAACTGAGGGATAACCTATGGGTGAAAACCTATGCTTATATTCCCCATAAAACCCACTTTACCAAGTTATCAGTCAACTTAGATATCTGTATCTTGACATAATATTCTGTTTATATTTCACGTATATGTCAATGATATGCCATGAATATGCCATGAATATGCCATTATTATAAAACAATATACATATTGTATATATGACTATATACACTATGTAATTCCCCTCTGGCAATGACTAACATAGCTATTGAAAATGGCCATAGAAATAGTTGATTTACCCAGCTACAAAATGGTGATTTTCCATATTAGTTCTGTAAACGGTTACCAGACGGTAAACTACTAAAACATATGAACGACATGTTTGCTTTAGTATATTTTAGTAGCTAGTAGATAGTGAACCTTTCATAACCATAACAAGTTGAGATACTATCCATCTATGGCTATATTACATTGTAACCCAGGCATTTTTCCATGGCTCACCACGTTCACCGTCCCGCCGTCCCGCCTCTTGCTGCCTCTTCTGCTGCCGCTCCACTCGTTTGCGGTCCCTCGGGTCCAGCCATGAGCCGTCAAGTTACATGGGTCATAAAAGGGGTATATAAATTGGTCATATAAATTGTATACAGTAAATATATGGTAAATGTATGGTAAATATATGGTAAATATATGATAAACATATGGTAAATACATGGTAAATATGTGGTAAACATATGGTAAATATATGGTAAATATATGGTAAATAGTGTATGCATGGATGGGTATATATAATTATACATACATTTATTTACATACATGGTATAATGGTCATCCTTCCCACAATGGAAATCCAACACATTGGCTAAATCCCTGCAGGTGCCGACATCTTGACCCCTTCAAGGATCTCAGCGAGGCAATGCTGGGAATGATTCCTGCTGTCCATCAGTTCAGACAAATGTCGGTATACTGTGACCATATCTCCGAAGAGAGATTGCTGAGACAAGTACATTAATTAATTAATTAATTAACTTCTCTACTTTTTCAGCGCTCTCCATGGATCTCAGGAGGCTCCTCGAAAGCGCTGGCCCCACTTCAAGTCGGAGCACCAACGAGGGATGTGCGGGAAGAACAAGCCAGGGCTACCAATTCTTAGTGATTTGTTCTCGGCTGCTTGACGCTGCTTGTATAGTAATGTTATGTAATGCTATGTATCATAGCTTTATGTTGCCTTTGTATGATTTTGTCTAATCCCCCAGCCTTTCCAGGTTTGCAAACTTTGCGTACTTTCGCCAAACCTCAAGCAGGTCACCTCCAAGAATGGTCTTTTTGCCAAACTCCCCTCCAAGCTGCAAGCCCTCGCACTTGCCACGAGTGCAACCTTTTTCTTGTGCGTCACTGTCTTGAACAGGCTGTGCCATAGATTCATCACCAGCCTTCCAGCGGCGACGGTGCTCAGTACCGGAGCAATGCTGCCAAACCTGAGCCCGGTTCCGCCCTTGCACTGTCTTCTGGCAGTAGGGACAAAACACTTGGCATCGCTTGGTCTTGGGATCTCTGTTCAAGATTTTCAACTTGTCCAGTTCTGAGCTCATGCTTGCCCATCCTTTCTTCGGAAAGCATCTGAGGATCCTCCAGTTTTTGGCCTGTGCTCGTGGCCTCGCTCTGGACCTCGCTCTTCAACACCATCGCGAATATATTCGCAATGGGTCGCGGCATCCAAACCCAAGGCTTTTGGCCCAAAACTCCCCACGACCATGGCATAAGTTGGTTTATGGTGGCTGGAGTCACCCGAAAACAACTTAGTGAGGGGAGTTGTAGTTGTTTTTGGTTGGCTAACTTAGTTTTTAGCCAGGCGAACTGGATCTGATGGTGTATATATTGTATATCATACAATTATCTAAAGTTGGATAGGGTTTTTTCAGCAAATCTTAAGTCAGGGGCACCACATTGCTTAACCCCTTTGTAGTTTTAACCAATTTCGATGGGTGACCAGCCGCACGGGCGCATGAGACATTCACGGTCATGATAGGTCCAGTATGGCCTGAAAACTAGATTATTTTGTCCAGTAAAGCTTCGGGCAAATCACGCCAGTTCATACCAATGACCAAGTGCCACCATTTATATCTTTCACACATCATAGACCAATCAATATCAATCATTTGTTGATCCCATTAATTCACATAGATCATTTGTATATCAATCATTTGTATATCAATCTTTTGTATATCAATAACACCATCATAGATCACCAATTATTTCACACAGAAATATGGTGGGATCGCCAGTGACGAGACAGATAAAAACTGTCCCAGAAACGCTCGTTGGTTACCCAACGGTTGACGCAGGTAAACGTTGGATCACATCGACACTGAAGATTTACCCTCTGGTAATGACCAACATAGCTATGGAAAATGGTCATTGAAATAGTTGATTTACCCAGCTACAACATGGTGATTTTCCATATTAGTTCTGTAAACGTTTATCAGAGGGTAAACTACTAAAACACATGGATAAGGTATGAACGACATGTTTGCTTTAGTGTATTTTAGTAGATAGTGAACCTTTCATAACCATAACAAGTTGAGATACTATCCCTCTAACTATGGCTATAATATACCACTTACCAACTGCAACTGCATCAATGAAAAACACCTCTATCCCATCCCATGCAATACTGGTTGGTGAGTAAATATTAATCATCCAAAAAAGTAAGTCCAAAAACAATTGGCACAAGATTGGTGAATATGAACCCAGCATTTGGGGGCCCATTTCTGGTTATTCAGGTGGTTTTGCTTGGAGATCCCCTTCGTATATCATAAATCCCCAAGGCATCCCCATGAAGCAAATGATTTCCCAACATGTTTGGTATTGTCACCAATAAAGCATTTTTTTTGGTCAACAAACCAATGGTTCAATATACGTGTTGTTGATTTATACCAATGCGGCACACCCAATAATGAACGAACCCAGGAATCACCATGTGTAAAGGTGATTTTTGAAACCATCCCCAAATTTGGTAGGTTTATGGCATTGGGTTGCCCACAACCATTTATCAGGTACGAACCACAGCTTTTTTTCAAAATTGATGGGGATTCCAAGCCCATTGCGGTCACTCCAAGAAGTGATACATTCCATTCGCCACTAGTACCCTCTGGTAAACGTAGCCACAACTATTGGAAGATCCCAGCATTTTGTAGCTGGGAAAGATCCAACTATTTCGACTGGGCCATTTTCAATCGCTATGTCTGTTAGTCATAACCAAGGGGTAAATCTCCATTTTCCTATGGTTTTCCTATGGTTTTCCTGTTGTTTTCGTATGTTAGACCTCCATTTTCCTATGGCTTACCAGAGGCTATGCCCTGATTGTTGGAGGTCACCTTGCAGGTCTGTCCGAGGAACTCCAGGTCTGCCAGGTACTTCTTCCGCACAACGCGCCCGCGCCATCTCGCTTGTAGCCTCACCAACAAGTCTGGGACAACAACAATTTTTTTGAATCAATCTAATAAAGAAATGATCAAACTAAAAGAGGAATTTAATGGGAAAGAACATGAAACCATCAAAAATGATGATTTAACCACTAAAATCAGCTTACCATCTCGTAATTAAACAGTTTGTTATGGAAAATATTTGTTTTTAAGAGGTAAATCATAGAACTAAACTAAATTGGCTAATTTCCATGGCTATGTACAGAGCTGGGAAAACCATCTATAGATGGGGATTTTTGAGCAAACCATGTTTGATTACCAGAGTGTACCCTTTGATCTGTTTGCACAAGAGTATGTATATATACATTTTTTATATACATATATACATATTATATACATATGTATATATATATATATAAACTTTTGCAGTCGATGATGGGGCAGCTGACTTTGATTTGGGGACATCACTGTTAGGTCTGAATTTGAACCACTGTTTGGATATTATCCTTTAAAGCCTCAAACTCAAACATGGCCTCTTTCATTATTTCACCATGTTACCAGCCAGGGTCAATAATCACATTAGCCAGGACTCAGTTTAAAATATGTGATGGAAAACTTGAAAATGACAAACACCATTACCAAAAGATATATAATTTCTATGTATTAACTAAAGGATTTTGAATGAAACTAATGCATAATTATGAAAATTCGCTACAGTAAGCCCAAAAATAAGCATACAGCGACTTGCTTTATGTTCCACATATAGTTATATCTCTGTGATTTATCTTGAACATAGCTATGTACTCTCTGTTCTGCAAACATGTTCATGTACCCGGCATGCACTGTTCACATTCTAAGTGCCCACGCGAGCAAGACGCGTTAATCCATTATCATGGTTAGGTAGACCGATTTTAAAACCCCAAGGTCCTCAAAGCCAGGATCCTAGATCATTTGCCATTGCGGCTAGTACAGGTTAAAATTAACATTGGGAAATGAACATGCAGCAGGGAATCATGGGTAGTCATGCATCACCAGATTTATGGATTTCCGCCAAAAAAAATCCCAGATCAGCAGAACTCAGGCGCACATTTTGTGATGCTGAGTTCCGCCGAAAAAAAAAACAGCAGAAATCCGAGGGAAAACCATTGAATCAGCAGAAGTCCACTACACATTTTGTGATGTTGAGTTCTGCCGAACCATAGGTCTGAATACAAAGTTCCGCCGAAAAAGTTTTTTTTCAGCAGAGGTCAGGTACACAATTTCTGTAGTGGAGTTCCGCCGAAAAACAAAAAAAAACCGAGTCCGTAAAAAAAATGCAACCGATTCGGGGGCACAGGATCTCAATTTTACCTCAATTTTCCGCCGATTTTTTTTCCAGCAGATCTCAGACCCCCCCCATGCCCCATAATCGGCCGCAACGGAAAAAAGGTCCACAAAGTCCGCAGAGATTTGTTTGGCAAACTAATCTGAGACTTCAAAGCAAAGTTCTGAGCCCTAGGCCCTACCATACTTATTGGCCATGGGTGGCACATGTGATCGGGAGGAACTTGCCTGGGTAACCCTTGGAAAATCGTGTAGACTTGGTGATGGGCAATATAACCACCCATTACCGTGGTCTGGCCCCATGCTTTTTAAGAGCTCCAGACAAAGGGTTTCATTGAAGTATTCCCTTCGCGGCCCCCCAATACATGCTCAAATCCACCCAAATAGGCAAAAACATGTTAAGCATGCTAAAACCAGGCATAAAAAACATGTAATTATAGTGCAAGTGCGACATGTGTTGTACAGGAGATGTCCGCGCACAACCGGACCTGGAATCTGTTTCCGGGCAAAGTTAATCAACAGTATCCACATACGAAGGTAAATCAACATGTGCTCGCCGAAGAGGTTCCTAAAAATACTAATAAGAATCAAATTCCTTCACTAAGAAATCAATTGTCCAATCATGTCCAGTCTGTAGCGTCGCCCCAGTACAAACATCAATGAAAATGCGCTATGCGAAGAAGAAGTTCCCTGATAAGCGCCTTTCTTTGAAATTATATTCAACCAAGGTCAAGCACAATTTGCTGCCTGAAGAGACACCCTAATCAGGACCAAAGTATCTACTAAAATTACTTTACTTCGTGTGATCCCCACCATGACATTTATACATTTTCTTACTGGCAAACCTTCTGGCATTCTATCTGACATATCTTCTGACATTCTATTTGGCATTCTATCTGGCATATCTTCTGGCATATGATCTGGCATATCTTCTGGCATATCTTCTGGCATTCTATCTGGCAAATCTTCTGGCATTCTATCTGGCATATCTTCTGGCACTCTATCTGACATATCTGGCATCTGGCATTCTATCTGGCATATCTTCTGGCATATATTCTGACATATCTTCTGGCATTCTATCTGACATATCTTCTGGCATATATCTTCTGGCATATCTTCTGACATATCTATCTGGCTATCTTCTGGCATATCTATCTGGCATCTTCTATTTTCTGGCATTGGCATATCTTCTGACAAATCTTCTGGCATCTCTATCTGGCACATCTTCTGGCATATTATCTTCTGGCATTCTATCTGGCATATCTTCTGGCATTCTATCTGGCATTCTGATCTTCTGGCATATCTTCTGGCATTCTATCTGGCATTCTATCTATTCTCTCTGGCATATATTCTGACATATCTTCTGGCATATCTTCTGGCATATCTTCTGGCTATCTATCTATCTGGCATATCTTCTGGCATATTTTCTGGCATTCTATCTGGCAAATCTTCTGGCATTCTATCTGGCATTCTATCTGGCATATCTTCTGGCATATTATCTGGCATTCTATCTGGCATATCTTCTGGCATATTCTGCATATGGCATCTCTATCTTCTGGCATATCTTCTGGCATATCTTCTGACATTCTTTCTGACATTCTTTCTAACTTTCTTCTGCGCATTCTTTGTCCCATATCTTCCTACATGAGGTCCGGCAGGGAACACTTGGCGTGGATACTCGCGGTTGAGGTCCGGCAGGGAACACTGGGCGTGGCTGGTCGTGGTTGAGGTCCGGCAGGGAACACTGGGCGTGGATGGTCGTGGTTGAGGTCCGGCAGGGAACACTGGGCGTGGATGGTCGTGGTTGAGGTCCGGCAGCGAACACTGTGGATCGCGAGTCGCAGTTGAGCAGGAGGACGAGGAGGACAACGAGACGAGGAGGACAACGAGAGGAGGAGGACAACGAGAGGAGGAGGGCGACGAGAGGAGGAGGAGAGGAGGAGGAGAGGAGGAGGAGAGGAGGAGGAGGAGAAGGCAACTTAGATAAAATCTAACAACCCTCACCTGGCAGGTGGGGAAAAAATACATATATGATTCACATTCATTTTGTATCAACCGAATCCAAGCCTCAAACACATGGCATCTTTTATTGTTGAGGTCCAAGACCACATAAGGGGAAAACCCTGGAAATTTGTGAAAGCAATTGCTGGCAAATAGTTTCTGTTAATTTCAGGAAACTTACCAAGAGCATGAAGGGGTGAAAGGGAATTACCCATGAAATCAAAATTAAATTTGGATGATCTATGACCCATGATCCAGATCCTGAGACCCAGTTCGATTGCAAAAGTTTTTATTTATTTATTTTATTTATTTATTTATTTACAATTATATACTATATTTAATGTACGTCAACATCACCAGGAGTTATACATCTGAAAAGGTTTCCTCGGCACACCAGAGTAGTGATAGGGCTACCCTCACGGGTTAGTAAGGCTCTTCGCAAAGTAGCATGGCCCTGCAGCTGCTTAGTCCATGCAAGTTGCGGGTGTTGGTCAAGGAAGCCGGCACTGTCACCATGCATGTGAATTCCACTGGCTTTCCAACATTGGTGTTCATCAATCTGAATGCCTGCAGTTTTGAGTTTGGCACAGATGTTCCATGCATCCTTTAGCCATTGCATTCCCGTCGTAGTGTCACCAGCCATAGTCGTGTCATCTACATATCCTTGGACCGTGAGCATGCCAGGGATTTGGTTGAGGTAGGTTAGTGGGACGTTGTGAACCAACCAACAGCCGTACAATGCGGCAGTGTTGTGAGACTTTGAGAATTGCGCCCAAGGTCACCCTTTTCGGAACATATGCCACACATCTTTGTTGGTTAACTCATTGTGGCCAGTTAAATCACCAAAGTTCTTTGTTAAATCACCCTTTTTGTAAGTGAAATCATGTTCAATCTCCCTTTCTCTTGCTTAAATCCCACCAAATCGCCACGACTTTCGTTGAACTTCGTTGAATCCCATTGAAGCACCGAGCGTTCGGAACGGGCCGTTGGGCCCTCGAGCTTCACCGCGTAGTGCGCCAGGCGCCGTTGTTCCCGGTCTTCCAGCAGCTTCCGCATGGCCTCGCGGGGGTTCAATGGGGGTAACCCGGATGGTTTACGTGGAAAATCCTATGAATATCTATGAATTAATATGGATGAGTTGGGGGTAGCTCCGATTTTAGGAGACCCCCTAATATGTCAAAGATTCAGAGTTAGTATTTTACACGACTCAGTACATATATTCATGCAAGAATATATGCATAAGTTGGATGATTTCAGACTTTAATGGTTTGGTTTGTCAGGGGACAATTATAGAGGAAATGCCGCGGATTTGTTCATAAGAAAAAAACAGGCACATCCAAATATTCATGAATGTCAAGTTATGTTTACATCAAATAAAGTCACCACCATGTACAGCATCATTAAACTACTATTAAATGCCGATGATGTACAATTATATATGTGTTTCTTATACTGATCCCGATGACGATGGTTGAGCTTGTTAAAACCCAATTACATCCCGCCATGTATCTGTATCTAAATTCCAATGATACATCCTTTTTTTGTACAACAACAACTGTATATATGTACATATATCATATATCCCATTAAGAATTGAATGGCTGTCAAATCCCCACAAATTGCCTGGTTCAATCCACGTTTAGCTCCATTTATTCATGTGTTCTTCATTGGTTTTTCATGTTTAAACAGGTCACATGTTGGCCACACTTTTCCGAAAATCGATCGTTTACACTGACTTTCTTGGTGCCCTATTTGCGGCTAAAGCCATGAATGAGTGCCAAGTAAGGATCTTCGCCTGGAGGATCTCCCCATCAGGAGTGATCCAGTAGTACGTCAGGTGAACGTTGCGCCTGGGGTACTTGAACCGTTCAGCCCTTTGGCCAGCCTCTATCGCAACCTTTCTCCCAAGGAAGCGAAACCGGGCTTTCGACTTGAAACTCACTCCAGGCTCTAGCAAAAGCATGTTGGTGATTCATCTGTAATGAAGGTGAGCTCTGCACTTGCAATGTTTGTGGCCGTATTGAGTGCGAATGCATGGCAAGTGCTGTCATGTTTTCTTATGCAATTTCCCTTTCCACTATGAAAAAAACTACAGTAGTACGGCTACTATTACCACCAAATGAAGGTGATGTAACACCAATATTAAAAGGACATCCATCTCTTTTTGGGTCAGTTTTAAGCATTGACCTCTATCCACATCTGCTCATTTTTTGTCAGCCAACAACATAATACGGTACGTAATTCAACTGCGCTGACCCAATCTTTTGAGGTCTTTTATCCGCACTCAAAGGGGTCCAGCAGTTTCCACTGGAGAAATCCATCGGTTGAATTCGATATCGATCCGGTCTGTTTGTCAAGCACCAACCATTGTTTTGATGCCCTCTCATATGACAAATACCCTCGATACTGGATGATGGGCCCCCCCCATCCCCGCGGCCCAAAATGATACCATCATCAAAACACACCAAAATCTGTTGGTTCGGTTCAATGTCACTTTGGGCGTTTTGATCCACTTTATGTAGATAACCTCTCCCAGGTTTAAAAGCTTCCAATTAAACAAATTCAAATCTCACATATCAAAATTATTTTGCATTGCTGGTGAATCCTCATTGTTGATGCTTACATCCACCAATTTGAGCCTAGGCTAAACATGGCTAAACATGGTTAAACCCAAATCCATATCTTTGTTGGTTAACCTGTTTTTAGTTATCTCATGCAAAATCTAATCTTCTTGGTGGTTTCAACTCCCCTGAACGATATACCGTTTCTATGAATCAACATAATACATACTTGAAACCACCAACCAGTCAACCATAGAATTGTACATACTACCCTCTGGTAAACAAACATAGCCATTGAAAATGGCAACAGAAATAGTTGATTTACCAATGAAAAATGGTGATTTTCCATAGTTATGTTAGTTGTACATACTACATTACTCTTATTCCCCACATCCGAGTTTTCCAACATTCTCTTGATGAAATCCCAGCGTTTTCAGAATCAAAAAAATCACCCATTCTTTGCTGAATCAAACGTGGTAGCTGGAAAATCTCGAGCTAAATGGCTGGAAAATTATGACATTGATCTAAATGCGGAATTTCAAAGCCAGCCATGTTTGAATACCAGAGGGTAAACCCAATTAAATATCCCATTAGGTCTCCATTCTTAGCAATGATTCACCATCATTAACAACTATTTTCCCAATTTTCCCATCAAATCCCATTGAAACATATTGAATCTCAAAAAACATATCTTCCATTAGGTAGCGGGATCTTATGGTTGATGTAATTTTGTTGATTTTATATATGTCATACACCAATTCTCCCTCTCATGGGTGGTTAATTCATCTGTGGATAGTTTATTGGAATCATTATTGGGTTTACTATTGTCTTTGCCAATGACTACAGTATTGGGTTTATCAATTCTAATGAGGATGACATTCTCAGAAATCCATTACTGTTGGTAAAACAATTTCATAAACCATTCCCCAAATCACAATTTTTACAGGTGGTATGGTTATCATTTCCAGTCATAGGTGGTTTATGGCATTGGTTTACCCACATTACTATGTTTGAATACCAGAGGGGCAGCCATGCCCTCACAGATCAGTACCTGCACGCTGTTCTGCTGCGCTCGGAGCTGTGCGGCGGCCTACGACGAAGAAAAAGGTGCGACGAGGGGGAAAAACAAACTGTTTCAGGGGCAGAACATGTTAGAGAAAGGCTTAGACATTTAGAAACACGATTTCAATATTTGAGTTGGGTTCTGTTGGGTTTTAACAGGTTTACCAATTTTACTGGGCTTTAGTAGGATTTCAGCCCCTGCTTGCTTGACCCATCGCCTCCACCTTCTTCCTCTCGGCCGAGGCTTCCCGTCGCCCGTGCTGGCCACGAAACATGGACTGCAGGGAAGGCCGCGGCGGATCCCAGCGTCGCCAATCTTAGAGGGCCCCTATTGGGCCCGTGGCACAAGAAATAGTGAGGTAAGCCCAGTTAACGTGGGAATATATGGGATAGAAAATAATACATGGATCTATATAAATGATCATAAATGGTAATATTTCCTCTATTCTATCATATCATCCTTTGGAATATAGGTTTATGAAATCGGATACACCCTTAGCAATGGGATGATGTAAAATGACCCCTAGTCATGGTTGGTAAAGGGCATGGTCTGTAATTTGGGTATGCCATATCGGTTTGTTTAGGATATGGAGATGAACCATTCAGGTTATGGTTGGTATCCACTAATACCTCGCACAAGAAATAATCACCTTCCAGTAAACATTCCATAGCTATGGGAAATGACCCCGTCAGTTCGATGCTTGACCTATTGTTAAATAACGAATGTCAATAACGTTCCATAACTCTTTCAGTCTAACAAAAATTGACCTGATCAGGATCTATTCACAGGTTAACTTTCATCAAACCACCAGGTTGACCCAGGTGCAGGTGGCGTCCATCCTAGGGAATCTGATCAACGCATTGTAGGGTAAATGGTCAAAGAACATGCAGGAGATGATTGAAAATTCACAGAGATAACTATCAGGGATATCACCTAAAAACCAATCAAGATCACATAAAAATGGGCATAGAGTGACCCAAGGTTCCAGCTGGCTTTATCCCAGCAAGCCCTCTCCAATGGCTCGTGGACTTTTAAAAATAGTACATTGCAAGTTACTAATGGCCATAATACAAGTGTATAGCTGTATAACCACGAATAACCCCCAAATGATGTATCAATTGATCATCTATCTTCATATACGGTGCACCTTGCTTGTATGCGGGCTACATGTTATAACCCACGAATCCGATATGCGGTGGTCCAAGGACATCAGGGGCCCCACCTGAATCTTGGTGGCTTGATAGTTCTGGGCGCGCCATTCGTTTTCCTCCTCTTCCTGCGCCAGAAACCCGGGGGAGTATACAAGGTGGGGCCCCCCAGTGATGTTGGAAAAATTAAGCCATGAATACATATGAATGCTATAGTTATATCATGTATCCCTCATACAAAGTTAACCAAGGCAAATGTGCGTCAACTTAGCTATCGTTCGGGTGCCTCACGTGGTAGGTATGAGCATTGTTGTAACCCCATAAGTTCGGATATAACCACTATACAATCATGGCAACATACCCACGAGGTGAAAAGTTAAGGGACCCTACCAGGTAGAGTCTATTGTACTAAGCATGGTATAATCCAGGACATGGTTGGATGAAAAACTATTATAAGAATTCAAACAACCTCCCAAAAGGTTAGTGACCTTTAAAAATAGATGGTTGATAAAGCCTTACTAATGGTTCTTGGTCGTGAATAAGCCTTCGCAAATCCTCAGTCTCAACTATAATCGGCGTAGTCATTTTTTGGGGGACTTGGCAGAAGCTTCATGACATCTGCAGCTGCATGGGATCTTCCAGCACAAGCATACTACAAATCATGCTGTAAAGTTTCCCTAGACCAAGTCTGGGACAGCAGGCACCAAACGTGATGGTGCTGGGACGTGCTGGGATTAGTTTATCTGATACACGGATCATACGGTCAGACTTGGCCAAATTCCAAGACATCAGGATGCGGCTTGAGCATACTTGGTTTGCAAGAAAAGGCCAGCAATACAAGATGGGTATCCCAGTTCTGTTTGTTGGTTTGCAACCCCCTTCGTCCTAAAACTGAAACAAACAGTTGGATGAGAAACAACTACAGTCGACATTCATTTCCTGCACCTCAACCTATAAAATGTCGCTATCCGCCATCTCAAGCATTGTCAATCTTAGAGGTCCTGCACATGTTTTAGCTGGTCAGTTTGAAACATTCCCAGTCAAAGAAAATAAAATACATGGATTTGCGCAAGTTCCCCCCCGAAAAACTGATCCTTGTAGATTCCCCATGTCCGGAGGATTAACCACTGGGAGAAAACATCACACATCACTTACTGAGCAAATCCAAATCTCATTTCTGGCAAAGCCGAATAAGCCATCAATCTTCACGAAGGTTCAGCCAAATGTTTACAGGTGTTGTTTTTGTTTTCTTCCCCTTGTGAATCTTCCCATTTATCTGGCCAAGGCCAAACCCTCTTTTTGTCGATGAAAACACCATTTTTCCAAGTGGATTTCTCAGTGAAATCCCCAGCTTTCCGATGATCCAAGGTTTACCCAGCCACTTTATCAGGCGCCTGCGCCCTTCGGAGCTCTTCCTTCTCCTTCTCATCCTGAATCCCACAGAACATCTAGGCTTCACAATTAGACAATAGAGGTCAATACGAAGTGGGGCCTCCAGTTTCGATAGCTAATTAAGTCGGTGAACATTTGCCGCGAATTCTATGGGAATTGCGGTGTAGTGAAATTCAATGGGAATTATATACTTGCTGGTGCTAAACGCAGGGAATTTTCGGGAATGATCCAAAATCATTAGAAATACTCATCCCATTTCCCCAGTCCCATCCATTCCCTACTAAGCACCAGTAAGATTATAAACCAATTATACATTGCCAATCTTAGATACCCTGCAAAAAATAAAGATATTCCCATAGATATTCCCATTGATACCAAAGACCAAAGGATTAAACCTACAAATATAACTGGGAGGATCCACCTTAGTAGATCAACCCCCAAGGATAGACGTGACAAGTCTTTCCCGAATGTTTGATGATGTTGAAAAACGTGACCAATCATTTTTTGATGTTTTTTGTTCTGTATTTGGGCTAAATAAGGGTTAAACATGTTAATGCTATCCCTATGCTACAACTGGAGGAGATTAAATTATATAAATTTAATTGATTCGGCTGGTTAATTTGTATAGAAATATATAGAAATACTATGAAATATTCCCGTTGTGGGTTACTTGAAAAATCTGTTCGACCAAACATCCCTTTTGAAATTGTGACGATCATGCAGAGTGACGATCCTACCTGCAATGGCTGACACCGCGTCGGATTCGAGGAGCTACATCAGGGTCCATTCGAGGGCTGCATCACGGTCCAGCCACAAAGGCAGCAGGGAACGCGAGGTCAGTATCGAGAGATAGGGACGTCAGTTGAAAGCTCACGAAGGGCACAGGTCGGCCCTCCTGATCGTGAGAAACCTGCATTTGGTGGTGAGTGCGTCTGATGAGCTTGAAGACCCCTTTGGATTGTTTATACACCCTTGAGCTCATAGAAGAATGCGAGGAAGACTGAAGGGATTGCCATCTCGGCCTGCATCTGTACAGCAATGAAATGGTGGAAGGTAAATCTGCGCCATGGCACATTGACCATGGAGTGATTCGAGGGGAAATAATCCAGCAGAATTTTTCAAACTTCATGTTCTGATTGCTTCTGTGAAGCCAGGAGTCATGGCATGGATCAAAGGCTCAAATTCCAATTGTTGGTACATGATTTATTGATATTTATTGATATCCCTCATTTCTGGCTGGACTACAATAATGAGATGGTTTCCCCTATCCCATCATTTGTGGCGACGTCGGCCAGTGAGGTCGTTAGACTTCAGCCAATCATATGAGGTATGAAAGTTACAACCGGTATCCTATCCAGTTGAATACTAATTGGTTGATAGGTATATCATCTCTATGATATAGTGTCTACTAGGGATTGTTTCCGAATAATATCGACTATATCGCTCTGGTTTGATTATTCAAACGTGTACCGTGTACTGTATATAGTTGATGGCAACCCGTCCGCACAACCAACAGTTGTAACTTTCCATCATAACCCCCATTACATCCCATTATACCACACATGTTCATACATGTTGTTTGTTGAAATGGTGAACTTTTTTAAATCATTAATTACTGTAAAAATAAATCCATATCTTCTGGTAAGTTAACATAGTTATGGACATGGGCCTTAGTTAAAAATGAATTACCTATTAGACTAAGTGGTTTTCCACAGCAAACCGTTAGATTACCAGAGAGTATCTTTATTCAAAACTCAATCTGAGACAATTGATTGATTAACTCCCGATGTTTGATGGTATATATAATTCCATTTTTCATGATTAAATCACCAGTTTTGTTGGTTAAAAATCCTTCTTGTGTATGATAATTCCACATTGTCGACGCCGAAAGCACCATCTCTATCCATTCCTGCCTTAATGGCTTTCAGCTGTGCCTGGCAAAAACCGTGACTTTTCCATCCGCGGAAGAAACCCAAGAGGATGAACAATAATATCCTTTTGGTAAAAATAGAGGGGCCGGTGACTGGTTAATCCCATCTATCATCATAGAAACCTGTTGTCAAAGGGGTAAAGAAACCCCTCTTTTTTCATCAACCGACCAATGGGAAAAGGACATCTATGGTATCTATCATAGTCGAAGGGAGTATCGCTTTGTGAGGTGAGAAAAAAATTTGTCACACATTCCCCGATGGATTTCCCATTGGGAAAACTTGGCAACGAAAAGCAAATCTAGGAATATCCATTGTCAGTTGTCTATTCCATTCTCTCCGTATATTTCGGGATATTTTAAAAGTAAGTTATCCACTATTTTAGTTATATATATTCCATTGTAGAATTATAGATGCATTGTTAGGTATGTGGGTGTGTCAAAAAATAGGGTACCCCATTCCATCCATACTTTAATCATGTTTAATCTGCTATTTGGGGGTATCTCCCATCTTAAGACCCACCCATAAAACCAACATATATCAAAATAACTTCCAAACAAATCCGAAACATTAATCATCAGTGTATTTTAGGCACACATACTAATATTATTAGTCTAGTGAAATATGAAGACTACTAGTGGTGATTCCAATATAATTGCATATTACAACTGCACATTAATGATGCAAAAGAACATTGCATCTCCTTGGGGGGGGCTTACATTCCATTACCCTCTGGTAAACATACACATAACTATGGAACATCACCATTTTTCATGGGTCAATCCACTTTTTCGTCTGGGCCATTTTCTGTATGCAGTGGATGAATGTTAACATCTGGGCTGTTTGCTGAACCATTTTCAAAAGCTATTTAAATTACCATTTTCAATAGCTATTTTGACATAACCAGAGAGTAACCCCCATGAAACCCACCCTGCGCCATTTCTTGGCACCTCCAGGGCTTGCAACCGCTCTTGGAGCACCGGATCCGGCGCACGCCTCAGCCACATTCGCCCGCCCGCCCGGCGCCGGATGCGAGGTTAGCCCGCCTATCTATTCGTATGTCTAAAGGAAACATAGTGAATACATTCTGAATGGAGAACTTCACCATGAACAAATAATAATGATTTTTGAACTTCATAATGAATGTTAAAATAATGGACAATGAGCGTATGACAATACATTCTGAATCATATTATATGTTCATTATCCACTTCTCTAGCCGGAATAAATAATGAGCTACTATTGTTGGAATGAACAATGAGCTAGTAACTATGACAATGAACTTATGATTTCATACTATCTTGGAGAAGTGTCGGAATAAATGTATGTAGGTATATATGTCGTATAAATGACAAATATATGTAACAATGTCAAACGTACACAAATCCAAGAAGTTCAATGCACACCAAACGGTAGATAGAAGTACCCGGGAAAAGGCTCATGTTTAGTTATCTGTTGCATATGTATCCCCAGTTGCAGTTCAAAAATCACCAGCGTTTGTACAAGGTGGTCCCCCGAGTGATAAGTCGGTTTATCACCACATCAATTAGTTCGATATATGAATATTATATATAGTGCATATATATATATTTATTTATTTATTTATTTAGTGTATATATATAATTAGTGTATATAAAATTAAAGGACCGGATAACCCCACAAGTCAACTTCTTCCTAAAATGAGCTTCAATGGTTTCAGCGGGGACAGGGAAGGAAGGAAAGACAAAGGAGGTGGTGAAAGATCGTGTATGTATGTATGTATGTATGTAGGTATGTATGCATGCATGTATGCATGTATGTATGCATCCGACGATGATGACATAGAGGAAAGGTACCTGGCCGCAGAAGTGTTGAACACGACTGTAGCTGGTTGTCAATGCAACTATGGAAGACACGACACAGTCACAGTCACAGGCAAACACCATGACACTAACTGCGCAGGTTTTTCCAAAGATGCCAAGCAACCGCACAGTTCAAGCGCGCCACCCAGTGCCATGAGTGCCACGCCTGCCACGCAAAACGACGGTGGATGTGAGTTTGTGCCACGCCTGCCACGCAAAGTGCCGCGGCGTCCCGGGCGTCACGGGCGACCAAGCCAGTCCAAGCGCGCCACCCAGTGCCATGAGTGCCACGCCTGCCACGCAAAACGACAGTGGATGTGAGGTTGTGCCAGGTTGTGCCACGCCTGCCACGCAAAACGACGGTGGATGTGAGTTTGTGCCACGCCTGCCACGCAAAGTGCCGCGGCGTCCCGGGCGTCACGGGCGACCAAGCCAGTCCAAGCGCGCCACCCAGTGGCCATGATGTGCCACGCCTGCCACGCAAAACGACGGTGGATGTGAGTTTGTGCCACGCCTACCACGCAACGTTCACGGCGGCGTCCCGGGCGTCACAACGGGCGAACCAGCCAGTCCAGCGCGCCACCCAGTGCCAGGAGTGCCACGCCTGCCACACAAAACGACGGTGGATGTAGGTTGTGCCACAACCTGCCCTGCCACGCAAAACGACAGTGGATGTGAGTTTGTGCCACGCCTACCACGCAAAGTGCCGGCGTCCCGGGCTTCACGCGGGCGACCAAGCAGTCAAGCGCGCCACCCAAGTGCCCTGAGTGCCACGCCTGCCACGCAAACGACGGTGGTGTGAGGTTTGCCACGCCTGCCGACGGGCAAACGGGAGGGTTGTGGATGTGAGTTTGTGCCACGCCTGCCACGCAAAGTGCCGCGGGCGTCACGGGCGACCAAGCCAGTCCAAGCGCGCCACCCAGTGCCATGAGTGCCACGCCTGCCATGCAAAACGACGGTGGATGTGAGGTTGTGCAACGCCTGCCACGCAAAACGGCGGTGGATGTGAGTTTGTGCCACGCCTGCCACGCAAAGTGTCGCGGCGTCCCGGGCGTCACGGGCGACCAAGCCAGTCCAAGCGCGCCACCCAGTGCCATGAGTGCCACGCCTGCCACGCAAAACGACAGTGGATGTGAGGTTGTGCCAGGTTGTGCCACGCCTGCCACGCAAAACGACGGTGGATGTGAGTTTGTGCCACGCCTGCCACGCAAAGTGCCGCGGCGTCCCGGGCGTCACGGGCGGCCAAGCCAGTCCAAGCGCGCCACCCAGTGCCATGAGTGCCACGCCTGCCACGCAAAACGACAGTGGATTTGAGGTTGTGCCAGGTTGTGCCACGCCTGCCACGCAAAACGACGGTGGATGTGAGTTTGTGCCACGCCTGCCACGCAAAGTGCCGCGGCGTCCCGGGCGTCACGGGCGACCAAGCTAGTCCAAGCGCGCCACCCAGTGCCATGAGTGCCACGCCTGCCACGCAAAACGACAGTGGATGTGAGGTTGTGCCACGCCTGCCACGCAAGTGCCGCGGCTTCCCGGGCGTCACGGGCGACAAGCCGTCCAGCGCGCCAACCCAGTGCCATGAGTGCCCCCTGCCAGGAAATTCGAAAGCGACCAGTGAGAACAGGACTGCCATCGCCTCCTATACCCGTGCCCGACCCTCCGGTGATGTGAGGTTGTGCCACGCCCTTGCCACGCAAAACGATGGTGGTTGTGCCACGCCTGCCACGCAAAACGACGGTGGATGTGAGTTTGTGCCACGCCTGCCACGCAAAGTGCCGCGGCGTCCCGGGCGTCCCGGACGTCACGGGCGACCAAGCCAGTCCAAGCGCGCCACCCAGTGCCATGAGTGCCACGCCTGCCACGCAAAACGACAGTGGATGTGAGGTTGTGTGACGCCTGCCACGCAAAACGACGGTGGATGTGAGTTTGTGCCTTGTGCCACGCCTGCCACGTGAAACGAAGGTGGATGTCACCAAGTGCCACGCCTGCCACGCAGAAGTGGCGCGGCGTCACGGGCGTCACGCGCGCCTAAACCCAGTCCAAGCGCGCCACCCAGTGCCATAAGTGCCACGCCTGCCACGCAAAACGACGGTAGATGTGAGGTTGTGCCACGCCTGCCACGTGAAAACGACGGTGGATGTGAGTTGCCACGCCTGCCACGTGAAAACGACGGTGGATGTGAGTTTGTGCCTTGTGCCACGCCTGCCACGTGAAACGAAGGTGGATGTCACCAAGTGCCACGCCTGCCACGCAGAAGTGGCGCGGCGTCACGGGCGTCACGCGCGCCTAAACCCAGTCCAAGCGCGCCACCCAGTGCCATAAGCGCCACGCCTGCCACGCAAAACGACGGTAGATGTGAGGTTGTGCCACGCCTGCCACGTGAAACGAAGGTGTGGTGTGTGTGTGTGTGTTGGTTTGTGTGTGTGTATATGTATGTGTGTGTGTGTTGGTTTGTGTTGGTGTGTGTGTGTGTGTGTTGGTTTGTGTTGGTGTGTGTGTGTTGGTGTGTGTGTGTGTTGGTGTGTGTTGGTGCGTGTGTGTTGGTGGTGTGTGTGTGTGTGTTGGTGCGTGTGTGTGTGTGTGTGTGTGTGTGTGGTGTGTGTGTGTGTTGGTGTTGTGTGTTGGTGTGTGTGTGTGTGTGTTGGTGTGTGTGTGTGTGTTGGTGTGTGTGTGTGTTGGTGTGTGTGTGTGTATGTGTGTGTATGTGTCTGTGTATGTGTGTGTGTGTATGTGTATGTTGGTTTGTGGTGTGTGTGTATGTGTGTGTGTATGTGTGTGTGTGTGGAGGAGGAGGCGGGAGGAGGAGGCGGCGGAGGAGAAGCCCGGGATACAGAATCAAAAACAAGAACCCCACACAAAGATGTGGGGAAATATAGTGCATATATATAGTGTGTATATATATATATATATACATATTATATGTGTGTATCCAAGAATTGAACCCCAGTTCTGGTAGTTATTAGTTATAAATCAGCTTGGTGAACAAACGGGGGCACCACTTTGTAGTTTCCTCCCCAACATCTTCGGCCGGGCCGCGACTGTGGCGCTCCACCGTCATAGTCCACACCTGGCTACGGCAAAAACCTGGGATTCAACCAACCAAAAGTGTCAGCACTGTGTTTCTACCAGGATTGTAACATGAAACTGAAGAATTTACCACTAAAAATGACAATCCAACCATCCTTGTCCTTGAACAATTGAAACGCTTAGAACTTCAACCCGTAGATCATCGGTCCTATGGGGACTGTCCAGCTCGATGCAATCCTTGTAGTGGGTGCCATATTGTGATCCCAAAAGACGCCAAGGAACAACTTCGGAATCTTCTGAATCTTAGTCGTCGCGAAGGTCATTCACGCACTGGTGAATCTCTGCCAACTGGGTAACTTTGAAAGTTGCTTGTCAGGTACTAAGACCTCTTTTTAATGCACAGTTGTTTGATTGTGCAAAGTCATCAATAGACCTGCGCTGGATGCCGCCACAGATGCTCACAGCTGTTCCAAGCCATCTGTAGTTTGATTCGGTTTGGCCAGCAAACGTTGGCAATCCCTGTGCACCCCTCTCCAACAGGTCTATATAAAGTTCCTATATTAATGGGTTAAAAACATTTCATAACTATCCCCCTAAGTGGCATGTAGCCACTTAGTAAACCCATGGCACATACGCATTGATTCATGTTTTTCAACTGGAAAATCAATCCATTCAACATGACCGGCAAATGCTTAAACCTCGTATATGGATACCAACCAAAAAACTAACATTTTGTAGCAAAACAATTTTGGGGGTCCCGACGTTTCACGTTCCAAGCGTTAAACTTGCTGGGATGTGTGCAATTTTCCAGTTGCTGCTATGAACGCAAACGTTGGATTGGGGTATATAGATAGTTAACCATGAAAAGTATCCGATCCAATCAATTTTCATCAATCCAATGAATGGTGTATAGATGAATTTTCCAGCAAATTTTGCTTATTGATGGTCGAAGGAAGTTTAGAAGTCAAACCTCCGACAATTTGTGGACAGATGAAAAGCAGAGATGGGAAGAGTCAGGGAAGAGAAGAGAAGAAGAAAGAAGATAAAAAAGAGAAAGTCTCCGAAGAAAGAAGATCCAGGTGCGCGAATAGGTAGGAAAGTCGCGAAACATTGTGTTTTTTCCAATGATTTGTGGCTCAGGAGGGTTGAAAAAATATGCTCGCTAAAGCGGGTGCGGCGCCATGTGATCAGATGAAAGATGAAAAGTTGCACACCGTTGTGGCGCGAAGCACATCTCTAAGTCAAAATGTGCAAAACACACCAGCATTGGGCCACTTTTGGAAGTTGAGATGTCGAAAAAGTGCACGCCGTTGTGGTGCGAAGCACATTTCCAAGTCAAGAGTGTAATCAAACTGACAGGTTCAGAGCACTTTTGGAAGTTGAGATGTTCAAAAAGTGCACGCCGATGTGGCGCGAAGCACATTTCGATGTCAAAAGTGCAAAAAACTGAGGGTACGGAACACTTTTGGACGTTCAGATATCGTTTCGCGTGGCAGGCGCAAGGGATTGTGCACCGTGTCAAAAGTGAGCAAAACGTGAGGGTTTTGTAGCATTTCCAAAAACGATGGTGAAGAGGATCTGCAAAGATGCATTTTCCGCGGCAGGCGCAGGACAAGAGATGCTTTCGCGTGACAGGTGCAGCATTTCGTATGACCTGGCATCACTTTTTCGTGGCAGGCGCAGCGCTTTAGACAGATGGAGTGGAAAAACCGCAAAACGCAAAACGCATTGGTACGAGGCCGTCAGCTCTGCACTCAACTTTCTATGTTTGAAGGAAGTCTCGCAGCATTGTTTCGTTTTTGACGTTGTCAACTTCGAAAATTGCGGAAGTCTCTCAGGATTGTCTCATTTTTTATGTTGTCAAGTTCAAAAAGTGAGGAAGTCTCGCAGAATTGTTTCATTTTTGACGTTGTCAAGTTCAAAAAATAAAGAAGTCTCGCAGAATTGCTGCGTCCTCAAGCTTGCAGGCAGACAAGCAGATAGATAGATAGATAGATAGATAGATAGACAGATAGATAGATAGGTAGATAGGTAGATAGATAGATAGGGAGGTAGGTAGGTAGATAGACAGATAGATAGACAGACAGATAGATGGATAGATTAGATTAGATTACATTAGATTAGATAGATAGGGAGGTAGGTAGGTAGATAGATAGATAGATAGACAGAAAGATAGATAGATTAGATTACATTAGATTAGATTAGATTAGATTAGATTACGTTAGATTAGATAGATAGGGAGGTAGGTAGGTAGATAGATAGATAGGTAGATAGATAGTTAGATAGGTAGACAATTACAACTACAATTACTGCAACTACCACTACGCTACACTACACTACTGCTACAGCTACAAATAAAGATATACGACGCTACATTACACTACACTAATTGCATCACACTACACTAGTTACATCTAATTACACTACGCTACACCAATTACACTAACAACTACAACAGCAACTGCTACCGCAACTACAGCTACAATTACAACTAATTAAAATTTGCGCAGAATGTAACGATGAACGAAAAAACTGGAGGACAAGGGAGGTTCTGCTCCGTCTCCAAAAATCACACTACACTACACTAATTACACTGCAGCACATTACAACTACAAATGCAACTACAACCACACTACATTGCACAACACGACTGCACTACACTGATTACATTGCATTACACTACAAGTACAATTACCACTAGGTTACACTACACTACACTACACTACACTACACTACACATACTACACTACACTACGCTACACTACACTACACCACACCACATCACACATCACACTACACTGCACTGCACTGCACTGCACTGCACTGCACTGCACTGCACTGCACTGCACTGCACTACACTACACACTACACTACACTACGCTACACCCTGAACTTACATATAATATCCATAAGTCTTGGCTTTCTGGCCAGGGTATATACATACAGCTACTTGGCCTCCGTCTGGTCAGGAGCTTTGGTCTCATTCTCTTCAGGCGTTTTGGTATCTTCCCCATGTTTCGGACGTTTGTGGTGGCGGCTCCACATGGCATTCGGAAATCACCTTGGGAATCTCGCCTCCATAGAACTTCTCCCACACTTCCTCTATTTTGTCCTTGTGTTCAATCACCTTGACCAAACACCATTTGCCCCAAACATCCTCCATGTCATAGATCTTGCTCCATTTCACATGGTGAAACTCAAAATAACACCCTTGGCAATTTTCATGTGGAAAATCATTGTCCCAACTCATTTGTCGTGACATGGTTTCCCATCTTCCAAGAAATCAGGTCTCAACCGGAATCAAGTTTCTGGATGGTTGACTTACCTCCTCGATCTCCCCTGAAATCTAGGATCTGGGCGAAGCTTGGACCTCAAAAAAAGGAATTAACCTGCTAAATATCCTCCATGTGACATGTTGAAATTCCACTTGAACAGTGTCAAAAAGCAGCATCTTTCGTTTCATTAGACAGTATACTGGTTGGATAGGAACGGGATTCCCACAATTGATGATATATAATCCCCAGCATATTGTAGAGTAAAATTCCCAAGCTAATAATCAACCAATCGTCATGTATCAATCAATCATACCCCCATATGCCCATATGTTTCATGTTTAAACACCCTATAAGTGATGCTTATATAAATATAATAGTCCTCAATAGTCCTCTATAATCATCAACTAACCATTATTTATCAATGAACTATCACCCCCAACCATCATTTATCAATGAAAATTCCCGATACACTGGTTCATTTTGAAAACAAACAAGTGATTTTGAAAAACGATGATTAGCCGGACTATCAAAACACTGTGGGAGTATCAAAACCACCCAATCTAGCGTAATAAAATAGTGCTGCAGTATCAAAAATCTGATAACCCTCTAGTAATATAGTGGAAACATAGTAATATAACAATAAATAGTAGTAGTAATCCATTACCATTAGTAATATAGTAACAGTAATAATGTAGTAATATATTGATATTCCCCGATATCGCCTCCAGCGCCAATGCGGATATTCACCGTGGAGCCGCCCCCCGGGCGCGGACGCCATGGGTGGCGCCATGGGTGCCATCTGCATGGGAGCCATGTAGCCTTCCTGAGGATCAAAGAACATCAATGGGTGGAAAAGGTGGGTGGAACAGGTGGATTTAATATGATTTCAACATAAAATCTGGTTGGAAATGGACCAATAACATGGTGATCTTACCATGAAACAATGGGATGTAGGCAGGACAGCGTGTCACTTTTGCACATATAACTTGCACATATGATATAAGTAAAACACATGCTAGTCTAAATTTCAAACATGTGATGTGTGAACATATTTGACCGAAACTTGGTTAAAAACCAACTCCTTCTGACACTTGCGATAGTTTGGGAAAATACTAACAAGTTTGCAACGCACCCAAACATGATCTTGTTGGTTATATGTCCCACAAAATATCAGTGTTATACCCATTGTATTCTCATCATACCCCGATATTTGGGGGTATCCCCCATGTTTGGACAAAGCCACACACGCCACCCCCCAGGCCGGCCTGCATGGGCATGGGATATGGCGCCATCGCCGGCGGCATTGGATAGGGTGCTGCTGGCATCTGGCCGGGGAGGCTTGATGGGGTCACATCTACATGGGGGTTGTTAGCGTGCCATGGTGAAGTTGCATGGGATCCATGAGATATGAATAGATCTAATATAATACAATGGGTGATAAACAGGGGTGTATGTATATGTGTATATATATAAACACGTATACTGTATATGCCTATGTTTACATGCCACTACCACCAACAACATAACGTATGGATATACAGTAATGATATAATATGTATGGACTATGGTCATCCCACTAATGGGAACCTTTTTGAATTCGCCATTATCAAGTTCCCTATTGATATGTCTGAATATTAACATCTCCCAACATGGGGTCAATCTAATCCAACTTTTGAACATGGCACATCGCCTGTAACATTTCAAGCACCGTATCTTTGTAAGTGAATGTCTTCTACTTCGTAACCAGCTGCCTAAAAAAATGTTGTCAAATCTATGTGCATAATCAATCAGAGCAATCGCAACGGTAAATGCCCTTGGATGTTTGAGATTAGGATTCATGCAATTTCTGCTGTTGACTTTCGTGAGTGAAGATTTTGCAACTTTCAGAATAAGCAAACATAAGTGTGCACAACCTAGTCCTCAGTAGTTTGTGTTTTGCATTGTTTTGCGACAGCTACGAGTATGAGCGCAAGTCAGCGCATTTTGCATAATCCAAAAAGGAAAGTTCTGTGCACACTTCGGGATTGGAGAGGATGGCTTCGCCCTGGAAGTGCAGTTTCAGTGAACTAAGTGGACACATCAGATGATGTAACCAAAGTTATAGGGAGGTATTCAAATACCATGCTGATACGTTGATACGCATGCAAATCACCTCAACTGCAATCCCCCAAAATTTTGAGGTGATATTCATTAATATATATATATATATTCAGTATCATCTTCCAATCACCTGATATCAGATTCCATATGATTCCATTTTGGGCTGATCATCACCTGATAGATGGATAATTATATGATGCAATCCTGAGAAATATATGGCTTATTCATCTGATCATAACGGTAAGCATCCCATTGTATGATGCTGGAACGGCTGGTCACGTCCGCCTTCCGTTCCACGACAGCCTTAATCCGCTCCTGGCCGATTATGGTAACAACTTTGTATCGGGGAAGAAGAAGTTACCAGGATATTTGGGGATTTCCTGACCACCTAAGCTTTTGATTATTTTCTTTAGATGCTGTTCCCATAGACCGGCAGCGTCCGGGTGACCGTACGTGGCCTTCACAAGGAGAACTACAGGCTTAACCAATTTATCCCGCCAGTGCTTGGGTCTAAGTTTGGGTGGCCGTTCTATCCACGTCTTATATTTAGAAGACAGGAGTGCTTCAACTTATGCCTTGACGGCGTCAGCCGCGGAAGAACTATGACCAGGCAAAGAACCATATGCTAAACAAGCATTCAGACCTTGAACTGCAGTTGGATTAGCCCTCAATTCTTGATAAACTGCGGCAGCTCCATGCTCGTCCTTAGCACAGTCACCTCGGTAGACAATCCTACCCTTCATCTTTTGGAGGTGCTGTGCCAACTCATAGAGCTTGATTGTCGCTATTGTCATCAGTTGCCCGCCATGGACGGAAACCCCAGTACGTTTGGCCTCAGCTCTGACATCCTCCTTTTCACGAACTGAATCTAGGGACCATGTGCCGGCCTTTATAAGGCCATCCGCCTCTGCCTTGACGGCTTCTAAGGCTTTTGGGTTAGCAAGCATTTCGGCGCGTGATAGTAATTTGGTGACCATGGCCTGCACTTCCTGCAAGGGCTTGTGCAAGGAGATGGTCCAAAGGGCTTGTGCAAGGAGATGGTCGTGGTCCCAAAGTTCAGCCACTAAATTTAAATTGGTGGTGGTGTAATGGATGATTAAGGAAGATGTTAATATCAATGTGCATATGAATGTTATATGTATATATATATATGTGGATATCAGATGATATTGGTATTATGATGTATGGTGTAGATATGTAGTATTATGGAAATCAGTATTATGCGAATATGGATGTGAATATGGAACTAATTCTATGTGAATTGGTATTAGTGTTAGTATGATGCATTAATGAATGTGAATATGGTTTGTATGATGTAGCATTTACAAGTTTATAAGTATAGTTAGATTTCCGTATGTAGAATGTGGGTGATTAATGGATGATTAATGGATGGTTTTCATGAACATGGATATGAATATGATGTAGAAATAAACACGGTGCGTGGACTGGTGAATCACTGAGGTTATACCCTCTGGTAAAATAACATAACTGTGGAAAGATCCACCATTTTTAATGACTCACTATAAATGGCCATTTTCATAAATTAGCAGAGGGTAACTGCTGGTGAAATTCCTTGAAATTCCTTTAGTGAAAATGCCTATTAACCAAGCTCGTGAAAGGACAAAATAAATGATACCAACACCATGCAATCCATGTTCTCTGGGTTACAGACCTATTGATGGTGAACTCCATGCCTCTATCGACTCTATCGCCCATTTTGGACTGGTTTTTGGATGGTTGAATGGTATACCTACCCTACCCCTCTGAAAAATATGACATCGTCAGTTGGGATGATGAAATTCCCAATATATTGAAAAATAAAATTCGTGTTCCAAACCACCAACCAGTTTTTGGATGGTTGAATCAAGTATTATCCCCTTTAGATCATCATAAATCTGCTCGTTCAATCCGTATTTTCTGCTGGCTGAGGCCATATTTTTTTTCCATGCTGAAGCCTCTATCTTTCTTATGATAAAATATGATCAAATCCTGGATTTTGCTGGTTCATGCTCACCTTATTTTTCTCGCTTTAAGCGATTGTTGGTGGTCGAATCCCTGTGTTAGTAATTTTGGTTGTTAAATATGATTTTGTTGTAGGTTAAAACATACCATTGGCAGCAACAAACACTGCATGTATCAAGGAATCAGTATGATTCAGTGTCCTGTTTGGTGGTGACCTACAGTATTTCTAATGGTGAAATCTATCATTCTTTATTATCGAATTCCTATATTCGATTTTTTCTTGTTGGCATTTTTGTCTGGTGGTTAAATGCACATGTTTGATGGTGACAATAAATGTGAAAATAACTTTTTGGGGGTTTGTTGAATCAATACTATTGATGGTAAAATTAATGTTCTGTGTTTTACAAATAGGAGTAACCCACCACAAACAGAATTGATAGAGGACAAACCTAAGTATGAAACCTTCCGAATGGATTGATCCAGATATTATATAATGATTGTAAAGTATAAACAGTATAAACCAATATTCTGAATGGTGTGATTCCTATTTTTGTTGATGGTTTTAAGCTCCGTTACTGTTGAATATTGTTGATCGTTCAATCCCAGCATTTGTTGGTAAAACCCCTCTATAATGTACTCTTGATATCACATTGTATGTCCTGTTACACTAGCTACAATACCTACTTCTGATGGTAACCCCTTTGCTTTATGGCGACATCTCACTTTTGATGGCTAGCCATACCTGTATGCTTTATGACAAAATCCTGTTCTTCAATGATTAACCTTGCATTCTGTGGTTAAAAATCCCATTTTTTAGATCCGGATATTGATGCTTAGATTGATGCATATATATATAATCCATATATAAAATATATAAATATATTATATCCCATTGTTTAGTGGTTAAATCTCATCCTACTTAACTGACCTAACTCCCCATTGTTGCTGGTTCAATCCGCACGTTTCCATTTTTCGTGGTGACGTCCGCTAAATTTCTGGCTCAAAACACCATTTTAAGGTTGGCTATATCATATCCCTATCTTTACTTTGTTGGTTAAATGATGACTAAACGGTGAATCTCCTTGGTTAACCTTGGTTGAATCTTGGATTAAACCACCAGGGATGGTGAATCCCATCATTGAAGTGTCCCACCCCCAACATTTGCACCTCGGAGGCTTCCACGGCAGCCTTGATTCGCTCCTGCAGAAATCGGTTGCGCGGATGTTGACCAAGGGAACCATCAGGCTCTACGCATCATATCCGTTGTAAATCCCAAGAACATGGTGATTAATTATATTTAATGCCCCATTGAAAGAAGAGCTGACGCAGGACAGCGCACTGGAGCTGGCCGGTGTGCGTGGCAGGCGGAAACCAGCCCAAAGCGGATTCGACGCAGCCATCACCCGCCTTCAACCAGAGGCCCTGGATCACATATATATATAATATAATATAATATAATATAATATAATATATAGTAAAAAAATGTATTTAATAACATAATAATGTATATAAAAATAAATTATAATATATGTATATATAATATTAATATATAATATTAATATATAATATTAATATATACATATTTGTATAGACAGAGAGAGAGAGAGAGAGGGAGAGAGAGAGAGAGAGAAAGAGGAAAAGAGAGACTTGACATGAGCATAGCACTTCACTGGCAGCAGATGGAAGATGAAACTTGTACCGTAGGCTGAGTATAAGGCTGAGTATGATGAGTGGTGATGAAATACGCCGAGTGGGCTCATTCGGATTGTGGTTCTGAGATGTTTGACATTGTTAGAACATGGTGAAAGAGTGAAAGATTGCGAACATATGGTGATGCTATGGTGGAAAGATTGTAAACTTGCATCAACAACGTCAGCCCATCCCCGCTCCGACAGTGCCGCGGTGCCGCTGTGGCCGGTTGGCAGATGGAATATGTCTGGCTGTTCGGCCTAGGCCGCGTGTCTCAGATTGGCCCACTGACGGTATCGACCCTATCAAGCCAGGGGTGGCGTGCGCAACTGGCAAAGCTCCCAACCGTCGCGGTCCTGAGAAATGACAATGCCTGATTTTCGGACTTGTACAGTTGAAGGCCCCTCGCCACCCAGGAAGGACAGGCACGATTATCGGGTCCCTGTGGTCGTCGAGTTTGCTCCCAGCACATATTTTGAAGGTGTCCTGCAGCATCAGCAGGTTTGGCCCGTACCTCGTACACAAAACGTCCTGCTCACCGCCCCGAAAGGAGGGTAGCCAACCGCCCTTGAAGGCAGATGTTCCTATCCTTTCTGGGGATTACTATTTACAATATATGATACAAGGTACTATATGCAATTTATGGCACATGTACATATGAAACAAAACACATCATGTTTCACATGTTTTTTTCCAACTACCAAAATCATTGATAGTCGTTCTACACCCCCCACCTGCAGGAAATTCAAAGCCCACTCCTTAGGATCAGCAACCAGCCCTGCAAGTTCAAGTTGATATCATTGTTGCTTTTGCTATCGCTACAATCATATTCCCTATGGACCACCAATTATATCTCCAATATTCCAATATATTTCCGTTTTACCACCAGTTTCGTTGGGCAGATCCCAACTGTTCATTACATTCTTCGGACATAGTCCCTACATGGAGGTTTCCTAAAATGGGGGATCCCCAAGTCACCCTGGGTGTTCCAATATTTCCAATACTATATAAATCATGGTCATTCATGACGACTGGATGATTTGGGGGTGCCCTCTTTTTAGGAAACCTCCATATACTAGTTGGTTATATATCATGAAATAAGCCACTTATTAATTGTTTTGTTGGGATATCACCATTGATTTTCATTATATTCCCTATATTTTCCCTATATTCCACCATGGGAAATGGCCAACATGACACCTGCCCCGTCACCTCCACTTCCATCTCCGTCTGTTCCACAGCTGCTCTGATCCTGCCCTGGCAGCACTGATCATGAGGATGGATCAACAAAACAATCCCTAGTGCTCCAGATACCCTCTGCGAAGGTGTTTATTATATAGACCCCAAAAAACAACTCCAAATACAGTCTCAGAAGGTGTTTGGAGCTGTAGGGAATGGGAATATAGAAGTGGAAAATACTGGAAATAACCCAAATCCTGATCCGGTGATTTGACAAGAAAACACATCTATATACTTTGATTTGACATGATTTGACATCACCAAACATTGGGATAGAAGCTAGAGAGACTGGAGGTAAAAGCAAGAAAATGGTGATCAGGCCAGAAATAGGGATCAAACCAAGGTAAACTGGACCACATAAACCATCCCCAGGCAGATTTAAGATGATTTCAGAGACCATTTAAGGCCATGAAATTCATGGATTTCTCTGGCATCCTTTGATGAAAGCCTTGGGCGTCCTCGGGACCCTGTTGACATCCGTTGACCCAGGGAAATCGCTGCAGAACAGAAGATGTTGCCATGGGTTAACGGCCATCAAACACATTTGGGTGTTTCTTAACCCAACAAATGGCAGGACCGTGATTATTCACCAGTGCGGGACAAATGTATATATATATGTGCACCTTAGCAAACATATTTCGTTGTTTGGATATTCATCCTAAATAGGAACTGGTCAATGACCATGTTTACTTTATCCATATGTATACATATATATATATTATATGTACAAGTATACATATCACCGGGATATCTTCACTGGGTGCATTGGAAAATGACAATCAGCATGGCCACAACACGATAATAGTTCGTTGGTTCTTTGGTTAACGGTTATCACCATCGTAGGATGAGCCCCCAAGTAGATAGAACGCTTGGAAACTTGGAAATATGAAATATAAAGCCAAATATGTTCCGTACCACATACCACCCTAGAAACACTTTTCTAATTATACATTGTTTTTATCTTGCTGGGGGTTGCTATAAAATGTTGCTGTTTTTGTGTAAACATCTATATCATCTATAAACATTTATAATCTATCTCAAATGCTTTTCGGACATCTATAGAGTACATATCAAACCACCAGGATCCAACCGCGATGTCCTGCACTTCATCTTCCGTCTCCTTCCTCCTCTTTGCAGCCTCTGCAGATTTTTTGATCTTATCCTCCGGAGGAGGATCTGTCGATACCCAAGGAGAGGCGTCAACTGGTGGACCTTGACTTCTCTTGGATGCTCTGCCATATTCTTCTTGCTGTTTAGCTGGATCGAATATCAAGCATAATACACATATATAATATTATATAGAAATATATACATACATATAGATTTGTAAAAATTCAACAATGCCTAACCATCCGCTCAATTCACCATTTCTATTTCTGACCCAGATCCATTCATCGGTGCTCTTTTTCAGCAGGGGGACTTCCACCAAGTGGTTGATAAAACAAATGATGGTTACTGGAACAATGATAACTTATTAGTAACTGGAATAAGTGGTTAGACAACAATCATAACTGTAATATATCATGACTACAATATGTTGATCAAATAAATGGTTACTGGAATAAGTAATGATAACTGTAGTTATGACACAACTTATTTGAGATCACTCACTCTTACTACCCTCTGGGTGTGGCTCTTCTGGAACCTACCCTCTTTGAGCTGCTGCATGTGCTGTGTGGCCCCCCCCCCGCCCCCCCCCCCCCCCCCCCCCCCCCCCCCCGAATATACACTTACTAACCCTCTGCTAATTTAACATAACTATGGGGGGAAACTCACTATAAATGACCATTTTCAATAGCTATGTTAGTTTACCAGAGGGTAACTGTTAGTTCAGCTAGGTTTTGGTTCTGGTAGCGTGAATCAAATCACTGCATCACAGTCCATTTGCACTGGACCGTCGGAACCACTTTCCGGATCGCTAGACACTCCGCGAGATAGAAGTCGACCTTCCTTGGGGGGTCCATGTGCTGAGACATCACCCGGTTGCAATACTGGGTGGGTGTGATGGCGGGTTCGACAGAACTCGGATTGTCCATCAACTGGGTCTCCTTCGAGCGCAATGACAGTCCAGGCACTATCACTCCCTCTGTTCCCCTCTGTAGTACTACCTCCGCGTCTGTCCAGGTGGTGCTGGTGGGCCTTGCGGGCTGGAACTTCAGGCTGACGCCGATGAGGTTCGGCTCCAAGATCCCTTTGACACTGGCCTTCCTAGATAGTATCGGCCTCAATCTCACTTTCTGTCGGGGTATCGCCCGAGCAGCTCCTGGCATCATCGTGCCAGAAGATAGTCCGCCTGCGGATACCAGGCAGGACGCCATCGAGCACGTCATCGGCTCCCTGATCACTGTGGCACCCAGCAGCTCAAGCTTCCTGATAAATTGCAGTAATTAATTCACGAACTGGAAAAAAAGTCCTTGGGTATGATTCTCCGAATCCTAAATCCTTCAGTGACGTTGCAGGCTTCGGTCGTAAGAATGCTTCGGTCGTAAGAATCTATCCAAATGGATTGTATATTTAAGGTCTGCTCACAACTGGAGATAACTTGTTGAGGCACAACAATAACCAAAGAACCTTTGTTAATACGTGTCACCATTATGTAATAACTGGGCATCACTAACCACTAAATATCTAGAATGCACAGTAATTACTTTAACCATTTTATTGAATTATCGAAGGAAGTTTAGAAGTCAAACTTCCGACAATATGGAGAGATGAAAAGCAGAGCAGGGAAGAGGCACAGAGAAGAGAAAGATTAGAAGAAAGAAGAGTAGAAGAGAAAGAGTAAGAAGACAGAAGATGCAGATGCTCGAAAGGTAGGAAAGTCGCGAAACACTGTGTTTTTCCAATGATTTGTGGCTCTGGAGGGTTCAAAAGAAGGCTCGCTAAAGCGGCGGGTGCGGAGCCAGCTGGCCAGAGGAGAGATGAAAAATTGCACGCCGTTGTGGCGCGAAGCACATTTCGAAGTCAAAATGTACAAAACACACCATGGTCGGACGACCTTTGGAAGTTGCGATGTCGAGAAAGTGCACGCCGTTGTGGCGCGAAGCACATTTCGAAGTCAAAATGTACAAAACACACCAGGTTCGGACCACTTTTGGAAGTTGAGATGTCGAAAAAGTGCGCGCCGTTGTGGCGCGAAGCACATTTCGAAGTCAAAATGTACAAAACCCCAAGGGTTTGGACCACTTTTGGAGGTTCAGATGTCGCTTCGCCGCTTCGCTTCACTACACTACACTACGTTACGTTACATTACACCACACTCCACTATACTACACTACATTACACTACACTACACTCCACAACACTACAACTACACAACTAGACTACACTCCACTACACTAAATTAATGTTGTCGACTGATTAGTGGGCGGGCCCCCCCCCCCCTCAAACAATTTTAGTCTACTCAATAACTGACCATTTTTTTGCGCCCCCCCACCCTCAACAATTTTTTTGAATTGATTTCAATTTACTTTTAATTGAAATCAATTTACTTTCAATTGATTTCAATTTACTTTTAATTGATTTCAATTTACTTTCAATTGATTTCAGTTTACTTTCAATTGATTTTCAATTTACTTTTAATTGAATTCAATTTACGTTCAATTGACTTTCAATTGATTTCAATTTACTTTCAAGGGTTTTGTTTTTTTTTTCGACCCCAAAAGTTGCTTGGCACAATAGAGTACCATCCAAACATTCATATTATTGAGTAACTGAGCCACTCATGAGGTACCCCCTTGAAAAATTGTTTGGATGCTGTTTTTTTAATAAGGGTTTAATAAGGCATCTAATTATTTGGAAAACCTTGCATTTTAAAGTTTTATCACAAATATGTTTCCTAAAGTAAATGGACCAGCTTTACTCAAAGAAAGGTGGAGAAGGTTTTTGATTTTTTTCAACCCCAAAAGTTGTTGGGCACAATAGAGTACCATCCAAACATTCATATTATTGAGTAACTGAGCCACTCATGGGGTACCACCTTGAAAAATTGTTTGGATGCTGTTTTTTAAAAAGGGTTTAATAAGGCATCTAATTATTTGGAAAACCTTGCATTTTAAAGATTTAACACAAATATGGCTTTCTAAAGTAAATGGACCAGCTTTACCCAAAGAAAGGTGGAGAAGGTTTTTGATTTTTTTCAATCCCAAAAGTTGCTTGGCACAATAGAGTACCATCCAAACATTCATATTATTGAGTAACTGAGCCACTCATGAGGTACCCCTTGAAAAATTGTTTGGATGCTGTTTTTTAATAAGGGTTTAATAAGGCATCTAATTATTTGGAAAACCTTGCATTTTAAAGATTTAACACAAATATGGCTTTCTAAAGTAAATGGACCAGCTTTACTCAAAGAAAGGTGGAGAAGGTTTTTGATTTTTTTCAACCCCAAAAGTTGCTTGGCACAATAGAGTACCATCCAAACATTCATATTATTGAGTAACTGAGCCACTCATGAGGTACCCCCTTGAAAAATTGTCTGGATGCTGTTTTTTAATAAGGGTTTAATAAGCGGTTTAATAAGCATCTAATTATTTGGAAAACCTTGCATTTTAAAGATTTTACACAAATATAGCTTTGTAAAGTAAATGGACCAGCTTTACTCAAAGAAAGGTGGAGAAGGTTTTTGATTTTTTTCAATCCCAAAAGTTGCTTGGCACAATAGAGTACCATCCAAACATTCATATTATTGAGTAACTGAGCCACTCATGAGGTACCCCCTTGAAAAATTGTTTGGATGCTGTTTTTTAATAAGGGTTTAATAAGGCATCTAATTATTTGGAAAACCTTGCATTTTAAAGATTTAACACAAATATGGCTTTCTAAAGTAAATGGACCAGCTTTACCCAAAGAAAGGTGGAGAAGGTTTTTGATTTTTTTTCCAGCCCCAAAAGTTGCTTGGCACAATAGAGTACCATCCAAACATTCATATTATTGAGTAACTGAGCCACTCATGGGGTACCACCTTGAAAAATTGTTTGGATGCTGTTTTTTAATAAGGGTTTAATAAGGCATCTAATTATTTGGAAAACCTTGCATTTTAAAGATTTAACACAAATATGGCTTTCTAAAGTAAATGGACCAGCTTTACTCAAAGAAAGGTGGAGAAGGTTTTTGTTTTTTTTCAATCCCAAAAGTTGCTTGGCACAATAGAGTACCATCCAAACATTCATATTATTGAGTAACTGAGCCACTCATAAGGTACCCCCTTGAAAAATTGTCTGGATGCTGTTTTTTAATAAGGGTTTAATAAGGCATCTAATTATTTGGAAAACCTTGCATTTGAAAGCTTTAACACAAATATGGCTTTCTAAAGTAAATGGACCAGCTTTACTCAAAGAAAGGTGGAGAAGGTTTTTGATGTTTTTTTCAACCCCAAAAGTTGCTTGGCACAATAGAGTACCATCCAAACATTTATATTATTGAGTAACTGAGCCACTCATGAGGTACCTCCTTGAAAAATTGTTTGGATGCTGTTTTTAAATAAGGGTTTAATAAGGCATCTAATTATTTGGAAAACCTTGCATTTTAAAGATTTAACACAAATATGGCTTTCTAAAGTAAATGGACCAGCTTTACTCAAAGAAAGGTGGAGAAGGTTTTTGATGTTTTTTTCAACCCCAAAAGTTGCTTGGCACAATAGAGTACCATCCAAACATTTATATTATTGAGTAACTGAGCCACTCATGAGGTACCTCCTTGAAAAATTGTTTGGATGCTGTTTTTTAATAAGGGTTTAATAAGGCATCTAATTATTTGGAAAACTTTGCATTTTAAAGATTTAACACAAATATGGCTTTCTAAAGTAAATGGACCAGCTTTACTCAAAGAAAGGCGGAGAAGGTTTTTGATTTTTTTCAACCCCAAAAGTTGCTTGGCACAATAGAGTACCATCCAAACATTCATATTATTGAGTAACTGAGCCACTCATGAGGTACCCCCTTGAAAAATTGTTTGGATGCTGTTTTTTAATAAGGGTTTAATAAGGCATCTAATTATTTGGAAAGCCTTGCATTTTAAAGATTTAACACAAATATGGCTTTCTAAAGTAAATGGACAAGCTTTACTCAAAGAAAGGTGGAGAAGGTTTTTGATTTTTTTTTCAACCCCAAAAGTTGCTTGGCACAATAGAGTACCATCCAAACATTCATATTATTGAGTAACTGAGCCACTCATGGGGTACCACCTTGAAAAATTGTTTGGATGCTGTTTTTTAAAAAGGGTTTAATAAGGCATCTAATTATTTGGAAAACCTTGCATTTTAAAGATTTAACACAAATATGGCTTTCTAAAGTAAATGGGCCAGCTTTACTCAAAGAACGGTGGGGAAGGTTTTTGATTTTTTTCAATCCCAAAAGTTGCTTGGCACAATAGAGTACCATCCAAACATTCATATTGTTGAGTAACTGAGCCACTCATGAGGTACCCCCTTGAAAAACTGTCTGGATGCTGTTTTTTAATAAGGGTTTAATAAGGCATCTAATTATTTGGAAAACCTTGCATTTTAAAGATTTAACACAAATATGGTTTTCTAAAGTAAATGGACCAGCTTTACCCAAAGAAAGGTGGAGAAGGTTTTTGATTTTTTTTCCAGCCCCAAAAGTTGCTTGGCACAATAGAGTACCATCCAAACATTCATATTATTGAGTAACTGAGCCACTCATGGGGTACCACCTTGAAAAATTGTTTGGATGCTGTTTTTTAATAAGGGTTTAATAAGGCATCTAATTATTTGGAAAACCTTGCATTTTAAAGATTTTACACAAATATAGCTTTGTAAAGTAAATGGACCAGCTTTAATCAAAGAAGAAAGGTGGAGAAGGTTTTTGATTTTTTTCAATCCCAAAAGTTGCTTGGCAAATAGAGTACATCCAAAACAGTCATAATTGAGTAACTGAGCCACTTCAACAAGGTACCCCCTTGATGGAAAATGTCTGGGATGCTGTTATTTAATTAAGGGTTTAATAAGGATCTGAAATATCGGAAAAACCTTGGCAGTTTAAAGATTTTAACCAAGTATGGGCTTTTTAAAAGTAAAAGTGGCCCAGCTTTACTCAAAGGAAAGGTGGAGAAGGTTTTGATTTTTTGAACCCCAAAAAGTTGCTTGGAACAATAGAGTAACCATCCAAAACAATTGGCAGATTAGAGTAAACTGAGCCACTTCCGAGGGTACCCCCTTGAAAAAATTGGTCTTCGGGATGCTGTTTTTACTAAGGTTTTTTTCATAAGGCATCTAATTATTTGGAAAACCTTGTATTTTAAAGCTTTAATACAAATATGGTTTCCTAAAGTAAATGGACCAGCTTTACTCAAAGAAAGGTTGAGAAAGGGTTTTTATTTTTTTTCAACCCCAAAAGTTGTTGGGCACAATAGAGTACCATCCAAACATTCATATTATTGAGTAACTGAGCCACTCATGGGGTACCACCTTGAAAAATTGTTTGGATGCTGTTTTTTAATAAGGGTTTAATAAGGCATCTAATTATTTGGAAAACCTTGCATTTTAAAGATTTTACACAAATATAGCTTTGTAAAGTAAATGGACCAGCTTTACTCAAAAAAAGGTGGGGAAGGTTTTTGATTTTTTTCAATCCCAAAAGTTGCTTGGCACAATAGAGTACCATCCAAACATTCATATTGTTGAGTAACTGAGCCACTCATGAGGTACCCCCTTGAAAAATTGTCTGGATGCTGTTTTTTAATAAGGGTTTAATAAGGCATCTAATTATTTGGAAAACCTTGCATTTGAAAGCTTTAATTTAAAAAAATGAAAAACAGAAAAACATTTTTAAGTAACCAATTTAAAAATAAATTCAAAAAATAATTAATTAATTAGGAACAATAAAAAAAAATCTGGAAAACATTTGCCACAATAGAGGCCCCCCCCCACCAAACAGCAGGTTACTGAATAAGGAGGAAAAAGTTTGCCACAATAGAGTACCATGCTACTAATCAGGTGCCAACATTAGGTATGTATGTATGTATGTATGCATACACGTCCGTATGCATGTCGAACGGGCACTGGCGATCCCATGTGATGCTCAGTTTGACGTGTACTGGCGATCCTCTCTCAACTTGTAGATTCGATCCCTCGCCCTTTTCTATCTATCTGTCCCCATTCATTTACTTCTCCTATCTACTGAATCTATTGATGTAAGTACATCCATCTATTCATCCATCTACCCATTGACTTTCAGTCATCGATTTCCTCCTTTATTCATGATCCTATCTTCTCGTTGTGCCAAAAACCTGGAGCAGCAAGATTGAGAATGACGCAGCAACACAGACACAAATGAAGGTGCGATAGTGACACATCAGCAGCCCAGTGTGGTAAACAGAAGCGTTTCGTTTGAGTCACCCTTGGCAAGGTGCAGAATCCATCGCCCCTGCCACAGCAATTGAACGTGCAAAAGTGGTCCGAACATAATGTGCTTGTGACATTTTGACTTCGAAATGTGCTTCGTGCCACAACAGCGTGCACTTTTTCAACATCTTGACTTCCAAAAGTGGTCCGAGAATGGTGTGTTTTGATGCATTTTGTGCATCTTGACTTCATTTGACTTCGAATAGTGTGCTTCGCGCCACAGCGGCGCGAACACTTTTTCAACGGCTGAGCTTCCAAAAGTGCTCCGACGCTGGTGTGCTTTTACCATATTTACGTCCAAATGTGCTTCGCGCCACAGTCGCGTACACTTTTTCGACATCTCAACTTCCCAAAGTCTTCCGAACCTGATGTGTTTTGAACGTTTTGCCTTGCAACTGTGCTTCGCGAGACAGCGGCGTACAATTTTTGATCTCACATTTCCCCGGATGGCTCCGCACCCGCCACTTTAGCGAGCCTACTTTTGGACCCTCCGGAACCACAAAACATTAGGAAAACACACAGTGTTTTGCGACTTGTCATGACTTTTCTACCTTTTCGCGCGCTTTGATATTTTTTCTTCTGACTCTTTCTCTTCTCTGATCTCCTTTATTCTTCTCTTCTCTTTTCTGACTCTTCCCACTTCTGCTGCTTCATCTGTCCATATATATATATATATATTGGCAGAAGTTTGACTCCTAAAATTCCTTCGATAATTACATATGGCATTGAATATTACATAATTGATATATATATAATATTAATTTGACATTATATACTTTCATATAAATTCAAATAACTTTTATATGTGCGTGTGTGTAAGCTAGCACCTCTTAAAGCGGGTAGACATCGGATCCAGACTCTTTTGGTCAGATTGTTGATCAGTGCTACAATGTAATGTATATATTGCTAATGTTGGGTTTCCGAGCGTTCGAAGTGGTGACCACCAAATAAGACTTGTCCGGGTTTGTACCCAGAGCCTGAGTCGCGGGTTGCCACTTCTAGAAACGATTCGAAAACTGTGAATGATGCCAATCCAGGATCTATTCCTGGCCTGGTTCAAGCACATCTCAGCTCATCGTGTGGGTTCTTGTGTATTTGTGTCTTATCCATTAATGGAAAGTCATGTCATGTCGTGTCAAATCATTCAAATCATTTCGAGACGCACGAAAATGCGTGCATCTTAGGCATGCGTGCGGAACAATGTGCATCAACTGGCTGGTGCTTCTCGGCTTCGGACGGACCACACCTGAGCAGTCGATCTGACACGATCTGAAGCGCTGACTCCATGACTCTCTCTCTCTCTCTCTTTTTTTCCTTGTATTGTATATTATTGAATCCTGTCACTTTCATGCTAGATATCCCTAGGTGACAGCAAATTGTTACCGTGCACCGTGCTGTGTTCCCTACTCTCGCAGGATCTTGAAGAAAAAACACGCCCTCTGTTGGAATTCCCCGTGAACTGCCCGAGTTGGTCAAGCCTCCTCGGCCCTTCAAATCTGTGACTGGGTCCTGCCACTGCAGCTGCTTTTATGAATCACAGTCCGCTTGTCGTCTCTACATGCTTGTATATATATATATATCTATCTATCTAATCCTTTAGCATAATTCAAAAGACATATATATGCCTTTAAAAAAATGACGGGTGGACATGACGATGGCAACGACGCCACGACGACGATTGTGCCGACGGGCACGATAGCCATCCGGCACGACGACGATCGACCGACGGCATGATGACAATAGACTGACGGCATGACGGCAGAATGACGGCGGCATGACAGCAAGGTGACGACGACACGACGACCGTCATAAGCCTGGGTTCGCATCCAACCCCGTCAGCATGGGTTCGCCGCCGAACCCGGGCTTATGACACGTCAGACCCCAGCTTATGACCCTCATTGGCCCTTTGTCACATCGTCGTCGTGTTGTCGTCATGCCGTCATCATGTCGTCGGTCTATCGTCGTCGTGATGTCGCCTATCGTCGTCACTTTGTCGCCATGCTGTCGTCGGGACCGAACCATCGTCACAACCCTCCCGTCACTCTTGCTTTCACAAGAAAACCTGGTGCGCATGTGTTTATAGAATTTAGCTGTAGATGTTATAATTTACATTAATTTATATTATAAATTAATTCACATTAATTTACTTATAAGACTTATCATCAACTGTCCAAGTCATCAGAAGTGAGCTTCCGCAAATATAAATGGAAAGCCGCTTTTTTTGAACTTTTTCGGAGTCTGACCAAATGTCACATTGCTTCTTTTGGCTGCGAAAGACCGTGAAAGACTCCTTGAGATCCCTGAGTCGTTCCGAACATATTGCGATTATCTGCGCATATTATTGGGAATATAACTTAACCCACGCTTTATCTAGGCAGTGTCCTGCTATATCATTATTGTATCCCAATCTGTTCCGTCGCCCGCCTCTGACATGCGGGGATCCTGTCAGCAAATCCATACCGAACGACTGATTATTGACGATATTTGAAGGGAACAGTAGTTTGATATAGTTTGATGATGCATGTCAACAATGAGATACAGTATCCTATCTTGCTGCTGTGTGATGCTGTGTGATGCTGTGTGATGCTGTGTGATACGGCGATATGCAATATGGATCCGCGACTTTTTTGTGTCCAGTTCCTTCGCACAAATCCTGAAGCGGATGCCTCTCTGCCACAGCCCAATTGGCGATGTGACCAGAGTTGTCGCGCTTCAGATCAGTGGACATGGCTGAGATACCTCCACGGCTTCACACCTCCAGATTTCAGGTTAGTCTCCACATGTCTTCGTGCTTGACACCACTTCAAATTGTCAGCGCAAACTGTGAACCATCTGCGGAGCAGCTGACGCAGGTTGGTGTCACCAGCACGTCAAAGCAGTCGCAAAAATGCGGCATAATTTAATCATTTTGATCAGTCAATGGCAGCCAATGTCAGCTATGGAAAAACATATAATAATTACAATATATAAAAAAAATATAAAAAATATATTATATATATATAAGATCCCTTTAAAATGGTTGTAATCACTGGAGGGCAGTGACCTATGGATGATAGGTAGCCTGGGAAGATGCTGAATTTCTGAGCAGTAACAAGAGAGAGCAAAATATGCAATCGACTCCGCGGGGAGGTTTTGCATTTGGAGTCACACGCGGGGTTCACGTGCTGTATATCGCACCAGTGACCTGTTCGTACTTCAAAATCTTAAGTTTCATCTGGAATGAGAGCCAAAAGGGCCGCGATGCTTGATGATCTTCATGACTCTAGTATGGCACTGCTGCGAACTTGGTCAACATCTCACACCAGCCCATCTTTGGTGTGAAAACGCTCAGAACAGGTCAAAGGTGGTATGCAGATGTACTAGGGTACTACATCAGCCAAACATGAGTTCACCTATTGGTACACAATGGTGCACATAATCACACCTTTCTCCCCGAGAAGGCGGATACCCTTCGTCCAGGGTATGTGTTTCCCTGGGCCCAAAGTAGGCTTACACTTGCAGCTTAGGCTGAAAAGCGGCCGCCATGTACGAAGAGAGTCTTGTTGGTCCGGGGCGTGGCCGCTCCATCGTCGTGATCGTGTGCATCCCCAGGGAGTTCGAACCTGGGTGATCATGATCCAGGTTCATCCAGGTTCCACATGAATCACAAATGACTCTTTGCATGTGGCATACATTGATGGAGACACACACCGAGAGAATCTCACAGCAGAACATGGCAAACCATGGCAAACCTACATGCCCAACCCAAGTGCCCTTGAAGAACTTGGCTATCTCTCTGCACAGTGGGCAAACGTATCCTTGAAACAAGGAGCTTTGGAGAGAAAATGCCAGGGCCGCGAGGGGTGCCCGAAACGCTGGCTTCGCAATCTGTTTGTTCATCATCGTCCACGATAGGCACTGGCACGGAGGCCATGGATGCCGTCGTAGAAGGGTGTGCCACCTCGATGGGGTTGTAGGAAGCAAGGAACATGGAGATTGCCTCCTCAAAGCCTCGGAAAGCGCTTTACAGGCGGTTCTGACATTGCCTGGCAAATGGCACAGAACCAGCACCAAGATCATCAAAATGCACCATGCAAGGACAAAAGTCAATTCATGTCAACAAAAGTGAATTCCAGAAACTCACGCACGATCATTAGCCTGAGAATGTTCTGTTCATCTGTTCCAAGCCAGTCAGTCGTGTGGTACATGATCGGTACATGATCAAGACATATCAAGACAAAATCAGGGAGGTGATGCAAACCTTTTACATACCTTTTACCTTCCCGCGTGTCAACTTGTGTCAACCTTTCCTTCTGATTTTTTTTTGCAAATCTTCTCCAAGCTACCACGCTTTGCCTCGCAGAAATTCTGCGCCTCACAGTAGCTGAGACTTGGTGCCGCTGGACGTGGACGTGGGAGCACTGGTCCCATGGGTCCCATGGGTCCGATTGGTGCCATTGGTGCCATTGGTCCCGCAGCTCGAACAGGATCTTCCATGGCTTCCAGGTGCATCTGGGTCCATGGGAGCTCCAAACCCGGTGGAGGGTCAAAGACCTGTGGATATGCCTCAGAGTGAGAAGATGGGGACCGGAATGGCGAACATATTTACCAATAATATTGAAATATCATTATTTTAAATATATAATTATTTAATAATATGCCAACAATTGGCGCTAAGCAGAAAAGAAAGAAAAACATGCTGCCCCTGAATTGGCCCATGTGCCAGTCCTATGCAAATCAAGCTGATCGTCCCCAAAGTGGTGGCTGCGACCGGTCAGTTCCCTAAAAAAATTGGAAGAACTCCAGACTCCTGTGAGAAAAATAGTGACACTCTTGTCCTGGCATGGGTGCAAATATAACATATATATATATATAATTATCGAAGGAAGTTTAGAAGTCAAACTTCCGACTATATGGAGAGATGAAAAGCAGAGCAGGGCAGAGGCACAGGGAAGAGGAAGATTAGAAGAGAGAAGATCAGAAGAGAAAGAGTAAGAGGAAAGACGCTACAGATGCGCGAAAAGGTAGGAAAGTCGCGAAACACTGTGTTTTTCCAATGATTTGTGGCTCCGGAGGGTCGAAAAGTAGGCTCGCTAAAGCGGCGGGTGCGGAGCCAGCTGGCCACAGGAGCGATGAAAAATTGCACGCCGTTGTGGCGCGAAGCATATTTCCAAGTCCAAATGTACAAAACACCAGGGGTTCAGACCACTTTTGGAAGTTGAGATGTCGAAAAAGTGCACGCCGTTGTGGCGCGAAGCACATTTCCAAGTCAAAATGTACAAAACACCTCAGCTCCGGACCACTCTTGGAAGTTGAGATGTCGAAAAAGTGCACGCCGTTGTGGCGCGAAGCACATTTCCAAGTCAAAAGTGTTAAAAACTGGCGGTCTCGGACCACTTTTGGAAGTTGAGATGTCGAAAAAGTGTCGAAAAAGTGCACGCCGTTGTGGCGCGAAGCACATTTCGAAGTCAAAAGTGTAAAAAAAACTGAGGGTTTGAGCCTTTTTTGACGTGAAGATGTCGAAAAAGTAGACATTGATTAACTTAACTAACTTGACTAACTTAACTAACTTCACTAACTTAACTACCCTAACTTCGACGACAACAGCAACAACAACAACAACAACAACTACAACTACAACTACAACTACAACTACACAACAACTACAACTACAACTACAACTAGAACTACAACTACAACAGCTACAACAACAACAACAGCACAACAACAGCAACAGCAACAGCAACAGCAACAGCAACAGCAACAGCAACAACAACTACTACAACTACAACTACAACTACAACTACACAACAACTACAACTAGAACTACAACTACAACTACAACAACTACAGCTACAACAACAACAACAACAACAACAACTACAACAGCAACAACAACAACTACAACTACAACAACAACAGCAACTACTACTACTACTACTACTACTACTACAACTACTACAACTACAACTACACTACACAACAACTACAACCACACAACAACTACAACAACTACAACTACAACTACAACTACAAAACAACTACAGCTACAACCATATGACTGCAACTACACTACACTAATTACATTACACCACAACTACAACTCCACTACGCTGCAACTACAACTACAGTTGCAGTACATCACACTACATCCAGCAGTTGTGGGTGAGGTGACCACTGCAACCATTGCAACCATTCCAGCAAACACAACTCCAACCCCCTTTCGGTCAATCAGTGGCTTCGCTCTGCCATCCCTGATTCACAACAACCAACTTCTCCTATAGGTTTCCTATTTTTGAAACTTCCGCCACCGCCTTGTGCGGTACTACTGGTAATTAATATAAAGTAAAATGATGCGATATATTATATATAATATATAAATCTCTATATATATATTGTTATTATTGTTATTATATATCATTATAATTATTATGTGATGCAAATTGACTCAATGTGTTACTAGCGCCAAGCCAGGACACTGGTCTCTCGGGAGGCGCTGTCACCGCTTGCACTGTGCAAAGCAAGTCGTATGCCTCAGAGATATCCTTGGTGCATAACTTTGGAGATGACACGGGAGATGACCTGTCGGGGTCATAGTCGTACTCAGGGACAACATATGAAACATCAGGCATATTAATACATTGGAATGCGGAACCATTTCCTTCATCCGTAAAAGTCATAAATATTATATTGAAGATAGAAAAATGTATATATATATATACTAAGTTTTTTTCGCCCATAATGTCACAAGAGGCGCCATGCTGCATCCTTGTTGCACCAAGGACGAGGACACTAGCTGCTAGGAAAAATCGAGTATATTCGTCTGTGGGGTTGGGTCAGGAAGCCCAACAGCAACAACAGCAAGAGTCAGAATCAGGACAAGAACAACAAATACATAAGTAACAAAAACAAACGAAGAAAATGCTTGGCCTGGCAAGATTCCATTCTCGTTCCCTTGTGGATCACAATTGGCCGGTACTGACTGTTCCTGGAATGTGAGACAGCACGGTTGGAGAAATGACGGATATTCTCCTGGGCTGTGCAGTTGGAGTCTTCTCCACACAAAACTGACAAAAATCAATGAAAAAGATTGAAAAAGATGGTTGTGAAATAGTCCTGGTGATCTCAACTCCGTCACAATTCGAAATAGTGCGTTCCAAACATGTTCCAAAGTCATGTAATGTTGCATGGCTTTCATAAAATGAATGGAAAACAGGAAAACATCAGGAACACCATTGGCAAATTACTGGCAATGCGGTTTTGAAACAAAAACACGCTGAAGTCACAGGAAAGTCTCAATGAAGCCCTGAATATGGGCCAAAGATACGCGTGCTGCCTTGGGAGTGGGACAGTTTGGGAAGACATAGCCGGCAAAATACGTCATGAAGCGATCCAAATCCTCACGCGAGAGCTCAAACTGTCACCGGGAATGCCACTGAGAGGCCAGGCTCTCCAAGCAGCCTCAAACATATCAACAGTTATCAAGTATATTATTCAAATATACATAATATACTAGTTTGATCTAGTTTGGCTACCTGCTACCAAGAGAGATCCAGCGATGCACTTGATATCTACTGTGGGCTATTTGTGGTAAATCAGGGTGTGACGCAAGGTTTCCAAACGGCCTGTGAGGTCAAGAAGTTGATGAAGGCATAACCCACGTTGGTGCCTCAGCTTGGCTCCTATTCTCCATCTCCAATCGGAAGTGTACCAAGCAAAGCACACCCATGCTGAAGAAAACAATTATATAATTGAGATGAAAAAAGCACGCAGAAGCGCTGAAGCCAATCTTAAGCCAAGCATAGCCAAGCGAGGCACGGTTTTTTGTGTCCATTGGCAAGTAGAAGAAGTCGTATGAATCTGTAAAGCCTGGACGGTTCAAAGCACCCAGAAAAGCCATGCAAAGCCCCGATATGAACCCTCTTGGCCAATTGATTGTGGGAATGGGAACTGGAACCAGTAGACTGACCTGCCAAATTGACTTCAATATATTGAAGTGTGATGGCATAATGGTTGGGACATTGCAATGTGCTGGCTTGGGATGGCTTGGAAAGCTTACAGTACCCCACGAAGGAACCTGCAGCGTTGATCTCTTTGAGCAAACCCACCTGTCAGGGGTGCAACGGTGCAACAACTTCAACAGCCGCAGTCGGAACAGCAACAGCAGTGCAACGGCTGACAAACATATCCTCCACTTTGGTCTTTTAAGGGACAAACAGAAACAGTACAAAAAGGTACATTGACATAAAAAAGGTGTTGCTTTGAAGCCAAAGCACACATTGGACATGTCACATGATACATTAATGAATGCACCATGTATGCACCACAGCCCTAAAATGAATATATTTGGGATTGCACTGGGACAGTTGCAGCCACACTAATTTCACTCCTCAGACTTAGGCATGCCCAGCCTGCGAATACCTGTTCGGGATGTTCCTCAGCATAACCGTTGTCTTTGGTTTGTCTTCTTGATGGGATTGATGTACGAGGTCCACGTGCTTGGGAACGCTTACAGAGTGATAAGGCTTGAAGCCCTTCTCCGAATTGGTACCTCTCCTCCTTGGTTTCTTCGAGTCATTGCTCGACATGACCACGACAAGCCACCAGTCGTGAGACTGGCCAAGAAGTAGAAGCGTCGCGGTGCTTGAGCAAATGCATCAAAAGAGAATGTAGAAACATGATCAAATCAAGCATGTGAACAAAATTGGTCAAGCATTGTAACCATATATCTATATATATATATATATATGTATGTATATGTATACAGTATATATATATATATATATCACACACACACATATATATATATATATATATACACGCCTATCACATATATATATATAATATATGTATAATATATATATATATTATACATATTTATATATCACACATATCATATCAACCATCATGCCGCATCTCCTTTGCTCACATCGCATTGTGGGAATGGCAGTTGATGGCGGATACCGATGGCAAACGAAACAGTACGGCACCAGCTGTCCAGCTGAGGTCCCACCTGGCCTCTCTTCTTCGTTGCTTTTCAAGCTCTGAAGGCTTCAAGGGCCTTGACAGTCCAGCAAGAAGGCCAAGAATCCTATGAGCAAAATGATTGCAAAATGCACTCTGAGCATCTCTGAGCAATCTGTTTGGGCATTGGCAAGTGGATGTAAGTGCCTCGTAGTTCTATTGTTGTTGGGTATTGTTGGGTTGATCTGAAGACAGAACTTTTTTTTCCTTTCTCCTTCACATTCCACTCAGTCAAATTGGGCCTTTGGCCGGATTGCACTAAGGAAGAATGCAGGCAACTTCGACTCAAGACATGGCCTTTTTGAGCTGCCAAATCCAAAGGGGTTGCCCTGTAGCTAGTCGTAGGTTGATCCTTGTTGGCCCCGGCTTCAACCAGCACCTTCAGTCGTAGGCGTTCCCCCATTTGCTGTATTGGGATGATCCTTGTTGGCACCGGCTTCAACCAACAACTGAACAACATCAGCATGGCCTGCTTCAGAAGCACGATGCAAAGGTGTTGCTCCATTTGCTGTATTGGGATGATCCTTGTTGGCACCGGCTTCAACCAACAACTGAACAACATCAGCATGGCCTGCTTCAGCAGCAAGATGCAAAGGCGTTGCCCCATATAATGTATGATGATCCTTGTTGGCCCCGGCTTCAACCAACAACTGAACAACATCAGCATGGCCTGCTTCAGCAGCAAGATGCAAAGGTGTTGCCCCATATGCTGTATTGGGATGATCCTTGTTGGCACCGGCTTCAACCAACAACTGAACAACATCAGCATGGCCTGCTTCAGCAGCAAGATGCAAAGGCGTTGCGCCGTGCCAAGTTGTGGGTTGATCCTTGTTGGCCCCCACTTCAATCAGCAACCTAACAACATCGAGATGTCCTGCTTCAGCAGCAAGATGGAGGGGCGTTGCCCCATTTGCAATCCATTTGCTGTATTGGGATGATCCTTGTTGGCACCGGCTTCAACCAACAACTGAACAACATCAGCATGGCCTGCTTCAGCAGCAAGATGCAAAGGCGTTGCCCCGTGCCAAGTTGTGGGTTGATCCTTGTTGGCCCCCACTTCAATCAGCAACCTAACAACATCGAGATGTCCTGCTTCAGCAGCAAGATGGAGGGGCGTTGCCCCATTTGCAATCCATTTGCTGTATTGGGATGATCCTTGTTGGCACCGGCTTCAACCAACAACTGAACAACATCAGCATGGCCTGCTTCAGCAGCAAGATGCAAAGGCGTTGCGCCGTGCCAAGTTGTGGGTTGATCCTTGTTGGCCCCCACTTCAATCAGCAACCTAACAACATCGAGATGTCCTGCTTCAGCAGCAAGATGGAGGGGCGTTGCCCCATTTGCAATCCATTTGCTGTATTGGGATGATCCTTGTTGGCACCGGCTTCAACCAACAACTGAACAACATCAGCATGGCCTGCTTCAGCAGCAAGATGCAAAGGCGTTGCCCCGTGCAAAGTTGTGGGTTGATCCTTGTTGGCCCCCACTTCAATCAGCAACCTAACAACATGGAGATGTCCTGCTTCAGCAGCAAGATGGAGGGGCGTTGCCCCATCGGTAAAGGCGAGTTTATCCTTGCTGGCTCCAGTTTCAAGCAGGAGGCGAACCGCCTCAAGATGGCCACCAAAAACTGCTGCATGCAAGGGCGTCGTCCCAACCCCGATTTCTCCAGCATCTTTATCTGCTTCTGCCTCAAGCAAGAGCTGCATAGGCTTTGTGTTTCCATTAAGGGCAGCATGGTGCAAGGGTGTCCTGCCTTCTCCATCTGTCAGGTTGGGAGTCAAAGGGCGCTGAAGCAACTTTTCAAGCGCAAGCGAATCATTGTCTGCACACGCAGTGACCATGCTTTGGCTGTTTTCAGCATCTGGTGGCCAAAACTCTAACACCGCCACCTGTAGTTTCAGTGGTGCACAACCCAAGACCTCGTCATCCAGAATCTCATGACCATCTTCCGAGAAGAGCTTTTGTCTGAATCTGGAAACGCCAAGTTCTGGCGCCAACGATTGCTTCAGAATCTTCGCCACCTGCCCCTCGAACTTAACCGCATCAAGAGTTGCCAGCGGCTCACCGGATGCAAGGAAAAACACGTCCATTGCCGCAGGGCGTTGAGATGTGGACTTGGCCGGTTTTTGTTTTGCATATATACATATATATATATATATGGATATGGGATTTGAATTTTTATTTTTAACACACCCGCACAAGTTTCCTGAATGCTCTGATCTGTTCATCTGGAAGAAAAAAATGGCAGCAAATGGCAGATGGATTCTCTGAATTAAATCCGGGTTGGGAACTATAAACAAATGAAACAGGCTGCAAAACCATGCACCAACTTCCCACACACACTCCACAAAGCCGCACCAATGGTCAGTATATGCAAAGCCACGCAGGCCCGGGATTCCCTGCTCAACAGCTTGCATCTGCTCGCCCGTGAAACATAGCCAACCTCAGATCCAACCTCACCACTTGAACCAACACTTGCTCATACTTGTTGAAACAACAACCGCTGTTGATGTGGTCCCGTGACTCCTGGTAGCAAACCCGACCGCATTGGGTCACATGGTCCCAGCATGTCCTAGCCCAAATCCTGCAAAAGGCGTCTACAAACAGTACTTATTATATATACATTCTATATTTGTGGAATTGACTCCATGAACAATCACCATCAATCACCTTATTGAACGATGTTTGATGATGTTCGTCAATTCGTCAATTTGTTTCCAGCTGGGTTTCCTGACGCTCGTGGTTCCGATCTGCAAAGTCTTGGATCGACAAGGCACAGCCCTTGGAGCCGCTTGGAGTTGGGCGGATACGGCGAGAGATGGCGATCAGATGTGAGAGTCAGGCGTGTGATTATATGATGCCACAGAACCCACAGATGCCACAGAACCCACAGATTTCTACAATTCCACAATGACCGAATTTCAAACGACTCCTTTACAATGCTTTATATTAATTCTTTATATTTGTTATCTTTATAGCGTGTACATACCCAACTCTTACAAGTTTCATGCTTCTTACACTGTCCTGCATCTTTCCGCGTATGAATGTCGTGGACGGAAACATCATGGGCGCGGAACACGGATGTCTTTTTCATGAGACCTTCATCCTTCAAACTATACAAATCAAAGCAACACATGGCCCTAAATCGCTCTGCTCCAATCTGCTCGATACCTTTGCATGGCCCCAACACTCGCGTCTCACTGGGACAAATATGTAACTATTGCAACCCTTGGTTTTCACATTGCTTGGCCGTCAAGTCCGTGAGTGGCCGTCGTGGTTGGTGCTCTGGGCTGCAAACCACTCGACAACCCTCTAGTACGAGGCCCATGAGCCTGCAACATGAAGCAAAACAAAAGTTCTGAAGCCAGTTCACGCTATCAATCTCATTGACTCATGCTATGACATGTTATGACATCAAACAACGGCCATGCTTGTGTGATTCCATTATATCTTGAACCTTGGACGAATTTCAAGAGATTGCCGCCCTTCCAGTGCTGCTGGTGCAGGTGTCGGGCTTGATGGCCGTGCGAGCAATGCGCATATGCAATACATTGCAACACCATGTAACTTCACTTTTGTTGGCTTCAGTCAGGGGATCCTAAGACTTGCAACACAAGGTAACTAAGATCAACTAAGGCCATAGATCTGCATCACAAAGCGGCACGACATCTGTACAGTCAGGTACTTGGCAGCGGATGCACCGGTGCCTCACCAAATGATCAACTTGACCACCTCGGAGCAGCAAAAGCCGCAAGATGCCGCAAGGAAAACAATCGAAACACGAATCCAAGCAGCGCCAAATGACTGCTCATGTCTCTCAATGTCTATCATTTGCAATGATAATTCATGATAAATCCTGTAGCCTACGGCGTCGTATGCGTACGTCAGCCTACTATACTCCATTCGGTGCACATACTTTGTAACACTTACAAAGCTTCCGAATTTGCAAATTCGCAAGGCCAAAGGCTAAATAGGGTTGCTGGACTCCTACCAAGAGGAATTGCCAAGTAAAATCACACATCCACACACGCACGGAATGAATTTGCTATCATGGGCACAACAATGCTACCATGCTTTTCTTGCAAGGTGCTGAGCAGCCAAGACGTCATTAGAAAGAATCCGGGAATATATTCCAACCCAGGTGTCTCATTGTTTCTCATGTTCATGTCCGTCTACCAGCTCTAGCCGCTGATCTTGTCAGCAGCTTTCACCTGGCAATGCTGCACAATTGGTCACATTCGTCAAAAAGAGCTTGGCTGCGTTCGGTGTTCATTGCAAGATCACTCGGCTCCAAAACATACCAGCCGTACTTGTTGTGCAAGTAAATGGTCTCATCTGGAAAGTCCCCGGAAGGACAAGTGGCTGCATAAATGCTGCTCTGTGCCCCTGCGACCACATCGATTCTTGCCCAATCACAGGTCGCCAACATCGCACCTTCAAGGCAACCTTTGGGCTTGATGAACTGCGAGCGAATGACTCCGGGATGAACTGCCACAATCTCTTGGCAAATGCCCCGGCGCTTCATCTCCAGTGCTAACATCAAGCGTGCCAAACAAGCATTGGCATATGCGGAGACACCTGCACCTTTGAAGTATGGGTTTGCAGTGCCATCTGAGATGGCGTAGATATCACCGGTGACCCACACAATCCTTCGAGGTTTCAATTTATGGTTCAAGACATGATGACCCAAAACGCATGTCGCAAAGCTGATTTCCACGCCAGCTCCTACTGTCTTCTCCTCTTCAAAGACTGCCCCGGCATTATTGATCAGAACATCAACGGTTGAATGCGCTTTGAGGATCTCTTTTGCACATTCATGGGCGCTCTCACTGCTGGACACATCGCACTTGAAAACCTTCAGTTTGCCTGCTTGACCAGTATGGGAAGCGATGATTTCGAGATCTGAAGTAGCCTTTTCAACGTTTCTGGCCGCAAGCAAGACTTGAGCACCTTGCTGTGCGATCGCCAAAGCAGTTTCAAAGCCAATGCCACCACGAGAGGGTCCTGTAATCACCACAGTCTTTCCAGACATGTCAACTTCTGGGGCTTTGAAGTTGCCTTGGAACATCATGTCTTTGGCAACACGCCATGTGGCAGCCATGGCTGTGAAATTTCACGGTTGGGCGCCAGCTTTGGGTTCCCTGACTGCCTGTCCTATCTTCCTTTGGGAAAGCACACAGCTACTAGTACGGCAAACTTCTCCCCTAGCCGCCCATTGGTTACAGGCAACGCTTGGACAAGCTCTGAGTGCCCAGCGTAGGTGCGTTTGTCCCTCTTTTTCTTTATTCAGGTCCGTCCGGAACTGACGGATAGGCACGAACGACATTAATTAAACAAGCACCAAAAATACAAGCAACTGCAAGCAAGAACCACGGAAATTGTATGTGATGATACGAAACCGAATCCAACCCCTCGCGTGCTACCCGAAAGATCTTTGCCCAGGCCTGATGAACATCCGCCTCCATGAAAGCCCGGTCTGTATTGCGCCACCGATGGAGGTCTTCAATTTCCTAGCTAGTCGGATCCAGTCGGCCTTGGGAGATTCACCATAATTCACCCACTTAAATCATCCTAAGGCCCCAAGCACTGCACCAAGCCTATGGGGGAAGCACAACTCAGCCTCAACATGCCTCAACTACATTCAACTACGCTATTCGGATCCATTCGGTGCCTTGCAAATCTCACTATGGATGACATCAATGCGTCGCCTGGAGCCCCAGGGCGCAAAAGCGAAAAGCGAGCGCAAACACCGCAAGCTGTCAGCTCACAGCTTGGAACTAAACCATCAAATGCCTCTCAATCGCCAATTTGTCTTCCATGTCTTCTAGGGTTCGCCCCTGCAGCCCAAGTCAGAGCTCAAAGGAATTTTGCCATGTCATCTTCAATCCCTTGCCATCAAGTCTAAGACATCAGTTACCTATGGCTCCTGTGCACACAAATAGTCAATCATCTGTGCAGGCTTTTGACCAGTCTTCACAAAGTCTCACAATGTCTCACACAAACATCCCATATAAGTACGCAAGATGGTGTTGCTTACCAGTCGCGCACATCTGCGCTGACTGTGAAGGTAAACACAAAACCAAGCGCCGGGCCAGTTCTTCCAAGGTCTTCGCAATCCCCTGGAATGCACGCATCAATGCTAATTTACAAAATCATTGCTTCTGGCTTCAGACTAGCACTGGATTTATGCTGAAATCAGGAGAACCGGTCTGAGCGGTTTCACCATCTGCAATTAGGCACCACGCCAGTCGGGTTTCTTGGATGTAGGCAATCTCTTTGGCGTAGTCTCTGCGAATATCCTGGCCGTTGCATAGTGTCACAGCCATGAATGTCACGATAGACATCGATAGACTATGTATGAACCATCTGTTGAGGTGAACATCATCTTGCGAAGGGTCACCAAATGCCAAGTTTCAGACACTTATCAGCGCACATGCAGGCAAACACACAGTCTGTGGGAAGCGCATGGAATAGAGATGAATCACAACTCTGCTCAGCTCTGTCCTTCATGATTTCTGAATTGTGGGCCACCTCAGCACTTCCATCTCATACCATCCCCACAAAGCATCCAAGCTCTGTGTGTGTGTGTGTGTCCCTCTCCCCCATCGTCTTCAGCTGTGTGGGGTCACCTGAGTTTCTTGCCAAATGGTTGCACTGCTTTTTGAAGTCGGCTTTCATTTCAACAACTGCCACATCCTAGCGAGTGGCCGGAACCCGCCACATGTCACAAAGAAAAGGAAAAATAAAATAACATGCACAGCACTCTTCGTAGGGCACTCGTTGATCTGATACGGCCAGGAAAGTCCACTAGCAGAGCAAAAGTCTCAAAATCTGCGTGGATTAAAATGTCCGCGTGCTTACCAGCAGCGAGCTAAGCCATCTATTGTTCCGATGCGGAACTGCAAGTCTCCAGGCGGACCCACACCTGTTTCTTCACGTACTCTTGCCACTCCGTCCGATTCTGGACAAACTCCTGCAAGTCCAGCTACAAGTCCAGCTACATGCCGGAGAGCAATAACGGCGGATTGCAGGAAATTACTTTGAAAAAGGAAGCTATGGAGATCTATGGAGATTGAACCAAACGCATCCAAATGCCAAGAATTGGGATCCAGATTGATCCAATGACTTTCTTCATGGGGATTTCATCTTGATGGCACCCAGAAAAACGAGAGTGGAGCACATATTTGGTCCTGTTCGAAAGCCTCCTGACGCTTCGCCATGTTCTTCACGGCTGCGGCGAATGGCCCAGGCATGACGGGCCGTGAGAAACTTGATGCACAAGGGGCTACTACGAACTTTGTGATTTAATGTCATGTGATTTACAGTACATATGCAAATATATGGGTTGAACGAAAAAGCATATTAATTAAGGCATATGGAGGCAATGACCATAGGCAGAGCATACTCTCGCTACAATATTACTTAGCAGTGAAAGCAAGCATGGAGTTGGTGAGACCTCGTTGAAAGTTTGAAGGTGCAAGTTGCAAGAAGACAAGAAGGAGCTGATGGGGAACCTCCAACACCTGTCCCCAACATCTTTCCTTGTCACGAAATATGTGAGCCCCACCGCTGAATTTCCCTTGACATCCCTTGACCCACCTTTCTCGTTAGCGGCAATCTGTCTCATCATATCCGGGATTGGCGCAACCTACGTGTGAAAATAGGCCAAGGTGGCTGTCGCTGGTGCCCCAAGACATCTCGCAGTCAAACTAAGTGCATGGCAAAATCAGTCAGCTGCTTGATCTCTCGATTCACTTGATTGAGACCTGCTGCTAAGAAGTGCCAAAGTGCACCGGGCACTACTGTAGTGCTTGGCGACTAGGGACTATACACATTTTGAGAGCTTGAGAGCATGAGAGCATGCATAATAAAGCAATAGAAAGCAAGACCCAGCAAACTAGCGCAAACCAACACAAGCCAACAGTGCTTGCACAGCCTACTGCACTAGATCCAATCTACAAATCAATCAGCAGGGTTTATTAATCCAGGGTTGACATTATCCTGTTTGGAGGACGGTGTTGGGGGATATAAACCCTTATGACCCTATGATTATAAATTATACTTATAATATCTTATATAATTATATATTATATAATCATATGTAATTAACATCTTAGTATAATAGTGGGTGGGGCCCTACGAGAACCAAAGGCAGCACAAAAGCACCATTGGCTCGCAAGGACTGGCATCTGAGGTTTCGGCCCCTTCCCTCGCCCCACAGGTCTTCCATCAACTGTTCTCCTTAAACGCTCAAGATGCTGATGGGGAGAGCAGTTCCTGAACACGTGTGACTATACATGACTATACCATACTATACCGTCATTACCAAAAATTGGAAACCCTAAATGCTTCTGTTTGCGGTCTGCTTTTGTTTCTCTACTAGCGTTGTCTGCTGCCTAAATCTCTGTAACCGATGTGATCACTGAGGATACTGCTCTGCTTGTTGATAACGATGATGTGCCCCTCAAACTCCTGAAGAGGATTAGAGAAGGCTCTGGGACACTTAGACTCATTGAAGAGCAACTGAGGGCTAACAAATCTTCGACAAAGTAGCTCTTCTCGAGCTTGGCATGCAGTCTGTCCGTTCGTAAAACCGGTGGTATGGATGACACACCTTGAAAGCACTCACCAAGTGCACCTCACAATTCCATGCCCTCTCCCCACTTGTGTTGCCTCGCGAACTCGTGCGATGCCTTGGGAGACGTATGATGCTGCAAGAGCTGCAACTGACGCAAGCGACTATTTTGTGTGATCGCTTCAAGTTCAACCGAAACCAACGGGAATCAACTGGAGCCGAATGGCATACAATAGGAAATGTAGCGAACGATAGCCTCCGACTTCGTCAATTTCCTATAGATTCCTCACAGAAAGTCACTGGGATCACCATCAATTCAAGGGGGAGGTCATCAGAATATTATCTGATCTTACAGCCTTACGGCGGCCTTAGGGTTTGGTGATGCTTAGCTGCTTGGTGCATACCCCAAGACATGCTCAAGTGTGATTCTATTGATCTCACCAGGGAGACCAAGTCAGTGAGTGTTGCGATGCTTTCAAAATGGTTCCTTATCTATAAGCGATAAGCTTTCTTGGAATACACAGGGGCCATATTGAGAAGGGCCGAGCTTGGAAATGGATGCACAACGCACATCCAAACCGATCATATTCAATGCCATTGCATGTCAAAACAAACAAAACCCTGCGGAAACCGTCCCCAAAATTTAGCCACGTGACGCTTGTGACACCCGTGGATGTGATCGCGATTGGTCTGCACATCCTGACGAACTTGGAAGCCAGAACAGGATGCTTTGATTACGAAAAGAGAGGTGCACCTGAAGCGAGTGCAGAATATTAATTGCTGATTGTAGGCAGTTCGTCCAGGGTCTGTGAATCATGTGAATCTAAAAAATCGTAACTGAAGCAACTCATTTTGAATCCACGCCTCATCGTGCTGTTGCTGTAGACGCGTTGCTTCATCCCAAATCCGGGTGTCCTGCAACTAGGCTCTCTGTTCAACACTCGCAGAAGGGAAACATGCAGTGAATCCTTGTGTTCAGCTTTGCCGAAACAGTTCAGGGATGCTCAGGGAACATCAGGTGGATGATTCCAAAGCTTGCTGCATGAGAAAAGTCTTCAGTGCTTCGGTTCCTTGGGGTTGGTAACAAAATTTCAAGCATCCCACAGCCCACATCCTTACTTTCTATGTGATGTCCATCATTGGCATTCACTAGGCTTTTGAACTGGAACAAGTAGCAGTACTGAATTCAGGTTCGGCAACAACAACAACAACAAGAAGAACAAGAACAAGAACAAGAGCAAGTACAACACCAGCACCAACACCAACAATCCGACCTCGCGGCTCAATCGAAGCACGTCATTCTTGTAGCCCTAAGCGATGCCATGGCGGTGGGAAAACATGGTTGCGGCGCCTGTGGATTTGTGGCGCTTTCGTCTGTTTTGAAAAAGGAACGTTGATCACAGCGCAATCTGCAAGTATTTTTATTACTGATTTTCATGAGAAGCGCCAGATCGTATGACGTAGCATTCAGTGTGTGCAAGTGCAAGAGAAGATCCTATGACTTAGCATCCAGTGCGTGTGCAAGTGCAAGAGAAGATCCCATTATGTAGCATCCAGTGTGGGTGCAAGTGCAAGAGAAGATCCGGTGTGTGTGTGTGTGTGCATGTGTCTGTGTGCATGTAGACAGGAACGTTATCACACCCCACCCCCCCAACCCCCCACCCCCCATTACAAATGCAACAACAGTCCCGCAAAACGAGAGGCGCCGTCACCAAAAAACGGAAACATTATCTTTTTGAATCCACTGGTGAATTACGCTCTGCAAAACTCTGCAAATACAGAGTCTTTCCAGCAAGTACTCCAAATGCTAATTAATGCTTTCGATTGCTTTGCATGCCCAAGTTGTTGCGATGCCTTCTGTGCGAAGCGTAAATATGCAAAGCATGCATTCAAAAAACATGCAACAATTGCTGAATCACTGAATAACAAAGTCCAAGCTTGCAAGAATCTAACACTGTCTATCATGAATGCACATGAATGCAAATTATATATGTATATCAGCTTCCTCTGTGTACAACTCGACCTGGCATACTTGGTCTGGGCATGGTCCATAGTCATCAAATTATATGAGCTCCCGTCAAAATCCTTTATATGCTATTGTTATGGTTATCGGATATCGCTTTTGGGGGAGCCCTATCGCTTTCCAGGGTTATGTGGAACTCAGTATATTCGAGATCCAACATGAAACCAATATCCATTCCTAAACAGGCTCGGAAATGGATCGATGATCGAGGAGTTGTTTTGTTGGTTTCAGGTGCTTTGGCAACACTTCATGCTCCTTTCATTTTACATTAATTTGCATCCATGTTCCTTTCATTTTGTATTCATTTTCCTTCATTTACCTTTCATTCTCCTTTCATTTGTAATTTCCCTTCATTTTGCTTTCATATTTCTTTCATGTTCATTCCAATATATTCCAATGTGCATTCATGTCCTTTCATTGTCCTTTCATTTGCATGCATGCTCCTTTCATTTTGCATTCATGTCCTTTTATCTCCTTTCTAAAGCTGTGGAAATGGTTCTGTCGCTTGGCCAGGGGACCGCGTGCAACAAATGATTATCGCTAAGTTATCGCTAAGGTTATCGCTAAATAACCCCTCCAATGCCCTCCAACATATTATGACATTGTTCAAATATTGTTCAAAGGAAATTTGCCGCAAAAACGACAAACAAAGAGATAGAGAGAGAGAAAAAAAAGCAAGCAAGCAAGAGAGAGAGAGAGAGGGAGAGCAAGCGAGTTGGAAGCCAAATGATATGGTAACTGCAGGAAAATGGGCACCACAGGTAGAATTTCCATCATCGGTTTTGCCTATTCTGTGAATGTGCAAAACAAACAGTATTTGCTTGGTTTACGCCAAGTTTAATGGACTGCCGTGTATGGTCCCAGGTTATCGCTTTTGGGGAGGGACCCTGTCGCTTTACGGCGTTTTATGCACATCTCTGACAAAAAAAATCCTGCAATACTAAAGTGCTCTTCAATCATTTTGACCGTGACTCATATCTAACTATGCATAGTATGTCACAATATAAAATTTAATATATCATAGTATGCTATACTAATAATATATAGCAAACAATGCAAAAAAAGTAGCAGCCAGTCAGCTGTAGCCCGCTGTACTAACAAGTTCCCCATGTGACGAAGATGGACTGAGCAGGAAGATTGTCGACTACAGTTCCTGTAGAGATGACAACCTTGCTGGGTATGCCCCTGCAGCAGGACTGACAATCAGTGTGACATCCATCCGCTCCAGCTTTAGCTTGCTTGGGAGCTACGTATATTTGATTTAATATGGGGATCGGAAGGTTGTGAGAAATAACTGATTACAACAAACGTCAACCGAATCGGGAGACTTGTTGATTTGCAGCAACAATATATATATATACCCTAGACGTCGAGGACCATTTTAGAAATGTACTTTGCAATGGGACCATTATTTCCATATTAACGACCATTATATGGATTTGGCTGCATGATACCCATGGATTTATGGATCTCAGCTGTTGATGGTTCACTTAAACAAGGAAAATCATGATCTGGGAAGTGATGGTGGCTAATGGCACGTTGAAGGATTCAACTGAGGAACATATCAGAATCACAACATTTTCTTGAAGTTAATTCATAAATACTAATTACTAATGTAAATACATGTTGATCGATAAAGATAAGCATCCAAATGTCATTCGCCAAGGTGTCCCTTGATCTTCACAAGACTCTGACATTGGTTCTTAAGCCTCCCAGCAGACAGCGCCATCTGAGATGCCTCAAAGGCGCTCCTCAGACTAGCAGCAACAGGCTGTTGGGCCCAGGACTTCCCAGCAAATTCTGTAAGCAATTTCTTGAAAACCCTGTAAAACTGCATAACATTGCAAAACCGTGGAACCATGTGTACCCTGATTTTCCTTTATATATTCCATTCATTTCCATTCCACATTACCCTGATATCAAGGCACGCGTCAAGTTGTCTCACTTCTGCTGAGGTTTTGGCTTAAGCTCGACGAACTGCTTCCCTGTGATGGTTTCAAGCTCACGAACCTGTAGAAAAGCATGATGACCAGTATAGTCAAAAATCTTGGTTTGTCCGTGATTTTTCCGCATTGGTGCTGGCTGGAATGTGAAATATATTGTAAGATATTAGAAGTTACTGGCCATCAAGATAGAACCAGCTCTACCCTGTTTGGTCTGACTGGTTTCTGGCCTTGAGAGTTTCAAAAACAAGTTGGGACTGCCAGAGCGTGGCACATGATGCCAAAATGAAGTTGCCCGTGTTCACAAACTCCACATCATTGATCTAAAACTAGATGCAGAGATTCAAATCACATCTTCCGGGAAGATATTTGCGCCGAAATTGCTCGGGAAAGTGATCTTAATAAGTCATAGTAAATCTGCACGTTTAGACTCGAGAAACAACACAGATCCAAACAGAATCCACATCTTCGGCCTGGTTGGAGGTTGTCATGACTGCATCTTCGAGGATCTGACACAGTCAACAGGAGTCAACAGGCTGAGCGAACAAGTAAGTCATCCTGGCCCTTCTGTGTCATCTCGCAGAAGATTGATCATGGTTGATCTACTGTGGGCTTTTGCACTTGCCAAGTGCGGCAACTCTGAAAGACACAAACATAGCAGTGGACGTGTCTATCCATCGCCTACTGTTGATTGAATGCTCATTTACTCAGGATCATTTGTCATAGATAACTTGCTGCAGAACGCAGGAGAAAACGGTATTTTTTAGCCGTTGCTGAAACCTGTTTGAGGGTCGGCAGATCCAATATACTCACACCTACAGCTGCATATCAGGCAGTGCCACTTTTGTGCACCTGCTACTTACATGTACATAAAAGAAAGGCGATGGGTTGCATTTGGCCATGCGGCACTTTGACCTCCTTTGGCAACTCCTTTCACCAATCTTTATACATATTGAATATTCCAAGCACCTTGCAACAAGACATCCGCCTGGCCATATTCCAAACTTGTCATGAAACAACGGCCAGTTTCGAGTAAATATTGTGAACTCCAGCTGAAAGGGTATGATGAGGATGAACTGCCTCTGGCTATATCTGGCCATAAGAGGGTGACAGACTTCTTTCACAATCGGCGGCCATCCAACCTCAGCAAAGCTGGAGTCTTAACATACAAGAATATTCCACAAAATGCCAACAAGAGTAAAGTCATGGGCAATCAGTGACTTGACAGTGTAAACATTTTTTGAACATCGAAGCCCTAGCTCCAAGATGTGCCAATGTTGCTTTCTCCTGCAAAAGGACGTCTGCGCAAGCACAAGTCAGTGTCAGCTGGCCAAAGCATGATACAAAGTTAGGTCAAGCAAGACATGTCATAAACGCAATGCGTGAGACTGCGTAGATCTGACTCATGACACTTTTAGCTAATCTAAAAGAGTTGTACAAAACTGGGACTGCCTCGAAACTTGTACAGGGTTTGACTGCGCCCGGCGCAAAAAAAAGAATGGTCTGATTACAACATCTTAGATCACCAAGGGTTGCCACAGAATGGACTGGACATCCCTAGGCTTTAAGTCATTACAAGTCTTTAAGTCACCATTGATGCAATTGCTCTGTAGCCTTCGGATCCTTTTGGACCCTTTCGGATTTCAAGAAGCACCACGAACAACTGTGCAAAAGAACCGAAACATGGAAAAAAACACACCATACTACACTCAAAAATACTCAAAAAGACACCAGAAGAAAATCAATCTGGAATGGTATGGTCACAATATGGGGGTCTTCCAATGATGCCAAGCAACACTGCAACACATTTGCAAAATACAATGTCAGGTTTGATGGTGAAGCCAAGAAAGGCGGCTCGCATCAGCCGGAGCCCTCTGAGTCCAACAAGTCGCCAAACATGTGGTCCGAATTTGCGTCCAACCATGAGGGCCGTGGTGGTGGTGGCTTTGTTGGAGGAGGAAACTGCGATGAGCTCGGCGAGAATTGCCCCCAGAGAGAATCTGACCCCCCATGTATGAGGGTCGGCCCCATGGACGGCCCCATTCCCATCGGCCCCAAAGGCCCTTTGCCTTTTCCCTTGAGAAAGAATGGAAGCCCTGGCTGCATCCGCATGCCCTTGGGGCCACCTTTTGGCCAAAGTGTCGGTGGCGCCTTGACCGGCGGCCTGTCGTAGCCTGCTGCACCTGCTGCAGCAATGGACGCCTCAAAGGACTCGCGTGCAGTGAACCCTGCAGAAGCAGCGGCCTCATGTCGGTCAAAGCCCGCAGCTTCAAGCTCCGAAGTGCTCAAACCAGCCCTCGCTAGTAAAGTCACATCTGTGAAGCCCGCGTCACGGAGTTCTGCTGCTGTGAAGCCACTATCCTTCAGTTCCGACACCTTGAAGGGCCAGTGGCAAGGGAAATAGTTTCGGAAGCAGTCAGGCCCCAAACCTGCTTCTATGCAAAGCCTCAAGCTGCAGCCAGCCATACACCTCGCTTGTGTGATAGCCAGTTCAAGAAGAGCAATTCCGAATTAAACAACCTATACTTACTTGTATCAGCATTATTGGAATCATCATGAAAATTATGCCCCAAATTTGAGGACATCATACTCTTCCAAGGCATTCCAAAACGACATTTTCCTCATGGTGTTGCGGTATGCTCTCCAAAAAAAAATGAACCGAATCGCAAAGGTCCTATATTCAAAAAGAACAACTTTAGGAACTGACTCTCGTATAGAATTGCTCTCATTTCCTCTGTTCACGCCTGCTCTGGATTTGTACATGATTTCTTGCCCATGAAATCCCTTGAAGCATTTATCATTTAAATTGTAGACTTCTGGGTGCGGCTTGCTATTGGCTTCACCAAGGGACAAGTCTTTTCCCGTCAAGTTGGCTTTTCGGAACACTTGCGGATGGAAAGCGCTCGCTATCATCATGCGAATCCATGCAGTGAGGTGCGGAGGATCGATTATGACAGGTGTGGTCATCTCAGGCTCAGAATCTCTAATCAAACGGAGCCATTCCTGACTTGCTCGGTAAGCCATGGCCATGGAAATGACATGAAATGACCATATCAAATCACTTGTTATCGAATTGTTTAAATTTGGCATTGTCGTTTAACATTCAAAAGTGCAGAATTGCCACAAGCTGCGGAATCCCAGGGGAAAAAAACAATAACTGCTATGGCTGCATGAGAGTCAATCAGCGGCATGAACACTTTGGGCGAATAGTCGACGAACATACTGCAATCATCCTTCAAACCTCCTTTTCCTTGCCAACGGTCAGATAGCATCGCGGCATATTTGTTGTCCCCAGCCAGACTGAACAAGTCTGCATTGACTCTGACCGTCTTCTCGCCACCCATGTCGATTGTGACCTGTTGGCTTTCCATTTCTCTCGGCCATCCAAACCTGCCGGACCTAGCTCTTTCCTTGAGCCCTTCGGACAATTCCAACCATGCTGTGTAACATGGAGAAACAATATGAAACAATATGAAACGATGGGACAGTTGGGGAAAGAATTCGGAACGAATGGAAAACATTGGAACACACCAGCTTCACCCCGAGGTGCCCCAGCTCCACCTTGGTATACTGACCCTGCTTCACGACGTTGCTTTCCAGGCCATCCACCTTCCCCTCAGCATGGAGTCTGCACCTAGTGGCCTTCATGTCTAGCTCCCTAAAACAAGAGTAATTCGATATTTATATATATATATATTATTTATAATATATATATGTGTGTGTGTAATAATATGTAAACAATGGTGTTTAAGACACGTTCCAATGTGATGTATGTGATACTACGGACTACGGAAGACCAAAATGTGACTGCTGATGACTACCACCGGAACATGTTAGTCCGATGCCGGTGACATGAAAGTGGTGTAATCGCTGGGCAGCCTGACAATTTGTTCTGCCTGATCACTCACTTTTGTAAGAAGATCCTGCCACATGTCAAAATCTGAAAAACGATCAGAAGATGTTGCAAACGTTTCAAGTGGATGGAAGCAATGGGAAGAACAAAACCATAATCAATCGAACCAATGAACCAGAACGCAATTCAAATATATTTCGACATTACATGTCCTGAACGCTGCAGGTTCTTGCTGCAAAAAGCCATGATACGGAACCGTTAAACGTTATAGCGTCCTGCTGCTTGAGGTCAAGCTCAGAGACTTGTGCCAAGGTTGGCCGCAGCACGCGGAGAACCTTCCAGTTGCATCTAGTTGTATCCGGTTGCATGGGTTGCTTCCAGTACAAGAACGACAAAATGTGCAACACTGAAACCAGATTGAATCTTTCATATTTGTATAGATCAAGGCTGAGGGTCCAAACAGAGTCGCGCAAACGAGTTTCCATCTCTGCTGCCATGATCTGGCAACGGTGATTTCGTTGAGCATTGGGTTGGAGGTAGCTTGTCCCAGTCTTTTAGGAGAAGGATGTGATCCCAGACATCAAAGGCTAAAATATGAAAACCAAAAAACAAAAAAAACAGCTCATGACCTGACCAGCATCCACGTAGCTAATGGCACCAGGATATTATCTCTTGCCTGCATGATCATGCGTGCGGATTGGTCCAGACTACAGTATATCTGCAATGGATCATCAACTCCTGAATAAGACTGCCTCTGACAAAACATATGGGCTGGCGACTGTTTTCACAATTCTTGACCAGCTGTTGGTAAGTCAAGATCCGACATGTTCCTCCTGTGTCCTCCTCATGCAGTCACCATACAAACATAGTGATAGAATGCATTGTGTTGGCCGATTGCTAAGGGATGAGGCAAACTTGTGTCTTGTTGAGCTGGCCCTTGCTGGGCTCCCCATATCTCCAGCATGTCCCAAATCTTCAAGCTGTGTATTGCATGATTGATTGTTTTTGCACCATAGTAGTCAGATGTAGTCAGCATTGCAACTGGGGAAGCTCCTCTATGGTTATGATTGGTCTTCAACCCACTGCTTCCCCCGCTAGTACACCTCGATCTCCTTGTATCTTTGCCTCAAGGGCAGGCGTGTCAAAAAAAAAATAGAATCCACGAACCGGAATGCATTTGTGCATGAAGAGGTAGACACAAAAGACTCTACTCCCAGACCCCCTACCAAAAAAAACAAGAACCCTTCGCCATGCATTCGGGAAAACAGTACTGCAATACAACATGTAGCACATCTTAACACAAGCCGTCTTGCCATTGGCTGCCCGGCCCATCGACTTCGACACTCATCTTGGATGGTAGTCAAGGTCGGCAAGTGGAAGCCTCCAGGGCGTACCCAGTCAGAGAAGTCATGAGCTCGTACGGATCAGTACGGATCAATGCAGTGCTCAGGAGGGAACTATCTGCTTCAGCATACTATTCTCATCTATGCTCTATATGCTCTAATCACAATCGTTGCAGTAGACAAACCTTGTGCGAAGCGAAACGAACCACCCCTCCCCAAGCTGCAAAGGCAGAACCTTTGGCTTCACCTTTCGGCATTCCCCTGAGGCAAGCGGCAAGTGCGAGGCATCACTGAAACGACCCGTGATACTGAGATCTAACAAACACTTGATGCAACTTCCGCTACGTCTTTTCTCAACCACCTCGATTCTGCAGGCGTGGCCCAACTTGAAACATGCGGGCATTCGCATTGGACCACAATGGCAGCGGTTGAATCAGTTACAATGCCTAATATGTCTAATTAATCTCACATCAACTATAAAGTCCGCTCAAACTTCCAAAACGGTGACACACACCATGGAAGCACTCTGGAGAGGATTTTGTTCAACGATAACTAAGTGGAACCAAATTATGCTGTGCCACTACATCCACCGCGCTGCAAGTCCATCATCAACTGTGGATTTCCAAAACCAGCATCTGTTCATCTATTCTGATCTAGGGCACACAGCACACAAATGACACAGCTTGATTTAGAAAAGTGGACTCAACCGTGCATCTTGGACTAGGTGCCAATGTAATCCTATGTGTAGCCTGACCAGCTAGATGCATCCACCGCGCAAAATTAGTCTATATATAACATGTTGAAAGCATGTGCAAGCAAACATGTACCGCAAACGGAAAGTAAAGAAATTGGCTGAATGTCTGAATGTTGAGAATAGAGGAATGCAGGATATCGGTAGAAGCTGATTGTTTGAAACAAAATGAAAAACATGTTTGACAATCCGTATGTATGCTAAAACTTAGGCCAAAAAATGCTAAACACCCACCAATTGTTTAATAAGGAATTAGTTTCATATATTTTCTATTATATAAATTCAATTTCATAATATACTCTTTATTTGTGAATATTGTGTTCGTGCCATAATTTTATGAAACGTTTATGATCATTCTATGATACTATGTTTTTTTGTTTAATGAGTTTTCATGAATATCTGTGTTTTGCAAAATATGTTTTAAGGCAATTTTATGATGTCCATTTGGGGAAAGCAAATCATACGTAGTGAAATCATCAAATGTATGACGAACATTTTATGATGTCCATTCGGGGAAGGCTGCGGCAACCATTTTGAAATCATAAAGTTTAATTATGAACGTAATGTTATATAAAATTTATGAACATTGTATTACTTTTGCCATAACTAATGATGTGCTTCTGTTTTATTATGATTTATTAGGTATGATTTTGGCAAGAGCATTGAACACGTGAAAGAAAAACATAGAATAAACTAAACCGAAATGAAATCCAAATCAAATCGAATTGAAATCAAGTGTTTTTTAAAATATTTTTAATGTTAATTTTTGTCTAAACTCTCAACCGTGCCGTATATGCACATCCTGACACCGCTGTGAATACGATCAGCATGTAACATCGTAAACTACCTACACCTGCAGCAACGCAGCAAATCAAATAGACCCTTTTCTTCTCTACTCGAAATCCAGAAAACTTGGTAGCAACCCAAAGCTTGCTGTTTGCTGCGAAGAAGTGCTGATTGATTAGATTCCAATCTGCCTTGTAATATAGATCCTAGAACTGCAGCGAGTGCATAACTAGCAGTTCAATCTCAATACGGCCCCAAAAGCCAAAAGCGAATTTTAGTGCACTGTCAAACACCACAGTAGGATTCTAATTTGGTTTTGGATGGTTTTGGTATGCTCATGGCATGAGGTTCATATGGGCAGCGTGATTTGTTGCAAGCAATGAGCTACAGCCACCGAAAAGATGCACATCGCATGGTGCTGCGGCGCTGAGGGAGCTTGATTCCATGCTGGGTCATGAGGCTAAAATCTTCATACCTTTCTGAAAGACCTTGCCCAAGTGAAAGACATCATCCCCAATTCTTCACACTTGGAGCTCAAGTCACAAGGAAGGCATGTTTATATGCGATGTGAATTCTCATTTGTGTTGATTCAATAGGCTACATGCCGCTGGAGCCCGCATCGTTGGGTGGCTATAATTACTATGCAGGCCATCCAACACCTGAGACCGAAGATGACCGAAGCAACCAAATCTGAGTTACGCCAGCCGAGGTAGCTCTCTGTTGCCATGCTAAAGTCTACCATGGTGGAGGCCAGAACTTTTGCATGTTTTTTTTTTAAATGTTGCACCGCCTTCATTGAGCAAAAGGAATTGTGCATGCAGAACCACTTCTGTAAGCTCGTGCCTCCGCCATCCTTAATTGAAGCGATTTGAAACTGGCACCTTTGCCACGCCCGGCCACCTTTTGTATCCATGTCCATCACAATATGACAATATGTGAATTCAACACAATTCAACCAAGAAGAGGCAATGTGCCCGAAACAATGTCATCATCTTCATCCAACCACCTCGAAACAACATGGTTTAACCTCACCATTTCAGCCTGGAGGAGATGCCATCAGCTCAGCTGGGCTCAGCTGGGCTGCTTCAGATTCTCACCTCCTGAGATGACCTGCCGACGATTTTGCTAAGTCAAGCTGCAGAGATCTGCAAAGGGGTGGTTTCCCATGGTTTCCCAGTTTTACCATATTTACCTGCACAGCAGCAAGAAAATCAGGCCAGGCACTGAATGGCACTGAAAATCCTAACAGATTTAACATACGTTATCATCCATTTAACTCTTCAGCGTCTCTTGCTTCTCCTCATTGTTTGATCTACAAAACAAGAATCATACCACCTTGACCGACTCCACGATGTCGCCCTGCTTGATCTTGCGCAAGAAGGCAGCCCCTTCGGTAACATAGCCTGATCATCAACCAACATCAACCAACATCACAACCAAACAGTGGCAAAGCTGCAAACGGCGCTCCTCAACATTCAGATGCAATCTACTATATAATTATTATGTTAACGAGTGACGCTTTCTCATTCTCTGAAGCTATGATAAAAACGTATATAGTTGGCACTTCATAATGTCCAAATTTTGCTGGGACCCCTACCAAAAGAACCATACCTGCCATCGAACAAGTTCTTGCCGGCAGGCGTCATATCCTCAATCAGCGGAGGCACAGTCCCGGTAAACATGTTTAATGATTGATGCAATAAACCATTTTGCCTCGACTTTTTCGGCTATGTGGCTGCAGTAGTTTGCGCTTTTGTTGATGCCCTTTGCATTTCTAAAACAATTTCCTCCTACGTATTCTGCTTCAAAACTATGAAACGACGGAGCACCTGCACTTGCCCCATGTCTGATCCTTGCTTTTTTGCCCGCAAAAAACCTGCATCCCACTGGCTGAAATCGATTGATCTGCCTCGTTTGAGGTCTGACAATGGAATCTACTTTCAATACAGGTTGTCCAAAAAGTTGGGCCTGCAAGGAAACACAGGTCGCCAAGAAGACAGAACTGATCAAATAAAAACCAAGTAAACTCAAACAAATTAAAGATTTCTGAGCACCAGGTACACATCGGGTAATTACACAAGAGTTTTTGGAAGACCCTCTCCGACTAGAAAGTCGAGGCCGCGTTGGAAGGATATCCACAAAAGTTCGCAAAACTGTGGCAACTTTCCGCATCGCGGCATCGCGGCATGACCATGCGCAAGGCTGTGCCATCAAAAGGATCCCGTCGATGCTCACCGAAGCTTAGGCGGACAACTGGCTGTATCCGTCTGCTTGAGAAGCTTGCAAGCCTTGCCAGCGCTTGTCAACTGTGCTCCAAAAGTCTTCAAAATACTTAAGACTTAAGACTTAATAACAGCTTGACATTCAACGCTTGGAATGTGTGCTCACTCTTGCTGCTTTCCTTTCAGAGATTTCAAACTGTTCTCAAACAAACATAGATTTCAATCTTGATACCAGCTATCTTTCAAACAGCATGAGCAAAGTCTGCGATGGAGACTGCACAAAGGCAAAGGTTAGATTGTTAGATGCAGCTGCTAAACAAACCAAGGTGGAACGCAAAAAAAAAAAAACAATCATACAAGCGGTGATCCCTCCTCGACGATAGCCCATGAAGTAAGTCATCAAGGCTGTTGCTGGAGTGATGAGGAAGAAACCTTATTGATCCAAGCACGAAAAGAAAAAGGTGGCTTGTTGGGATTTCCAGGTTGACGTACAGGTATAGCAAGCGTGGTGCATGAGTCAATATCGAGGCATTTATCTAATAACGTTCAAATCATATAAGATGAATCACAAAGTGGACAGCACATTTCAGCATATTTGGATATATTTGGAGAGTCTGCAGGCTGCACATATGCGAATCACAAGTCTTGCCCAAGGAAAATGTATAGATAATATAGCTCATGTTTCCTCATTGTCTGAACTTGCGAAAAAATGTGCGGAACAAACGATACTGGATCTGCTTCCCCAAAAGCCCCTTCTGGGCTTCAACTGCACAGGCTGCAATCAGTTTCTATTTTGGATCCAAGCAGCCAAGGACGCCATAAGATGGCATTGGGGCCCACGCTGGCGCCTGCCATCAGAATCCCATGGCAGTCAAGGTTGCTCCCAACACCCCACTTGCCACGGGGAAAACTTGGCAAACAAAGATGTAGCGTGACCAGTTTTCCCTCCTTGTGGCTTTAATTTGCCCACAACTGGTTGGAGCAACTCTGAATAACTCTGAGGGTGCTGAATAAACCTGATTTGTTGCCCATAGACCCGGGTGCACAAAGGTTGGAATTGTACCTGAGACAGGACCTGTATGGGAGAAGCAAAGCCCAGTTGCTCCTGCGAAGTGACCATTCCAAATCAATGAGTGTGATTGAGATGATTGAGCCGACTAGATAGTCTGGATAGTCTAGATAGCTAGCGTGGCTAAATCAGCAGCTCAAGGTAAATCAAACATAATCGCTCTCTTCAGCTCTCTTCAGCTCTCTTCACCTCTCGATCTACTCCAAAACGAGATCTCTCCTGCACAGTTTCTGGCAGCATCGATGGAACAAAGGGCGACCTCTGGAACCAATGCGGCCTGTGCAGATTGCGATGTATGGCAATTCATGGAGGTCTCGCATGACGGATTCAATTCCAATTACCGATTGGAATATCACATTAAAACGAGTTATGTCTTCGAACTTGAATAGGTCAATCTGACAGCGGGCCAAAACCTTCAATTACGTTACTGCTACATCTGGTACTGTATAATTATATGGCAACCGCAGCATTTACTTCTACTCTGAACTGGACTGCTTTACGTCGCTTTTAACAACAGATTTGAACCAAACTTGCTTTCACTCACATTAAGAAAAGCAAACTGTTGTCATCTCACACCCGTCAAAGGGGCCCTGTTGCGGAAACTACACCCTTTCTGGCTGCTGGCAAGAGTTTGCAACTATGTGTGTATCGTGATCAAGTTGAGAAACCCGTCCACACACTTCCAAAATATTCTCGCACGGGCACTGGCCTGTAGAACTCTTGATCATAACCAATCATCTCCAACCAGAAAGCTGGATACCCAACTGGCCCGACCTGATTTCGCAGAAACTTGAGTGCCCTTCAGTTTATCAGCGCAGGGTTCCCAAAAAACAATTTTATTGCATGCTTGAAAGTCATGAGTCATGACACTGATTGCGAACTTAAGTTCAATGTTTGGCAGCATGATTGGAAACACGTGCGCAGTCCATCGCTGCCAATCCAGGACCAGAAATGCAACTGTAGTATACGTTAAACAAACATGTCGGTTTCACAAGATTATATCTCCTCTTCCCTTCAAATCAACATATCTAAGTGACAGACACAAATTGCCTTCTACTCAAAAAGGACGTGGCTAAAGCGGGTAGCCCCCTATCGATTGTGCAGGTTTTGCGTTTTTCATTATTCCAACCGTGGGTGTTGTGGTGGTGGTCGTAGTAATAGTAAAGGCAGCAGCAGCAGTAGCAGCAGCAGTAGCAGTAGTAGAAGTAGTAGTAATAGTAGTAGTAGTAGCAGCAGCAGCAGCAGAAACAGCAGTAGTAGCAGCAGTAGTGGCGAATGCGCTGAAGAATCTGAGGTCAACCAATGCCCCTTGGGGCATGCAACTTCAATGAGTAGAACATATCCACTCAAAAGAAACCGATCCCTCCGTGCAAACATTTGCGCCAAGTAACGCTAGTTGGGGCGAATTCAGGGTAGTTGAAGAAATGATCATTGTAGCGGACCTTGTTGGACTCCGGCTTCTTGGCAACTGCCCATAAACACATCCATCAAACATCATCAAAAGACTTGTTCATGGCATTTCGTCCCTGCTGCCCCACCAATGTCCCATGGCGCAGGGACTCTTGTTGTTGAGTGGTCTAGGAACATGTCATGTCCGGCAACAGGGAAAGCTCAGAATCGCCATGTGCTTTGAAGCTTTGAAGGGCGTTGGAGTATTATAAAAACACACAATTCCTAGACCGAGTACCTCAAGCCCGATGGCAAAATCCTGCCTCAGCACCCAAACGGAAGATTCAGTACTATTAGTCGCTATTTGGACAAGGCACAATCATTTTTTCTGCCAGTTGCCACCACTCCTCTGTCACTTTCCGCTGTATGCCACCTGAACAACAAGCTTGGTACGAGGAGGAACATGTATGCCAACACCATTTCAAGAGAAATAGAACAGCGTTGGCACTTCCAATATTCAAAATATGCCAAGGCACTTGCAAGCTCGGCCAACTTCATTGGATTTTCCTCAGTTGACATCGGGCTGTATGTCAGGCAGTCCTGATGCACACAAGTTTTTCATGTCCACGTTAAACATATCATATAAGTTTTAAGTGTGTCTTTCTATGGGCCTGCCCTTTCTGATTGCTCGCGGGTCTGACGGCCAGCAGGAAATCAGAAGGTTTGAGACTTTCATATCTTTCATGCAAATGACAAACATATTAGATTTACAGATATTTACAGTATATTTACAGTATATTTACAGTAAACGAGTTGGCATCCGAAAATGACACTTTTGTAAAACGAGACACGGCTTTCTTGATGGCATCCTCAGTCTCTTCATAGACCTCCCGCTGCAAGGAGGAGACCTTTGGATAAATGTACTGCTCCTTGGTGGCCACAGGACACAGGGTCCCACCTTGACGTCATGCAAAACAGTTGGGCTGGTTGCGGTTGATTTTGTGTCTCTGCACATTGGACATACGCATTAGGTAATTAGGTATATATAATATAAACTTATAATATATATATAGTCATATATAGTAATATTATGTAATATTTTGTATGATATGTGCACATATGTGCACATCATTTACGCCTGGCGAGCCTGCGGATTTAGTGTCATCTGTCGCCACACTTCCCCTCAAACTTCTGCTTCTGTCCAGTCGCAGACATGTTCTGATAGCACAGGTCCATCCAGTTGGCCACAAAGTCCTTGCAAAGCAAGGATAGGCGCTGACAGGCTGAAAGAATCCTGAGATTTCCTAGCAAACATTTAGTGACTATAGTGTCAGTGTGCTTCGCACTATGTCAATCAGGTATAGACCTCAGCGCTGTCCCAATATCTACTAATACTATAAGTGTACTTCAAAATGCTTCTCAAGTGCTCCTTGAATTTGCTGCAAAACGAGCACACTTAATTCTAGAGCAATGCGCTGGTCCTGGTGACAAAGCGGCTTGGCACCAGACCCAACCACCCCATCACAAGCAAAGAAAAAAACACAACCGCAAGCTACTACAAAGAATGTAGGCATGCAAGGCTCATGCGCCCACCACGCTGGCATAATCTCGTCTTTGGAAGCAAAGCTGAAGCTCTTCATTGAGCCAGTACCGTAAGCAGCAACATCGAACCTTGGAGGAAGATTTTGTAAACTCAAACGTTAACAATCTTAAACAGTTCCATGATGATCAACTAATTTCATGATTTTCACGTCTTGTGCTGGGAAGCATTTTGTCAAACAGAAACTAAAACACACCCCCTCCAGTCAATTTCATTCAATTTCAGTGCCGGAGTGCTCTGACATTTCAAACACATTTTTTGCAACTCAACTGAATTCAATATTGACTGGAACTCCAATGCAAACCTGAAAGCTTTCCATCTGCTCCACTCAGAGCTGAGGCGAAGAAAGGCACAAAAATGGAAGATGCTGATGCATCGGGTGCGTACCACACCTCATGGGGACAAGCTCCAAAACACATTG